GTGATACCTGCTCATGCGATAACCCATCACAACAATAAACAGAATTTTAGAGCTTATTCCTAGAATTCTTACATTCTGCATCATGCTTTTGAAAGGTAGTAAATTTCATTATAAGATATCTATGCTCAATGTATTATAATACATTGGTCAACAGCAAATTTGGTGTCTCAGTTTTGTAAACTGATTTTGGACAATTTTGATGTGCTGAGTCCAAAAATAACACTATTTTTGCTGGGTCAGGTCGAGATTTTAAGCTATCGTTAATTTTCTATTTTTTAACTTTTAAATACCCGAGAAAGGTACAACAGAAGTACTAACCATTTACCTTTTAAAGTTCTATCATCTGAACAAATTTAAATTTTTTAGCACTAGCAATACAAAGAAGAAAGCATTTGAATAAGCAATTATTGATTGAATTTCAATTAGGAGTTTAGGTTTTGCGATTATTATGGGATATTTAAAGATAAAATAAGGCTTTATTTAGCCCATACTGGAATTCAATGGTAAAACTTGTTAAAACACACCAACATATTAATGTAAGTAATAAAATAAAAAAAATAAAAATATGTTTTTGCTATGTTTGTGGTGAATACACATTTGCACCAAATCGCAATACTGTCACCACCTTTATGAAGCGCGTTTACTATGCATATTTTGGCATGAAGCTCGGCGATCAAGACAAAAGTTGGGCACCTCACATGGTTTACAAAAGATGCACAGAGCATCTCTGTCAATGGAGCAAAGGCACGCAAAAGTCCATGAACTTTGGCATCCCCATGATTTTGCGAGAGCCTTCAAATCATGCAACCGATGGTTACTTTTGTGCTATCAATGTCATGGGAACTAACAGAAAAAATCACACAACACTGGAGTATCCCAATCTACCGTCAGCTATGCGCCCTACTCCTTGTAGTGAAGAAATTTCCCGTACTTCTATTTCAAGATACAAGTATTAAAGAAAGCAGTGGCCAGGATGAAACTCAAAGCATTGCCACTACCGATGATGCATCCTTTCCCGTTGACAATGATGAGCAGCCAAAATTGTTTTCCAAAACGAACTAAACTCTTGTTCGCGTTTGCCGAACTGCCAACTTTTGCATCCGTTTGACAGCATTGCTAAAAAAAGGTAAGTCTTCTTCCGTACCAGGCACCAGGAAAAAAGATACTGGCGACTTTTTACCGCAATGAATAGTAGAGCTAATGAAAATCTCTACCTGGAAACAATCGACGCTTTTTCATGCAGCATTCTTTACGTGCTACACAAAATTTCTTATGACCAACATTGGCTGATTTGCGTTGACTTAAAATGGTCAAATTTCTTGGTCAACAGTCTGGATTTACCAAATACCCATACTTTTTCTGCCTCTGGGATAGTAGGGATCGTACTCATCATTACGTGAAAAAAGAATGGCCAGTACGTGAAGAGCTTGCAAGTTGTAGAGCAAAAATGTGATAAACAAGCCTCTAGTTGACAGGGGACGTATTTTATTTCCTCCACTGCACATAAAGTTCAGTTTGATAAGGCAATTCACTAAAACTTTGGATAAAGATGGACGGTGTTTTCAGTTTCGTTGTAAAACCTTCCCCAATTTTTCAACTAAAAAATTTAAAGCTGGTATTGATCCCGAAAATCTTGGCTCTTTAAGCGATGAGCAAGGAGAGCGCTTTCACCATGACTTAAGAGAAAAGTGGGACATGGTGATGATGGCGGACTGCTGTTGGAATTTAAAAAGAGATGTGCAAGCACCAAAACATTCGCGACCATCAAAAAAACCGAAAATTTAGACCGTAATAATGCAAACATTAACTTTTCATTTTCAGTTAAATGTACTGTACATGAAGTGTACATGATTCTTTCTTGGAATACTGAAATTTTATCATAAAAACTGACATTTTGTTTTGAAACATCTTGAAAACATGTAAATCTTGAAAACATTGTTTTAAAAAAATATAACTAAAGTCGTATAATTTCAAATTCAAATTTGCAAAAAAAATTGACCTCCGAGAGCAAAATGAATGTTATTTCTAGATTTAGCATAGCAAAAATATAGTAAATCAGTCAAAAAATATCAGACACCTTTTAAAAAGTTTCTTTTTGTTGACCAGTGTTATATACCAGCATTCAGTAAAGTGTATATTCAAGGATGAAAATATTTTGACCATTTCTCCCCAGCGAAGTTATGAAATATTAATGGTGTTCTTATATACTGTCTAAAATAATAGAAAGTCGAAATTCTCTTTACCACTCTTTCTTCGGGTAAAACTTAAAAACGGCGTAAAATTACCATGTTTAATATATTATGAAATCAGTTATATTCATCTGAATCGAATTTTGGATTCTGCATATTGATCAGTGCAACTTCAGCCTGGGTCACACTATCGTCTATATTGACGAAAACAAAAACGAAACAAAAGTTCGTGAACGAAATGCATGCCAGACACGTCGAAAAATTTCAAGCATGTTTGCAAAGCCAAAACATTTTTGGCCAATAAGCAAGCGGCATTTTTGACGGATTAGAAACAATGGCGATCTCTAAAAGAAAAAGATTACTTCTTCTTAAGAAAAAGTTACTGCTTTGAAAGTTGAAAACAAGCAACAGCAAACGTCGATACTGGATTCCTCCATTTAATAAACGACGTGATCGCCTTGGACTATTTTAACAACATTATTAAAGAATACAAGAGCCGAACAATGTAAATAGACACATAGGGCCTGTTTACACTGGTCGTTTAGATCGATCCTATAGGGAGGGCTACTGAAAAGCCCTATAGGGAGTACCTAATGTTAGTCATTAAAGTTCATTAAAGTTCATCTGAGATCGACCCGGTTTATATGTGAACGTAAGTGAGCTTATTTCGATAGAAAGGTTTGGCTCCCATGCAGTTTCCGCAAAAACGCAGACGCAAATTTATCTCAAAATTTAAAATCAAAACAGAGAAAAAAACTTAGAAAATGGCGAAAAAACGAGAGGTTTGGTCAGAAAAAGACTGTTTAGCCCTCCTCTCGGTGTACGGTACAGAAGGAATTCAACAAAAGTTGAAAGGTACCAACAAAAACGGTGATATTTTTTAAAAAATCAGCATTATAATGAAAAAAAAGTGATAGATCGTGATTGGACGCAATGTAGAACTAAATTTAAGCATATGAAATCTGAATACAAAAAGTTCAAAGACACATTATCACGATCAGGAGGTAGGAGAGGCAAGGAACCTAAATTCTTTAAGGTTATGGACAATTTCTTGGGTGACAGACCAGAAGCAAGGGGTGTAAAAAACGTCATCGATACATCTGATGAATCAACGTGCTCATCAGCTGATGCTGAAATAAAAAGCATTAACGTGCATGATGATGATGGTAAGTTATCGTGGATGAGTTGATATCGAGTGTTTTTTGGCAAATGAAAATATTGCTTTTGCGTTTCATAGCAGACGAGCTTACAAGAAAATACGGACACGGGAGGATCATTGAAAAAAATGTCCTCAGTGCGATGAGTTTGTGGAGCTTATGACAGCCGGAGCTCATGTTAGAAACAGCACTGCAGTATACGCTGATGATGATAGACTTGTTTGCCCATATTGCGATTACATTAAAGCAGGTGACTAGAAGAGCATTGCATGTGTGTACTATATTTTGTTTTATTACGTCGTAACATTTATGAGATATGTTATGTAGATGTCAGTAAGGCAGATGAGAAGTTACCTAGTGAAGCAAACGAGGAATCCCTACCATTTCAATATGAAAACAAATCAGTGCCAAGGAAAAGAATACCAAGGGGAAAGGCAAAGCCCTCCATCATGCAAGTGGCATTCAAGAATGCAATGAAAGAGCACAAAAATATTTCAAGGAGTCCGATGAAATGTTTTGTCGGAAATGAAAAAAGAAGCAAAAAAAGAGCGATAGTTGCGAAAGGAAGAGCTTAATGTTTATAAGGAGTCAATGTCCCTTCTTGCAAATGAAATAGCAATGAGGTCTCAGCCTGTGCAACAACCATTCTACAATGTTCACCATGATGCTGTAAGTCAACAAACATATTACAAACTTTGATTTAATTCAAGAACATGAGTAATTTAGATATCATCAGCTTATTGTGTTATCAAAAACTTAGTTAAAGAATTTCTAATTTCTCTGCACTTGCGCCTGTATTCTGTAAAACAAATTTTGAAATTTCATCATCAGGAATAAGTTCAACATAATCTGCAAAATTTTTGTCAGTTATACTTTCACAAATATTGTGTACAACACAACATGCTGCAATTTTCATAGGCAAATGATCTAAATTTGTATAATTCTTGTTAAGTAGGCATCTGAATCTTTTTTTTAAACGGCCAAATGTACACTCCACGACTTGCCTTGCTCGACTTATGTAGTAATTAAATTTCTTTTAAGCAGGACTGAGATTGCCATTGTTAGGAGGCCTCTTCATGAACCATGGTAACAGTGGATATGCTGGATCACCAATAAGCATGAATGGTACATTGCAGTCACATATCTCTTTTCCTCCCTAGAGTATATCAAGACCATTAATTTTCTAGTGGCTATTATCAAAAATGCAGTAAAATTTGCCTCTGACGTAAGATAAGCTTTTTATTATAAGAAATGAAAACTTACATTTGGAAAAAGTTTTCCTGCTTCAGCTTTTGAAAACATTCACGAGTTTGACAAAACTCTTGCATCATGGACTTGACCTGGCCACTTTATGCAAATGTCAGTGAATCTTCAAAATTTTTTAAATATAAATTTTTTACCTTTTAAGTGTGTGTAATTTAATTCACTTTGTGTAACTTACTCACTCAACTAGTTGAAACACATGTCTAAATTAATAAAAAACCTATTTTACATCAGTCACTGTTAAACTCCACCATGGGATCTAAAAATTGTTAGAAGGTGAAAAATGTCAGTTTAATAACAGGGTGGCAAAAACTTACTAAGTCAACCTTGACAAAAGCAGTACGTTTTGGTACCTGTATTGATGATCTACAACAGCTTGGAGAACAATAGACTAGAATCCTTTTCGATTGTAGTAATCTTGTGCAGAATTTGAAGGTGCTACAATTTGAATATGAGTGCCATCAATGGCTCCAGCGCATTGAGGGAAGCCCCATGTCGGTAGAAAGGCATCAGCGATAATCTGCAGTCTATCGCCCGTTGGCCATTTGATAACAAGACACAGTAACGTCAACAATAGCTTGGCAAACCTCGTTATCGATTTCACAGGCTGTACTTTTCCTATACCAAAACGCCAAGCTAAAGAACGCAAATCTTCATTGGTAGCCAAATGCCAAAGACAAATTCCTACTCTTTTTGGCACAGGGATAGCCTTTCTGAAAGTTGTATGTTCTCGCAATAAAGTGTCATTGATCTTGTCGAAAATGAAATCGAATGTTCCCTTAGACATACGAAAATTTTCTAGCCACAACCCATCATCTTTCCACATATCGATAGTTTTTTCCCAGAACAAACCGGTGCCTTTGCTTGCATCCACCCAGAAACGTCTTTCACGCATTAATTTATTTCCTAGAGCGTTATTAAACCAAAAATAAAACTGGTCGTCCCTTCTTTTACTTCGCTGTTTTCACAGTTTCAAAATATATTTCTTTTTCCTTTCACGACGCATTCGCATCCTTTTGTGGTATTCATATGTAATATTGAAAATGGTTGCGATCGCACTTGCAGCTAAATCTAGAGATCGGAGCACAGACGCCACATTGGGATTGCAATAATACAAATATTACACTTTGTTGTCAAGGAAACTAGCTCAGCTTACGTGTAGCGTCAGTTAAGTGTGAACGCTCACAAATTTGAGCTTGGCAATTCACAGGATCGATTTTCATCCCGCCTACCTATGATCTCAGCAAAGAACAAGATCATAGATAAATGAGATGATGTCGCTAACCGGGCGCATATGAACAGGCCCTAATTCAAGGCAGCTAGTTACGTCGATCAAATGAAAATAATTTAATAATTTTCCTCAAGATAGTCGTTGGAGGTCCGTTAAATCTGTGTAATATACTTGTACACGCCATAAGTTGCCTCTCGTTCTGAAATGTGCAAAGATGTTAAGTAATATTATCGATTCTTCATCGATGTAATAGTAAATATCTCAAGGTTTGTTAGGCACACCTAAAGATGTAAAATGTTAATGCATATTTATTTTTAACGTTGAAAATTTAAATGCCACGTCAATAAAATTTTATTCAACCAAAAGCAATCTGTAGCTACTGACCTCGACACAAAAGGGAGAAAAGTCATACGATAGGAGATTAATGTTTGTGAGTGATTTTGATATTTTATCTTGATCATAAGTTGACAAATTTTACTAACTACAATGAGATACTTAAGAACAAAAATATTCTTTTTTTAGTTAATTAATTCATCATATATGAAACGTGCAGCTGCTTGAACAAGGTTATATTTCTCAGTTTTCCCATTGTTGTTAAATTTTCGTGTATAATTTTCACACGTATATGAAAATTAAATTGCATGGATACATACAGTTGGACATTGATTTGTTTATTATTCTTAAAAAATCACATATTTTGCATTGGTAAAGACTAAGTGGCTAAAATAAACATTGTGTATGAACCCTACTTAATTCAAAAAACTTTTATATAAATACGAAGGGTTCCCTCTAAGCATTATGACCAAGAAAATAAACAGAAGAGACAATATTTCCAAGTAATTCTAAATTTCAAATGCATCTCTTGTGTGACACGCACGCATTTATTGTAAAATTTCAATAGAATTAGAACTCACTGAAAGGCGATACTGAAGAAAGAAGCTAACTTTGATCCCAATGAAACTCATGGAATGCAAAATATATGGCTTTGACAGTAATGTATGCCTATGACACCACAACAATGTATGTCTTTGACACCACAAAATGGCTATGACAACATGCAATGACATGGCTATGACAACATGGCTATGACTCCACAACAATAAATATAATGTTTTGCAAGCTAAGCAGTTGTCTGTAAACTATTGCACGACTGTAAACGAAAGCTTTATAGCAGATAATCAAATAAAAGATAGTAAGAGAAAAAAATTGTCAAATTTCAAACTAAATAAATTCTAATACCGACGAATCTCTTCATTAAAGCTATCGAATGTATAAAGCTTGGTTTGCATGCATGTCACAAAAATTTATACATTTTAAAATGAGTTTCTTTTGGAAATGTGTTAATGTGTATGAATGTCGAAATAACATCTATTCTTTATCGATGTATTAGTAAATATGTCAGCGTTTGTTGGACACACCTAAAGATCCAAAATGTTGATCTTTATTTGAATTTAACTGCCACGTCTATGGCGCGCCAAGATGGACAATATTACCAAAATCGAAAATATTTACAACGAAACACATTATCGTACGTCAAAAATAATATACTGGCAACTTTTTCAATATTTGTAAAACGAAACGCAAAAATATAAAAGAAAACAAAAATTCGTTTACCATAATTTATATGTACACAACGAAATTTATTTTTCAAGTTATGAAAATTATTTTTATAAAACAAAACACGTTTATATAAAACGAAATTGACATTCTTAAAACGACATTTTCTTCGAACAAACGACATTTTTTACCTCTTTTTGCGGCTCCTTTACCAATTTTCTGGGCAGCTCTCTGAAAGCAGCTTTGAGAGAGCTGAGTGATTGCTGCAACAAGGTTTGTCAAGTTATGTAAGTTCCTTCGCGAAGACATGCTCAAAATTTTGTAGTGGATGGCTCTTTGCAGGCTACGAAATAATGGCCGCAAAAAGCGGTAAAATGTCGTTTGTTCGAAGAAAATGTCGTTTTATGAATGTCAATTTCGTTTTATATAAACGAGTTTTGTTTTATAAGAATAATTTTCATAACTTGAAAAATAAATTTCGTTGTGTACATATAAATTATGGTAAACGAATTCTTCTTTTCTTTTGCGTTTCGTTTTACAAATATTGGAAAAGTTGCCAGTATATTATTTTCGACATACGACAATGTGTTTCGTTGTAAATACTTTCGATTTTGGTAATATTGCCATCTCGGCGCGCCATACACGTCAAACAAATTTAATCAACCAAAAGCAATTCGTGCCGACATTTATACAATGAGAAAAACAAGTACTCGTAAAAGATAAAAAACTGATGTCTATGTTTGGCTTTATGATTTCTTATAACTGTTAACTTCTAATGGAATAGTTGCGTTTATTGAAGAAAGAAAGTTCGTTTAGATAAGTGACAATATATATAACTTGGCGGTGGAAGATACAATAATAACTATGATGATATAATCGTTCGATATACGTTTTCGATCACGTGATATTTACATGTTACAACAATAACAATGTTTATTCTTGAATATACTATAATATATCAATATGTCGACAATTACCAACTTAAAATTTTAAAAAGTTAATAATTGTTACAAAAAACAATGCGATTCTCAAAACAATAATTTCTTTTTAACATAATTAATTCATCGTGTATAGATAATAAAATGTGGCGCTCCTCAAACAATGACAATTAACTTTTTTTAATTGTTTCATCAAATATTTTCTGAATATTTCAATATTAATTGGCATGTACATGCATTTAAAGATTGATTCATGATTTTTTAACAATTCTTAGAGAGTCACAAACTTTGTATTTTGCCAAGATAAAGTAGCTAAGTCACTGCGTGAACCAAATCATGCAAAATTTTCGTACTTCAAGAAATAGAAAATGAACTCGTGCAATTGAATAAATAAACCCTATACAAATATACGAAGGCTTCCGTTTAAGCAATGTGCTTAAGAACGCAAAGATTGAAGCACTTTCAATTTCCTGCATTTTAAATTTATAAATTCATTTCTTGTTTGAGACGCTTGCACTTCTTGCAGAAATCGAATAAGAGCAGAGCTCCCCTGGAAAAAGTTCCTTAAGAAAACTGCAGATAAATTAAAACAAGTACGTGTATTTATCAATTGTATTTATCAAATTTATATTACATTTTTTATTGAAATGTGCTCGTATGTAAATATTTTGCTATTTTAAATTGGCGCTTTTCTTTAAGAAGTTACTCTCTTTAAAGTTTGGTAAGCCTGTTCTTTGTTGCAGTATGAACTCTTACGCAATGCAGGTGCTTATATGCAATATATTACAGATACACATTACTTTTAAAAGCCTGAGAGATGACATGTAAAGCGTAAAAAGACAAAATACGGAAGTGGATCGTACTGATCCCCCATCAAACTATCGTTATACAAAATATTTACACAAAATGTTTACGACAGTAGTTTTGAGCCAATTACATCAACTATAAAAAAGAGAAAAACTTAAGATTCATGATATGAAAGAAGAGATGCAGATTATTTCTTTTTATTATATGACAAGCGCCACTTCTTCAAAATGGCGCGCTTTGATTAAATCCGGTGCATTATTCTCCAGTAATCGACCACGATCCAAAATGCATAACTTTACACTCAAGTATAAACAAACTTCGTAAAGCAAACAGCAAAACGCAAGAAAAAAACATAAAGAAGAAAAATTTATAAGCTTTTGCTGCCCATGCAACTGCTCTCATCTGTCCATTTTCTCAAACTAAGAAAACAATTAGGCTAAATGATTACCTTCGAATGACTACTACATCTTTTCATAATATAGTCAAGAAAACCATTGATATGTATGTAATGGGGCATTACGTATCCAAGTATAAATTGAGAGCAGAACGTAAATGTCATCGGTACCTATTCGTAAAACAAAGACACAAAGTTACTCTTTTTGTTTTATCCTTTTACATTTTTTATTACGCATTGACTATTGAAACAATCAGGAGAAAATCAGGTTTTATAAGAAGAATTTTAAAATTGTACTTTAATATAGTTATGTGATTTTAATCTCTATTGACTCATTTATATCCTGGTAATTTTATAAACGTTGTCATTTTCTCATATAATAACAGAAAATTAATTTCTTTCTACGATTCTTTAACAAATGATCACATAAAAATTTTGTTGTAGCTAATTAAGTGAATCTTGTTGGCCATGCGGACACATGAACATTTTAATTTGGATACGAGATTGCAATTTAACAGTTAAAAGCTAAATCACAAGTGTTGTGATCTTTTTAAAATATTTATGGCCATTCCTCGCTCTACACAGCTCTATATAACAACTAGCTATAAGTCTAAAATTGCAAAATCTACAGATATTTATACTCTTTTTTAAATTCAATTATTCATAATATTTTTCTGTATGTAATCTAATGTGTCCCATTTGGTTTTACTTTAAAAGCTAATTACAATAAATAGTTGTATCATACTTGAATTGTTTCTTATGACAATTAACCAGGGTTACCCACAAAATTTTGCTCGCATGTAAAGGTTTTTTTGGATGTCGTATAAAAGTCGAATATTGCATATATTTATATGTATAATTCATTCACAAATATAACTATGAAAACTTTTGATATATAAAAAAGAAGCAAATTTATAGATTTTTCTTTGATTAGAATCAACCATGAAAGCAAAAAGCACTTCATTTTCTATTTGAAGATTATTTTAATTTTTATTGTCCTTTTGATATCAAGCTGTACATTTAAATTATATATTTTTTTGCCTTCAAGACAATAAAGTTTTTAATTAAAATTTTTAGATTTTCTACTGATATTAGTAACAAATAAACTCTTCAAAGCAACCTTTTGTATTTTTTTTTGACGTATAAAATTGAAGATTGAACGATTTATTTAAGTCCTTACTGAAAACGGACAACTAGATTAAACAAAAATTTGGCAAGAAATGTATTATTACTTATAGTTATCTCACCAAACAACAACATAATTGAGGCACACATATTGGCATGCCGTTTTAAACCTATTCTCTTACTTAAGTTCTATAAAATTTTGGGAATTGAGCAATAATTCTAAAACGAGATGAAACGAAAAAACGGCGACTAACCTCTCACGAAAACAAAACAAAAGCGTTCACATTAAGATAATTAACAAAAAGATTACTTGTGCAATTGCTACAAAATATGTATATTTGCACATACTCTTTATTCGTTCTCTCATATGCATATGTGTAAATCAGTAAACCAAATAACCACATATTTGCAATTATGTAGATTTTTGCCTCATTTTCATCTTTCGACACCACGAACTATAACAAAGATGACAAATTTTAGTTTTGGATTTTCGCTCCTACTTGTAGTTATCTATGGATCTATACAAATGTAAGTTTCGTGTGCTCGTGTTTGTTTGATTCATGTTTTTCGTCAGATTTTATGTTGATTGAATATAATAAGTTTTGCTTGTGTTTTTAACTCTTTTAGCTGTTCTTCACTTCTTTCTCTCCTCGCAAAATCTATGCATTTTTATATATTTTCTAGAAAGACACTATCATCTTTGGTAACTGTCTCCACTAAAATCCTCTTTTCTTATCATTACATAGAGTGGCGTAACCAGCCCGCAATCTGCTATGTAAATTTTAGATTATTAACATTATTCATTTCTTTAGAAATCTGTTCGTTTTTGCAGTGAGTGATTACAGAAAAATTAACATAGCAGGACCAAATTTGCAGGCTGACTACGTCATTGATTACATGTGCAAACATTGCTGCCCATCCTTTTTTAATTTTCAACCAGTCCTTATGAATTTTGCTTCGATTTGCACGTTCTAATTACTGTTTCTGTCTTTCTAGTGACTCTAAGTGCTCACTTGACTATTCTCAGCTCGGCTACTTCCAGTCGACCCTTTTTTCAACTTCTACTGTTATAGTTTCCACACCATAGATTATCGCCGATCTGATAACACTCTTATAAATCTCTTCCTTTAATTTAGCCGATAGTTTCTTATTTCACAGCACACACTTAGAACAGCTTCACACAGCTATAGGTCCATTCTCTCAAAAAACTTCACGATAAACGGTCTTTTAACATTTCTCCTCACAGTTCCATAGCTCCCCAAGATCTCATTTCTTCTGTTCATTTTTCCAACATGCCATTTCAAATCAGCTTAGATCACAATTCTTTCCACCTTAAGTATCTTTTTATATGTATCATCTAGGACCTGTCAGAATCTTTTTTTCTTTTTGCCACTCATTTATTCAGCTGTACATACGCTCTATTTATATCAACCACTATTCTACTTTTCTCAATCCTTAGACATAACAAACTATCTGTTATTCTTCAAAATTCCCAACTACGTCCAGTAAATGATTTTTGTACCCATGCTCGTCGTTGTTTTTCAGCATTATTGTTTTTTGTAGCTTTATCCTAAGTTTCTTGATTTTGCTTTCTTAAATCTTGTTTCCTTAACACAAGAAACCTTATATGACATTTCTCCAGCATATATATCACCTCTCTTTTTTCTCCAACATATTACCTATTGTGCGTTCACTCTCGAAGATTTGTTTTTCACTTCTCTTTTCAAATTTCTGTCTGTTTTTTTTTCATTTGGCATTTTACTTCTTCTTCTTGACGTAAGTTTCAAATTAGCATGTCCACCAGCAATTTTCAATTTGAAGGCAATGATAACGGACATCGTTATCTTGTGATCCTATTGGGTCAGGAAGTTTGACTTTTGTAGCTCGAAAGATGCCTTTCCTGTCGCAATTTCTTTCAATTGCGTTCAATGACACGCAGATTGTTATAATAACTCATCCACCAGGCATTGGTTGTTGCTAATATGACACAAACTCTAAAGCGCGGGCCACACTATTGTCGAAATGCAACGAATTTCGTGACGAGTCGCTCGTCAACGAGAAAATATGACGATATGGACGAATTCGTCGCCGTTGAGCATGCACACCGAAATCGTCAACGAGTGACGAGTAATTGTTGCATATCTACTCTGATTGGACAAAAACATCACATGACTAATGTTTGCTTTCACTGTGCTGTGGCAAAATGGCGGATTGGTAAGAAATATTAATTGAGCTAGTGAGAGAGAGGCGATGTTTGTGGGACAAATTTCATCCTGACTATAAAGATACTGGCAATATAAAGAAAAATAATTTGAAGGATGTCGCTCGGGAACTGAAAGTTGCGACCAATTGAGCTTGACAAAGCTCTTGCAACAACGTGTCATACAAGCCCTTCTCTTCTTGCCTTTTATTTATGGGATGTACCCAGAACCTTCTTTTTGTATGTACGTCGTTTTGCAGAAATTAGAAGCAGTAGAATTTTTCTCTTCAATAATAGAAGTTTTTTTTTGCGCTGATAATCGTCCATGCTTGTACGGAAAATCGTTACAATGTGGCACATGTACTCGTCACGACGGCTCGTTGACGAGAGACTCGTCACGAAATTCGTTGCATTTCGACGATAGTGTGGCCCGCGCTTAAGACAGTCATTTAAGAGTCATTTGCGTCAGAAAAAATTCCATTCAAATTTCAATAATTAATGATATCTTTTCAAGTTTAATTAATAGTTTGAAAAATGATATTTTTATCACCAGGAGTCATTCTTTGTGCTGTGATAAAATCAAAAAATTGGTTGATTCAAAAATGGATGCATATCAAGTACTGTGTAAGAAAAATACGTCACTTAATCCTAATTGCTGTGATGACATCAAAACAAAAGTTGAATTATATGAAAGGGCGTATGCATCATTATGCTTAAACAGAACTGACGGTACGTAGACAGAAAAATATTTCTACTTATTTCTGCTTGTAATTAATTTTAAAATAGATTGTGCTTTAATATTTAACATTTGGTTGATTACATCTTGTCTCAAGCTAGCTTGCGCTTCACATAAAATACAGTTGTATTCATTAAAGTGCATATAAACCTTACAGGATTTTAGTATTGTTTAAAAGAACAGCTAGTAAAATTAACAAATTCAAAAAAGTAAATTGATTTACATTAAACCTGTCTTGGGGAATTGCTGTCAAAACTCCAAATTTACAATATACATTTTTCACTAAGGGAACTGGTATATAGTTCATGTCGTGACGTCATGTACGGAGCACTGTTCTGACTTCATTTCTTCTAAGCATTCGTCCCATGGGTGAAAAGGGGAGCCCGAGCAGCACTTTCCCTCGCGATAGCAACTCTTAGTGTAATAATATTGTCTTAAAATTTGAGTTTCCAATTAAGTGATAGGAAACTACAAAAAAAACAAACTTTAAAAACCTTGCCTCTGTATGTAGAGCCATATTTGTCGTAACCTCCTTGTGCACTGACAGCAGTAATTTCATAAGTTCCAGTGTAAGGCACTGTCCAATACTGGATACCTTTTGATACGGTTACCATATTTTCGTGATCCTGACCATTGTAAAATTGACCAATTGATGTTGGACCATGGCGACCAGTGGCTCCAAGATTTGTAATCTTGCATTGAATTGACGGAACTCAACTATATTACAATACAACTATTGAATTGAATCATTTAAATTGCATATAAACCTTGCGTGTTTTTACACTATTCAATATACGTGGTATCAAAGACCATATTCCGAAATTTGTAATCAGACAAATAGTTTGCGCTGTAAACTCCGTCAAATTTGCAAAAATATACCATTTTCAGCGCTCGGTTTTACCGCTATGGGACTGGGCCTGACGTCATGTAAGTAACACGGGATTGAACTGTCGTTAGAGATATATGAAAAGTATAGCAAGATGTTGTCATATAAGGCCTACCTAGTCGACTATAACCGACAGGTTTAACGTTTTCTGCCCATAGGGCAAAAGCCTTCCCTCATTCCTTTTAATCGTCCGCCAATTCTGTTGAAATAAGTGGCTCAACTTTGTTGCGCTAAAGCGAGTAAAATGTCCAATATCAGCTATGTGTAGTATTTGCATTTTACATTTAAGACCAAGAACTTGACTAGGCGGTATATATTAATTTGCAAGAGAAGCAAACTTGTGTAGAATATTTCTTCCCAGTCATTGCTGGCCCAATCTTCTCCTATGTATAAGGGTCACAAAAAGCGCCTGTTTGTATGAGAGCCGGGATGGATTGACTCCCAAAACGGGAGATGAATGAGACCTCGGATTTCATATATTTTCTATATGTAATTGTCATTTGTTTGTATGGAGCTGGGATGTTTTTTGTCTCGCGCCGGTTAGTCTGGATCGATTTTTTATAACCATGATCTTGGTCAACACGGGACTTTGTTTTTTGGTTATATAAATGCTTAAATTTTTCAATATCCAGATACGAAACTTGTCAAATTATTCGGATATAAATAATTGTAGCTACATTTTAATCAATTTCTTTTATTGCAGTCTGCAAGAATCCAAAGCCACTAGGAATGGAAAATGGTAACATACCAGATAGGGCCATAACTGCGTCATCAGTGTACAGTGATAAGTTTCTAGCGCCATTTGCTCGATTGAGAAGAAGCTCATCAAAGTGTTCTTGGGCTCCAGCTGCAAGAAACAGAATGAACTCTTGGCATCAAGTTGATTTTGGTAAAGTTAAAATAATAACTGGGGTAGCTACTCAAGGATCTTGCATTGGGATCGGATTTCAGAAGACCTATACTTTTTCATACAGTAATGATGGAAAAAATTGGTCACCTTACAAAGAAAATGGATCAATAAAGGTATAAAATCGAGTGAAATGATAGGCAAAGAGAGTATGCCGATACCTACCAAATATAAAGAGCAGCCTTTAGACACTTCATTAGCATGGTGGAAAGCCGTTCACGCGCATTGGCTACCCACAAAAACGAGATCTTCAGAATTGTAATTTCTTAAAACTCATGTTCTATAAAATTACAAAGTTAGGATTAAATCTTATCTATCATTTACATAGCCTGGTACACAAACGATAACAACAATTAAGGTTCAGAGATCATTCATATCTGATCTTGCCTTATACCAGCATAATTTAGCACGAATATGCGCATAATTACGCTCACGTAAAAAAAAATGCTTGTTATTCTAAAAGGAAGAATGAAGAACAACAGCATCGTGTATTAATTGCATTTCAAATCAATGTGATGCACTGCAGGCAAATAGAAAGCAAAATTATCAACGTTATATGGAGGACAACTTTTGATGTACGTGAATTGTTTCATGGTGTATCTATTTTTGCCGGTCCTCCTGTTCTTTAATCTTAATACAAATATATACTTTATGTTGTATAATATATGTTGCATACACTAGCTACATGGTAATTCAATTATTTTACAATTTCAAAAATTCTTTGGAATTTTCCTTTTCGCCACGCTGATATTATATTCAATGAAAATTTATAAAATGTGACCAATGATAATTTGTTGGCGAAAACTCGACTGTTGTTTTGGTTTTATTAAACATAATAGTAACGTGTGCTCTCGAACGAATCTCCAACAACTATTGAATGAGATTGAGTATGATATGAAGAATTGTTAAAGCCAAGGTTTCTTTTACCTGCCGATGCAAACTCTATTGGAGTAGGAAAACGCTAAAATTCAAGTTGTTATCCAAATTGCTTGAAATTTTGATAAACTAGGCTAAATGGCTTATATTTTCAAGAAGGAAAAATAAAATTTATTTCTGATTTTCTTTATTTTCGTGCGGGAGGCCTGTTTTGTTTGTTCCACTCGTGGCTTGTTTTGGAAAATTTTAGTCTTTCTGTATAATAAAAAATTTATTGATGCACTGCTATTGTTTTAGTTATTTAGCACGTGTAAATTTTGTGGCATAGTAATGATAGGATCACATTTCAAGAAGATTATCACATGTTGTAGCTAAGATTTCTCTTTCTATGTCTACCTTTAAAATTTTTTTGTATGTTTTATAGATCTTTCAGGCTAACAGCAATACAACAGGCATTGTCAAGAATTACCTTTCAACTCCAATAAAGAGTCGCTTCATCCGTCTTCATAGTAATACTTATTATTCTTATCCAACCCTCAGAGTTGAGTACTATGGCTGCTAGTAATTCTAAAAATGATAATTGTGTACTTTAACGACATTTTCTTTTCTTGTTTTTCAATTGTAAAACATGCTGGGCATATTTTGTAATAAATGGTGGTTGTGAAAACATCTTATTGCGGTTTTTAATTACCATTTCAGCAAAATTACTTTATAGGATATGCTATAAGCTCTGTTAATATGACACCGCCATAGGAAGAAATTATTCTGGAGTTGTCACTTTCAAGTGATTTCGATGGATAACGCTCATCAATAACGTTTTTTAACATTTTCATCCCATCTTTCATAAAATTGATAAAACTAATAATTTTCTTCGTGCATGAGAATCTAGTTTTTCATTAATATTTTGCAACTTAATAACTATCATATTAAAAGTTGTTGAGAGTTTACATTGTCCTTTTTCAAGTATGCTGCCAACGATGAACGAGTTTTGTTCACAATGATTCCAAATGTGAATTTCAATGCTGTTATCAACACGTCTTCCATGAAGACAATTTAGTTTTCTTGGATGTAGTCTCTACAAATAATAGCAACTTCTTAATGTTAGAAAACTCTGCAGGTTAAACAGAAATTTTCAACACAAACACGAGTCAAGTGTCCCCCATTGAGCAACTAAATAGCATCAGAAGTAGAGCAACCCATCAATTCATCAAAGAAAGCATGTGTAAGTGGTTTTGCATGTCACGTGGTAAAAAATGTAAACATTGCTGGTGCTTTCACAGCTCTGTTATATATTTTTATACAACGTCTTGTGTTTTGACGTAAAAAATTTTAAGGTTTATTGTTTTCAATAAACATCCCTTTTTCATAATGGGGGAAATGGGTGGAGCAAAGACTCCAGTTGTTAAGACTGAGAAAGTGAAACGATGATTACATTATAATATTAGAATCTCCCTAACTTAACTGTCATATTCATATGTAGCCATTACTTTGTACTCAATAATACCCACATAAAACAATGATACTGTTCTTCAGACTAAGCATGTTCTTATAAAAATGCAACAAACGATACTCTGTAAAAGGAAACTTTGAGGTCTGAGGTTATTGACTATTACTGAATAAAATTTTTTTCAAAATTAATGTTTCTGAAAACAAGTTTAATTTTCCAAATCAAATGAAGTAGTTTTTCGTCTTTAGTTCTTTGGACCCAAATAAACCTTATAGTTAGAGAAGTTGTTGTACATTTGTTTTTTCAAAAATTCAATAACCTCTTTATTAAATTATTTACTACGATAGTACAAATTAGATGGCTGAAATGATAGTTTATGGTCTTGAAAATCATTTGCTTGTATCTGCAGGAACCATCACTAGCAAATGTCACCCATTCTTCATATTGTCTGTCACTGGTCATATATTATCGAAGTTGTAGTAGTTACTTTAATTTTGGAATTAATTCTAATTTTATTTATTGCTCAAAATCCAATATATGAGTATATAAATATGAGCTCTCCCACATTCAAAATATCATTAAAAATAAAAAGAATAAAATGCGTGCAGTGATTAATATATGGCGATGTTTCGAAAAATCGAATAGCAACCGGTATTAAATACGGGTGGGAAATTTGTTATTTAGGTAAAAGCTGTATTATTCAATCAAATTTTTTCACTTACAACGCTAATAGGAAATAAAAAGGAGAAAAGGATGGCTCACTAAATTACTTATTCACTGAAGTATTAAAAACACAATTGTGTATTCATTGCCTTGAATCATAAACACTATTGTAATTCAAGTGTATAAATAATTATTAACATTTTCGCCAATTTCATAAATCAATACGAGAAAATCAAATATACTAAAACGTTATAAGTATTACATGCAGTTGCAGTTCAGAAGACTATGAAATCTCAGAGGCTGTTGTGATTTGTACACTATATATTTTTTTGTTATTCATTTATGAATGATGAACGACATATGCATTATGCATGCACAAGTAGAACAAGAATATATCATTAGATTTCTTCATCTTTTTATAACATAAACTTATAACCATTTAATCATGCAGTTTAATCATCAGGAACTAGTTTTTTCCACTTTTTTTACAAAGCAAGAGGTTAGACAAGTTCATATACTTTTATAGAGTGTAAGAGATTGAGTCAATACTAATTAACATAAAGACGAATTTCTTCTAAGAAATTCAAGTTACAAAGACATATCCGTCTCCTTTGTTGTTAAATGCTGACTTGTTTACTTGATTTTTTCCCACATTTTACGATCCACTTCTACCACAATAAGATCCATTCACAATATCCCCGCTGCTCCACCTGACTAACCACCTCTACCACCTGGTCCTCCATCATTACCATATGCTCCACCACAACCTCCAAATCCACCAACATCATTGTTATACCAGGCACATCCTCCTGCTCTTCCGTTTATAAAGGCTAATCCTCCCTCTCCTCCATCTCCATACTTTCCACCAAACTGCTTACTACTTCTTCCATTGCTGTAAAATCTACCTCCCCCACCTCCTACATAAACATGAAATTAATAGTGTAAGTTTCACTTTGTTTTGCCGTCAATTTATTGTCCAGATTTCATAAAATAAAAGCACTTCTCGTGTTTGTCATTGATTGACGAAAAAATTACCATACAAACCATTGAACTAAAATGCATGGAACGCTTCCTGAAATACAAATCTTAATAAGTTTTTGAAGCAGTGATTTTACCCCAGACATGCAAGATTTTACCGAAACATATAGTCATTAATTATTACTCCGCGAGAGAATCTCGAAACACTACACATGCGTGTCTGTGGTGAAATATGGCGTGTCTGATGTACGATTTGCCTTCAATTATTTGCTTAAATGGCGTTCAATGTATTTTAATTCAACGATACAAGCAAATATTGTAAAATCTTATATTATACCTGAATTTCCTGAATCTACCTGCTTTCTTCCTTGTCCATTTATCTATTTGTTATCTAGTTCTTACGTCAACGTATATTGTGTATAGGAAATGTGTGTGTGGGTGCTTGGCTTAGTGAACAGCTAAAGTACAGTTGTTTGAGACCAATTATTAATTAATGTACTCATTATTAGAAATGGGTACTAGTTCCCATTTTGGTTAAAAAAATAAATATCATTGACGCCTTTTGATTAAAATAAATAATATTGACAGTCAAAAAACTTTAATGATATAGTCAATAAATGCTTTTCCATTAAAAGTAAGATGGAATTTTTTCTCAATTTTTTGCAATGTGCATCCCTTCATAATCTCCTGTTGACCATTGCCCACAAGGATGTGCATCCACCACCCGCCCCTCCCATACGATGTTTACGACTAAAATTTGCTTCTGCAATGACATGTAGTAGTAAAGTTGATTGTTTAGATTTGGGTTTTTAAATGTTTGAAAAAGTTGGTTTTTTGAACTTTCTTATAGCTTACTTCTTATTAAGAGTTTTTGTTTTTGCTACCTTTCAAGATGGCATCCTTGCCTAATATTGACACTGTATGAAAATATTCATGGGATTGGGTTCTAAATCATCGATTTCATCAACAACCAGATGTATAATGTATTTATGCCATAGGCATAGTAAAAAAAACTCTCAAAAAATGTTTTGATAGTTAACATGTGTGTACGCATAGCGTACCCATTTTGACCTTTTACTTGTACTTAAAGTGTCCATAAAACTGAAGTAATATATTATATCCTATTTCTGTCGTCATGACGCGAGAAAATTTTCAAATGGATTGCTATTTGTGTGATTTGTCAACTCAGTACTTTGGAGAACCGGAAGCTGTTGCTCTTACCCATTTCGATAAGACAAAAAGTAAGAACTTTGCTTTATGCCTTGAAGGTTTTGTATTGTATTCTCGCGCGTTTATCTCACTTGGGAATTCATGGACTAAATGAATCTGAAATGTTCTGTACGTGATTATGTATGCAAATTTTATTAATTGAAACATTACTGAAGCAATCGTGAATTTGCGGTCACGGAAACTTCACCAGATTATCTATTCAATGGCCTTGATTCTTCTGTCAAGACAAATCGAACGTTAAAGTCGTCTGGACTGTTAGCTCGTTTTATGATCGTCTTTATTGTTCAGGAACTGGTTGTATAAAGCTTTTAACTACTTTTTAACTACACTTTTTGCAGTTAAAAAATAGTTTCGAACACATTTCTTTCAAGCATTTTACTCAGCTGTTATAAAGAGAAACGAAATGACGTTTTCCTTTGTTACTCTCATCTCCCAGTTTTAAATTCTGTAAAAGCAAGGCCATTTAAATATTTAAATCCTTGCACATAGAACACAATATGAATCAATTTGAGAAGAGTTCATTGTTTCGTTTCCCAAAGTCCATTATATACAATTGGTACATGAAATAAAGCAGTCTTTGCCGAGACGCATTTCATGTACGCATTTCATTTCAACTTTTGGAGATGAATAATATAACGCAAATATTTATGTATATTTTTTAGCATATCTAGTTCGGTAATATCAATGCTATGGTATGACTTGCAAAATTAACTGCATTCAATTGAAGCGATCTTCGGTCGTCTTTGATCTTCCTGCCATTCTATAGTTCCAGATGACCTAATAAGTCAACTACTACGCAAGCGATTTGAGTCAGCTGGATTGTGTTACCTACGGTTGAGTGTTGCATGGTTTTCGAAAGACACGAGCACAAGCTGAGTGTTTAAAAAGTTCTGAATTTGAACCAAATAAGTGAAACATCCAATGTGATTTTCGCGATATACCAGTAGACACAACAACAAAAGCAACAATTGGATGTTTGTAGATGTAGATCGTCTGGGTTGGTGTCGTCCTTAGAAGGACTGCTGGTGCTAGTGTTAACTGACATTTCGACATCTTAAGCGGTGTACATGGCTATGAAGATAAACCTGGAAGATCTACATCGATAAACATGTAATGACTCTCCCGGGTTCAAACGATTCATTTTAAAGGCAGCAATGATATAGCTACCAGTAAAGTACGTACAATGGAAAATATGAAAGTTGTTTTTAAACGTCTTGAACATATTTTTGTTTAGTAACACTTTGTGTCTGTGTGTCACTTTCTCTACCAAATTATTACCCTAATATTTGTGTTTTTTATTGTTCGATGATTTCACCATAATTTACCCATATGCTTTGCTGTACTATTGTGTAACTGATGGTATGATATGCCACGACAGAGTATTGGTTCTTGATGTTCCTAAAGACACATAGTTAGAACGTTTGATCATAAGCAGTACAGATCAACAGACTGGGGAAAGGTGTGTGTAATCGCAAAGTTTTGTGATATTTTCCAGTTTTGTCAATATAATGAATATATACTCTTGCTTTGCATTGATGTATTTTTGGTTTTTCTCTGTATCGTGCATTTGTGTCATCAATTATTTTTGATAGAATTGTGTTTGAAAGCAAATCGTTATAAGTTATAATTCTTCTTTTGAAAAATTTTGGTTAAGTGTGATTTTTTTGTCATCAGCCTTTTCGCGTTCTCTTGTCATAGTAGCACAGACTGAATTTCAAGGAATTTGACTTTCGTTGTTATTGATTGTGTGTTTTGTCTTGCCTCTTTTCAGATATCATCTTCTCTACAATCCTCCTCGTGCCGGTGAAGTTAAGGATCGGTTAAAAATGGTAAAATTTTACGATTATCTTGTTTCGTTTGCTTTATCATGTACGCAACTTTAAGAAAGTAAATGCCTCACAGAAACGATACAGTGTCACTAAAATACATCCCTGAGAACAAAAGCATTGGAATTGCTCTTTTTTTTGATTGAATCAAAAATTTCAAATAAAATTTCATGCACTTCGCTATTATTTATTATTATAGCATCCGCAAGATCAAGAAGAGAGAGTTTTCGAACGTCTTTTAACTTATCTTGAGCATATAGAGGGTGTTACAGATTTTTACGAACGAATTGTACAACACATCAACGCTGATCAAGATCCACATAAGGTCTTTGAATGCATTGATAGTAAGATCATGAATCCATTGCCTCGAAAAGAGTAAAATTTCAGCCATATTTATCGTTGTCATTATCATATAGATTCTTTTATACGCTTCTTCGCTGTTTTTTGATTCGAAACTTAAGTTCAGTGACTAAGTTAGTTCATTATAAGCTCAAATCAGATATTTATGTTTGATCTCATACTTGTGATTTAGTTTGATTTTTTTTACATTAAAAAAAGTTTTACAGTTTTATAGTTCTAATGTTCTAGGTACTATGATTATATAGTTCATTTTGTCGTGCTATGCAAATTTCTAAAAGAATCAATAATGATAAGTTTTTTTATTAAAGGCATCTCCTTTTGCAAATCTTAGGTATTTAGGTGTAACTGCAGTTGTGGATTACTCATTACGGGGCCTGTAGGCTAAGAAAAATGAAGGGCCTTTAAGCGATAGCTATTCCTCAGAGTAAGTTCAGTTTTTCTTTGCTTTGCATTTCCTGTTGGTAACTCCATAGGGTAAAAATTGGGAAAAGTTCACTTAAAGGTTAAAACAAAACTTCAAAAATCATTGACATTGTCTGGAAATAGGAAACGTTAATCCTTTTTGAAGTGAAAGATTTGAAAGATTTGAAAAGTAGATAGTACGAACGCCATTTTTTCTCTGAATTCAATTGTTCGTATAAATTCAACAGCGTAATTTATCAAAGTTAAGCGCGTTTAGCTAGCCCTTAAAGCAAAAACATTAAAATCCTAATTGTGTGTAGATACACCGGGCCTTTCGAAAGCCTGAGCCTTTAGGCTTAAGCTTACTCAATCAACTGGATAATCCGCCCCTGGTTACAAAGTATAGATAAAGTAGGGTATGTATAGCTAAGGTGGTCTATGTATGGTTAAAGATTGCGTAGAAAGGTATTAGGTGTGTTCCTTTATAACACCGTATTGATACACTTCAGGAAGGGGTAGATGAAGATACCATCAGTTGAGACTAGTTCCAGAGCTCGAGACGAAAAGTGCCGATATTTCATTTTGCTCGAAAACTCGTTGCCAATGGCGGCTTTTGCAGATATAAATATTCCACATAAAAATGGCTCGCGTTCTTTGCTCAAATTGGTTTCAGCTCTCGTTAAACTTGGTTACATCGTTCTTGGTTACATCGTTAGAACGGTTAAATCTCGTTAAAGTATATTTTTTGGCCAGGAGAACGTTCTTGAAAGATATGCAGAAGAAAGTATTGAAAAATAGATTTTTGTTTTTTTTTGGTGTATGTCATGCCTATTTTTATTTGTAGTTATCTCTTGTACTTCGGATATCCGGTGCTGTCGTGGATCTTTTGGACATTCAGGGATCATCTGTTCTTGTCTCGTTTGAAGATGGATGGGACATTACTACACAAGTAAGCTTCATTTAAGCACCTAGCTTATGTTATTTACAAAATTTACTTGTTACGCATGCTCCTATAAAACATCGCGATCTGGCAAAACATCTTTTATATTGGGCCATACTTCATGTAAGATCACCTTTTAGTAGTGTGAAGTTTGGACTTTTGTTGTACATAAGAAGTAAAAATTCACACATCAGATTATTATAGTGTAATCTTTTTTGGTGTGTTTATTATCTAAATTATTATTTTAGCGATAGTAAATGGCGATAGTTGTGTAAGCCCTCAATACCCAAGCGCAAGATCTTACGTTTTGTTGTTTCCAGTTCTTTTGAAATCGAATGTGTTTTTTTTAGTTCCATTTTAATATGCATAAATAAATATTCTCCACTCCCCTCTCCACCCAATGGTCAAACTGTCAATGTCTCTGTTTTACGTACGAACAATTACAGTTAATACTTCATGTTTTTTTTTTGTAGGTGACGTCCTTTGCTCAAGTAATGTTAGATCCATACTACCGACCGATTAATGGTTTTAAAATTTTAGTTGAAAAAGAATGGTTGTCCTTTGGACATCGTTTCTCACATCGTTGTAATCATACACATTCAACGGAATCAAGTGGATTGACGCCTGTTTTCTTGCAATTTCTTGATGGCTTCTATCAGGTTAACATTGTTTCTTAAATTATCATAAAAAAATTGGGGTTAAGATGGTCTGGTTGAGTCTTGTGCAAAATTTTCTTTTTATACAATACATAAGAAAAACGTTTGACAAAAGCTTGAGTTAAGCATATATTTTTTTTTGAAAATTTTATTCTATCAAAACTTTTAGTCATGAAGTTAAGGCGCTTTTCTCGCCATAATTTTGAAATATACATTTAACTCTTAAAAGCAATTCTTTCGTGGTCATTATCTTCAAAGTTTTCTTGGATTGTTTGTGTTCTCAGTTATTTATTTTTACAGGAAAGTTTGGAAAAATTACTCATTTCTACATATTTTTTATGTTCTCAGATATTACGTCAGTATCCACTATCCTTCGAATTCAACGAGTATTATTTACATTTCCTCGCCTATCATCATGTCTCCATGCGTTTTCGTACGTTTTTACTGGATTCAGAGCACTAACGTGTGCAGATGGGTTGGCTCTCAGATGCTGAAAAGAAAGATGCAAAGACTTCTAAATCTCACATAAAAAGTCTTTGGGATTACATCGACATGCTACACAAAAAATCATCATTATTTTATAATTTCAAGTTTTCGAAAGAACATTATGAAAAGGCCAGTTGTTGATTTGCAGCCATATTTTAGCAAATCTAGAAGATTTTCTTCTTGTAACTCAGATTTAATACATTATTTCTAAATTCCCAGGTGATTCGATCAAGAAGTCATAAATAAGCAAGCGGCATTTTTGACGGATTTGAAACAATGGCGATCTCTAAAAGAAAAAGATTACTTCTTCTTAAGAAAAAGTTACTGCTTTGAAAGTTGAAAACAAGCAACAGCAAACGTCGATACTGGATTCATCCAATTAATAAACGACGTGATCGTCTTGGACTATTCAACAACATGATTAAAGAATTACGAGAGCCGAAAAATGAAAATAGACACATAGGGCCTTTAGACACTGGTCGTTTAGATCGATCTGAGATCGATCTAACGTAAAGCGAGCTAAGTGTGAACTTTCGCTAAAATTTGCGATCGATCTCAGATCGATCCGGTTTATATGTGAACGTAAGTGAGCTTATTTCGATAGAACAGTTTCGCTCACATGCCGTTTCCGCAAAAACGCAGACGCAAATTTTTCTCAAAATTTAAAATCAAAACAGAGAAAAAAAGCTTCGAAATTGCGCAAAAACGAGAGGTTTGGTCAGAAAAAGACTGTTTAGCCCTCCTCTCAACGTACGGTATAGAAGAAATTCAACAAAAGTTGAAAGGTACCCACGAAAACGCTGATATTTATAAAAAAATCAGCATTATAATGAAAAAAAAAAGGGATAGATCGTGATTGGACGCAATGTAGAACTAAATTTAAGCATATGAAATCTGAATACAAAACGTTTAAAGACACATTATCACGATCAGGAGCTGGGGAGGCAAGGAACCTAAATTCTTTAAAGATATGGACAGTTTCTTGGGTGACAGACCAGAAGCCAGGGGTCTAAAAAACGTCATCGATACATCTGATGAATCAACGTGTTCATCAGCTGATGCTGAAATAAAAAGCATTAACGTGCATGATGATGATGGTAAGTTATCGTGGATGAGTTGATATCGAGTGTTTTTTTCGCAAAAGAAAATATTGGTTTTGTGTTTCATAGTAGACGAGCTTACAAGAAAATATGGACACGGAGGATCATTGAAAAAAACTGTCCTCAGTGCGATGAGTTTGGGAGCTTAGGACAGCAGGAGCCCATGTTGGAAACAGCACTGCAGTATACGCTGATCATGACAGACTTGTTTGCCCATTTTGCGATTGCATTGAAGCAGGTGAAAAGTAGAGCATTGCATGTGTGTACTTTATTTTTTTTTATTACGTCGTAACATTTATGATATATGTTATGTAGAAGTCAGTAACACAGATGAGAAGTTACCTAGTGAAGCAAATGAGGAATCCGAACAATTTCAAAGTGAAAACAAATCAATACCAAGGGGAAAGGCAAAGGCCTCCAGCATGCAAGTGGCATTCGAGAATGCAATGAAAGAGCACAACAAATATCTCGAGGAGTCCGATAAAATGTTTTTGTCAGAAATGAAAAAGAAGCAAAAAAAGAGCGAGAGTTGCGAAAGGAAGAGCTTAATGTTTATAAGGAGTCAATGTCTCTTCTTTTAAATGCAATGCAATGAGGTCTCAGCCCGTGCAACAACCATTCTACAATGTTCACCATTATGCTGAAATTCAACAAACATAATACAAACTTTGATTTAATTTCAGAACATGAGTAATTTAGCTATCATTAGCTTATTGTGTAATCAACAACTCAGTTAAAGAATTTCTAATTTGCTCTGCACTTGCGTCTGTGTTCTGTAAAACAAATTCTGAAATTTCATCATCAGGAATAAGTTCAACATAATCTGCAAAAAGTTTGTCAGCTCTACTCTCACAAATATTGTGTACAACACAACATGCTGCAATTTTCATAGGCAAATGATCTAAATTTGTATAATTCTGTTAAGTAGGCATCTGAATATGTTTTTTAAATGGCCAAATGCACACTCCACGACTTGCCTTGCTCAACTTATGTAGCAATCAAATTTCTTTTGAGCAGGACTGAGATTGCCATCGTTAGGATGCCTCTTCACCAACCATGGTAACAGTGCAACTACCTTTCTCTTTTCTTCCCTAGAGTATATCAAGACCATGAATTTTCTAGTGGCTATTATCAAAAATTCAGTGAAATTTGCCTCTGACAAAAGATAAGCTTTTTATTATAAGAAAAGGAAACTTACATATGGGAAGAGTTTTCCTGCTTCAGCTTTTGCAAACACTCCCGAGTTAGACCAAACTCTTGCATTATGGACTCGACCTGGCCCTTTATGCAAATGTCAGTGAATCTTCAAAATTTTTTAAATTAATATTTTTTATTTTTTAAGTGTGTGTAATTTAATTCACTTTGTGTAACATACTCACTCAACTAGTTGAAACACATGTCAAAATTAATAAGAAACCTATTTTACATCAGTCACTGTTAAACTTTCCCATGGGATCTAAAAATTGTTAGAACGTGAAAAATGTCAGTTGCATAGCAGGGAGGCAAAAATTTATTAAGTCAACCCTGACAAAAGCAGCACGTTTTGGTACCTGTATTCATGATCAACAACAGCTTGAAGAACAATAGAGTAGAATCCTTTTCGATTTTAGTAACCTTGTGCAGAATTTGAAGGTGCTACAATTTGAATATGAGTGCCATCAATGGCTCCAGCGCATTGAGGGAAGCCCCATGTTGGTAGAAAGGCATCAGGGATACTCTGCGGTTTATCGCCCGTTGGCCATTTGATAACAAGACGCAATAACACGTCAACAATAGTTTGGCAAACCTCGTTCACGATTCCACTGGCTGCACTTTTTCCTATACCAAAAACGCCAAGCTAAAGAACGCAAATCTTCATTGGTAGCCAAATGCCAAAGACAAATTCCTACTGTTTTTGGCATAGGGATAGCCTTTCTGAAATGTTTATCTTCTCGCAAAAGAGTGTCATTGATCTTGTCGCAAATGAAATCGAATTTTCCCTTAGACATACGAAAATTTTCTAGCCACAACCCATCATTTTTCCACACATCGATAGTTTTTCCCCAGAACAAACAGGTCTTTTGCTTGCATCCACCAAGAAACGTCTTTCATTTATTAATTTATTTCCTAGAGTGCCAATAAACCAAAAATAAAACTGGCCGTAACTTCTTTTACTTCGCTGTTTTCACAGTTTCAAAAAAATATTTCTTTCTCCTTTCACGACGCAATCGCATCTTTTTTTGGGATTCAGATGTAATATTGAAAATGGTTGCGATCACTTCGTCCCCAATATCGGGATTGCAATAAAATAAATATTACACTTTGTTGTCAAGGAAACAAGCTCGGTTTACGTGTGCCTCAGAGTTAAGTGTGAACGCTTGAGCTTGGCCATTCACAGGATCGATTTTCATCCCGCCTACCTATGATCTCGTCTCCTAAAGGCGAGACCTCGGCAACCGGGCCAGCCAGCTCTTTCGTATGAACACGACGTGAACATCAATAGAAAATGTATTGCAAAGCAAGAACATATATAGATGAGATGTCTCGCTAACCGGGCTCATATGACCAGGCCTTAATTCAAGGCATCTAGTTACGTTGATCAAAGGACAATAAATTATGAATTTTCCTCAAGATAGTCCTTGGAGGTCCGTTAAATCTGTGTAATATACATGTACACGCCATAACCTGAGTTTGCATGTCATGAAAATTATTGAATTTTAGAGTTGTCTCTCCTTCTGAAATGTGCAAAGATGTTAAGTAATATTATCGATTCTTCATCGATGTAATAGTAAATATCTCAAGGTTTTTTAGGCACACTTAAAGATGTAAAATGTTAATTAATATTTATTTTTAACGTTGAAAATTTAAATGCCACGTCAAGCAAATTTTATTCAACCTAAAGCAATCTGTAGCTACTGACCTCGACACAAAAAGGGAAAAAAGTCAAACAAAAGGGAAATTAATGTTTGTGAATGATTTTAATGTTTTCTCTTGATCATAAGTTGACAAATCTTTCTAACTACAATGAGATACTTAAGAACAAAAATATTCTCTTTTTAGTTAATTAATTCATCATATATGAAACGTGCATCTGCTTGAACAAGGTTATATTTCTCAGTTTTCCCATTATTGTTAAATTTTCGTGTATAATTTTCACACGTGTATGAAAATTAAATTGCATGGATACATACAGTTGGACATTAATTGTTCTTAAAGAGTCACATATTTTGCATTGGTAAAGACTAAGTGGCTAAAATAAACATTGTGTATGACCCTACTTAATTCAAAAAACTTTTATATAAATACGAAGGGTTCCCTCTAAGCAATATGCCCAAGAAAATAAACAGAAGAGATTACATTTCCAGGTAATTTTAAATTTTGAATGCATGTCATGTGTGACACGCACGCACTTATTGTAAAGTTTCAATAGAAATAGAACTCACTGGAAGGCGATACAGAAAAAAAGAAGCTTATTTTGATCCCCATCAAACTCACGGTATGCAAAATATATGGCTTTGACAGTAATATATCGCTATGACACCACAACAGTGTATGTCTATGACACCACAAAATGGTTATGAAAACATGGCTATGACAACAATATACATGACTATGACTTCACAACTATAAATATAATGTTGTGCAAGCCAAGCAGTTTTCTGTAAACTATTGCACGACAGTAAAAGAAAGATTTATAGCAGATAATCAAAAAGCAGATAGTAAGTAAAAAAAATTTGTCAAATTTGAAACTAAATAAATTCTAATACAGACAAATCTCTTCGTTAAAGCTACCGAATGTATAAAGCTTTGTTTGCATGCATGTCACAAAAATTTATACATTTTAAAAATGCGTTTCTTTTGGAAATATGTTAATGTGTGTGAATGTCGAAATAATATGTATTCTTTATCGATGTATTAGTAAATATGTCAGCGTTTGTTGGACACACAAACTGTCGATTCTTATTTTAATTTAACTGCCACGTCAAGCAATTTTAATCAACCAAAAGCAATTCATGCCGACTTTCATACAATGAGAAAAACAAATACTCGTAAAAGACAAGAAAAGATAAGAAAAATAGACATGTTTGGCTTTGATGATTTCTTATTACTGTTAACATTTAATGAAATAGTCGCGTTTATTGAAGAAAGAAAGTTCGTTTAGGTAAGTGACAATGTATATAACTTGGCGGTGGAAGATACAATAATAACTATGATGATATAATCGTTCGATATACGTTTTCGCTCATGTGATTTTTAACTAATGTTCTCTTATGATTAACAATAACAATGTTTATTCTTGAATATACTATAATATATCAATATGTCAACAATTACCAACTTAAAATTTTAAAAAGTTAATAATTCTTACAAAAAACAATGCGATACTTAAAACAATAATTTCTTTTTAACATAATTAATTCATCGTGTATAGCTAATAAAATGTGAAGCTCCTGAAACAATGACAATTAACTATTTTTAACTGTTTCATCAAATATTTTCTGAATATTTCAATATTAATTAGCATGTACATGCATTTAAAGACTGATTCATGATTTTTTAACAATTCTTAGAGAGTCACAAACTCTGTATTTTGCCAAGATAAAGTAGCTAAGTCACTGTGTGAACCAAATTTTCGCACTTCAAGAAATAAAAAGGAACTCGTGCAATTGAATTAACAAACCCTATACAAATATACGAAGACTTCCGTTTAAGCAATAGGCTTAAAAACACAAATATTGAAGCACTTGCAATTTCCTGCATTTTAAATTTATAAATTCATTTCTTGTTTGAGACGCTTGCACTTCTTGCAGAACTCGAATAAGAACAGAGCTCCCTGGAAAAATTTCTCTCAGAAAACTGCGGATAAATTAAAAAAGTATGTGTATTTATCAATTGTTTTGTATATTTGTAGTCAATTTATATTACATTTTTATTGAAATGTGCTCGTATGTAAATATTTTGATATTTAAAATTGTCACTTTAGTTTGGTAAGCTTGTTCTTTGTTGCAGTATGAACTCTTATGCAATGCAGGTGCTTATATGCAATATATTACAGATACACATTACTTTTAAAAGCATGAGAGATGACGTGTAAAGCGTAAAAAGACAAAATACGGAAGTGGATCGTACTGACCCCCATCAAAGTATCGCTACACAAAATATTTACACAAAATATTTACGACAGTAGTTTTGAGCCAATTACATCAACTATAAAAAAGAGAAAAACTTAAGATTCATGATATGAAAGAAAGATGCAGATTATTTCTTTTTATTATATGGCAAGCGCCACTTCTTCAAAATGGCGCGCTTTGATTGAATCCGGTCCATTATTCTCCCGCAATCGACCACGATCCGAAATGCATAACTTTACACTCAAGTATAAACAAACTTCGTAAAGCAAACAGGAAAACGCAAGAAAAAACATAAAGAAGAAAAATTTATAAGCTTTTGCTGCCCATGCAACTGCTCTCATCTGTCCATTTTCTCAAACTAAGAAAACAATTAGGCTAAATGATTACCTTCGAATGACTACTACATCTTATCATAATATAGTCAAGAAAACCATTGATATGTATATAATGTGGCATTACGTATCCAAGTATAAATTGAGAGCAGAACGTAAATGTCATCGGTACCTATTCGTAAAACAAAGACACAAAATTACTCTTTTTTGTTTTTGTCCTTTTACATTTTTTATTACGCATTGACTATTGAAACAATCAGGAGAAAATCTAAGAGATCAGTATAGCAGGTTTTATAAGAAGAATTTCAAAATTGTACTTTAATATAGTTAAGTGATTTTAAACTCTATTCACTTATATCCTGGTAATTTTATAAACGTTGTCATTTTCTCATATAATAACATAAAATTAATTTCTTTCTACGATTCTTTAACAAATGATCATATAAAAAATTTGTTGTAGATAATTAAATGAATCTTGTTGGCCATGCGAACACATGAACACTTCAATTTGGATATGAGACTGCAATTTAACAGTTAAAAGCTAAATTACAAGTGTTGTGATCTTTTTAAAATATTTATTGTCATTCCTCGCTCTACACAGCTCTATATAACAACTAGATATAAGTCTAAAATTGCAGAATCTACAGATATTTATACTCTTTTTCAAATTTATTACTCATAATATTTTTCTGTATGAATTCTAATGTGTCCCATTTGGTTTTACTTTAAAAGCTAATTATAATAAATAGTTGTATCATACTTGAATTGTTTCTTACGACAATTAACCAGGGTTACCCACAAAATTTTGCTTGCATGTAAAGGTATTTTTGGATGTCGTAAAGAAGTCGAATATTGCATATATTTATATGTATAATTTATTCACAAATATAACTATGAAAACTTTTGATATACAAAAAAAGCAAATTTATAGTTTTTTCTTTAATTAGAATCCACAGTGTAAAGCAAATGGCATTTTATTTTCTATTTGAAGATTATTTTAATTCTTATTGTCACTTTAATAACAAGCTGTACATTTAAATTATAAATTTTTATTTTGCCTTCAAAACAATAAAGTTTTTAATTCAATTTTTCAGATTTTCTACGGGTATTACTAACAAATAAACTCTTCAAAGCAACCTTCTGTATTTTTTTTTAATTATAAAATTGGAGATTAAACGATTTTTTAGTCCTTAATGAAAACGGACTGCTAGATTAGACAAAAATTTGGCAAGAAATGTATTATTACTTATAGCTATCTCACCAAACAAAAACATAATTGAGGCACACATATTGGCATGCCGTTTTAAACCTATTTTCTTACTTAAGTTCTATAAAATCTTGAGCAATGAGCAATAATCACAAAACGAGATGAAACGGAAAAAAAGGGCGACTGACCTCTCACGAAAACAAAACAAAAGCGTTCACATTAAGATAATTAATAAAAAAATTACTAGTGCAATTGCTACAAAATATATGTATTTGCACATACTCTTTATTCTTTCTCTCATATGCATATGTGTAAATCCGCAAAGCAAATAACCACATATTTGCAATTATGTAGATTTTTGCCTCATTTTGATCATTCAACACCACGAACTATAACAAAGATGACAAATTTTGCTTTTGGCTTTTCCCTCCTACTTGTAGTTATCTATGGATCTATACAAATGTAAGTTTCGTGTGCTGGTGTTTGCTTGATTCATGTTTTTCGTCAGATTTTATGTTGATTGAATATAATAAGTTTTTACTTGTATTTTTGTCTCTTTTCAGCTGTTCATTTAATCCCATCTTGACACTTGGCACTCACCTTTCTCATAAATAAATATTCTTCGCAAAATCTATGCAGTTTTTACATGGCATTTTTCTTTTACTCTAGACAGATACTATCATCTTTTGGTAACTGTCTTCACTAAAATCCTCTTTTCTTATCATTACATAAAGTGGCGCAACCAGCCCGCAAGTTTTGGTCCTGCTATGTAAATTTTAGATCATTAACAATATTCATTTCTTTAGAAATCTGTTGTTTTTACAGTGAGTGATTACAGAAAAACTAACATAGGAGGACTAAATTTGCAGGCTGACTACGTCATTGATTACATGTGCAAACATTGCTGCGCATCCCTTTTTTAACTTTTAACCAGTCCTTATGAATTTTGCTTCGATTTGCACGTTCTAATTACTGTTTTTGTCTTTCTAGTGACTCCAAGTGCTCACTTGACCGTTCTCAGCTCGGCTACTTCCAGTCGACCTTTTTTTCAACTGCTACTGTTATAGTTTCCACACCATAGATTATCGCCGATCTGACAACACTCTTATAAATGTCTTCCTTTAATTTAGTCGATAGTTTCTTATTTCACAGCACACACTTAGAGCAGCTTCACACAGCTATAGGTCCATTCTCTACAAAAATTTCACGATAAACGGTCTTTCAACATTTCTCCTCCCAGTTCCATAGCTCCCCAAGATCTCATTTCTTCTGTTAATTTTCTAACATGTCTTTTCAAATCAGCTTACATCACAATCCTTTCCACCTTAAGTATCTTTTTATATGTATCATCTAGGATCTGACAGAATATTTTTTTCTTTTTGCCACTCATTTATTCAGCCGTACAAACGCTCTATTTATGTCAACCACTATTTTACTTTTCTTAATTCTTAGACATAACAAACTATCTGTTATTCTTCAAATTTCGCAACTACATCCAGTAAATCATTTTTCCACCCATGCTTGTCGTTCTTTTTTTAAGCATTATTGTGCCACAATTTTTTTTGCTTTATCCTAACTTTCTTGCTTTTGCTTTCTTAAATCTTGTTTCCTAAATACAAGAAACCTTAATCTGACTTTTCTCTATCATATATACAGGGGCGGATCTAGGATTTTTCAAACATCAGTCATAAAACGTCGGAGGCGCTCCGCACCTGGGGGGGTCTGAGGCATTCTCCCCTGAGAAATTTTGAATTTCAGAGCCTTGAAAATGCCATTTTCAGCGTTTTAGAATAATACAAAATGTATTTGTGGGCATCGTTTTTGCGTAAAAACAACACATTTTGCTTACGTTTTTTTCAAAAAAAAAATGAAGTGAACAATACTTGAATGTTTTGCCAAATATTTAGGCTCATTCTCATGCCAAATATATGGCTCATTAGCATGTGTAGGAACGTAAAATGTATTTTACAATAATGCTATTCAAAAACAGATATAGTCTTTAATAATTTCTACCAAGTTGTCAGGCATAGACCCCCCTAGAGACCCCCATTCAAACCTCTATGTAATGAGTTAAGTTAGAAATTTGGTACTACAAGTGACAGTTCATAGATATAGAAAAGCTCAGACTTCAAACCATGCAAGTTTATTGTAACCCTTTACCCATCTCCACATCAGTATTAGCAAATTCACCTTTTGAGAAAAAACTCAAAATTTTTTTCTGCCAAAGATTAAGCAAAAATTATCAGAGTGAAAATTTGCATTTAAGGACAGCTTAATGCCATAAATGTTTATTAGGCATTTCACTTGACTATTATCTTCTTCAAGGTGTGCTATATAGCAATCACTAGTAGCATTGTATTATCAAATGCAAACAGAATGTAACCAACATGTCTTTAATTATATAATTACATTAATGTTAAAATTGGTTCAAGTGTCATGCTTACTGGTTATGATAAATATCTTTTCATATGATCAAAGCTCGTTTAAATGTAAATCTGAAATAATTTAGTTTAGAAATTATAATGATCATCAGAAAAATTACCTAGTGATCATGAAAAATATTTTGCTGTTTTGCGAAATTTCAAGGTTTATCTGCATACATAGGAAGACATTTTTACTTTATAGAAAATGCTCTTCATACATCAATAGCCCTTTGGAATTTATGGCAAACAATCTGGCATGAGCTGTAGATTAACACACCTTTACATCTCTACATGAGGTGTTCAGTTAGAAAAGGGGACAATATGTGACATGGGACAACATTTCATTTTTTGAAATACTAAGATTTAATACCATTACAGTCAAATTGTCAAAATGAAAAGCTTCATGGATCAGAAGACTCAAAATCACAGGTTATAGTAAACAGCTTCTCATGTAATTAATGTTAGTTTTCTCAAATCTTAAACAATATGTAGTATAACTGTCTATTGATTGAATGATCAATGATCATAAACTAAAGAGCCCCAAACATTTGTTTATGATAAAGTAAATAATGATATGGCGCCTTATGGCTACAGATTTTTTGTCCATTGAAATATATTTGCAGGAATGTAGGATTTCGCTGCCATATAATGGTCACGATTCCCCAAGCACTAAAGAAATCATAGCTAAAAGTCCTTTGGCAACAACAATTTTAGCAGCATCAATCTGCTTACCATACGCCATATTGACATAAATCGCATCACACACTCGCATAAATTGACTTTGTTATATTACATTCATGCATACACTTCAGTTGTCCTTTACTTACGATTTTGGATGTAAATTTCTGCTGATAAAACTCAAAACAATGTTGGCTTGCTTTTTAACATCAATGATTGAAATGTCGCTCGCTAGATCGTCTTTGCCATGCATTTACAATTCATCCATAAATTTTTCGCCCTCTTGAAAAAATTCACAGTTTGGACAGCAGCATTCATGTCAATATATATATGAATTTGTAAAAGATTTCCATAAATTCCATCTGATTGTAGTTTAGTTTCTATCATGCTTATAAAAATTACTATGAAACGATCAAACATTCAGTTCAGACAGTTAGCTTGACTATGTTAGTTCAGTTGGCTATCAGTCGAAATCCGTCAAACCAATCACAATAAAACAAAAATTCAAATGAACCAATTGTAAGATAGCAATTGACTCCTTATACGTCCGGCCACCCTATTATCAGTCGAGACCATTCCAGACTGTCCACTGATCTGGCCATTGACCAATAAAATAAGCGTTTTTTGCGTTCATAGACTCCTTTATCCGTCGAACCAGTCAAGCCACCCCGCTTATCAGTCGGTTATTCCAGGTCAATTAAAATTCAACTGATCTGGTTACCAACGAGATATTCATTGGATTTGTCATTAGTTTTCAATAATAAATAAAGCTGGATTTTTATCACGAAGTAAATGCGATAATAAAGTAAGAATAATTAATGAATTTTTAATTAATATGAATAGGTAATTTTTGAATTTCAAACATTAGTCGCGCGACGGATTTGACATACTCTAGATCCGCCCCTGCATATATATCACTTTCTTTTTTTCTCCAACCTATTACCTATTATGCGTTCACTCCAGAAGATTTGTTTTTTCACTTCTCTTTTCAACATTCTGTCTGTTTTTTTTTCTTTTGCATTTTGCTTCTTCTTCTTCTCGTAATTTTTAAATTAGCATGTCCACTAGCAATTTTTATGTTGAAGGCAATGATATCGGACATTGTTATCCCGGGATCCTATTGGGTCAGGAAGTTTGACTTTTTGTAGCTACGAAAGATGCCTTTCCTGTCGAAATTTATTTCAATTGCGTTCAATGACACGCAGATTGTTATAATAATTCATCCACCAGGCATTTGTTGTTGCTTATATGATATAGACTCTAAGACAGTCATTTAAGAGTCATTTGCGTCAGAAAACATTCTATTCAAATTTAAATAATTAAAGATATCTATTCAAGCTTAATTAGCAGTTTTAAAAATGATATTTTTATCACCAGGAGTCATTCTTTGTGCTGTGATAAAATCAAAAGATTGGTTGATTCAAAAATGGATGCTTATCAAGTACTGTGTAAGAATAATACGTCACTTCCTCCTAATTGCTGTGATGACATCAAAACAGAAGTTAAATCATATGAAAGGTCGTATGCTTCATTATGCTTAAACAGAACTGACGGTACGTAGACAGAAAAATATTTCTGCTTATTTATACTTGTAATTAATTTGAAAATAGATTGTGCTTTATAATTTAACATTTGATTGATTACTTCCTGTCAAATCTAGCTTGCGCTTCACATAAAATATAGTTGTATTCATTGATTAAAGTGCATATAAACCTTACAGGATTTTAGTATTATTTGAAGGAACAACTAGTGAAATTAACAAATTCAAAAAAGTAAATTGTTTTACATTAAACCTACCTTAAGAAATTACTGTTAAAAATCCAAATTTACCATATATATTTTTCACTAAGGGGTCTGGTATGAAGTTCATGTCGTGACGTCATGTAAGGAACACAGTTTGCACGGCTCTATTTAATTCAAGACAAACTGTCTGCTAAATTATCCATAGAGTCCTTTTTTAAAAAATTGGCTTTATTTAGGTCGGCATTTTTATCGTTGGATTCATCAAAAGATAAAATTTTTAACATAGACTTCGACAGTAGTTTCAGCAACAACACTAGGCTCGAATGCAAAAAACACATGTGGCATAATATTTACTTTTTATATCGGAAGGTAGGACAGGATGTTTCTAAGACGGGTTGTGTACATCCCGCGTTTATACCAGTTTTTACAACGAGACAAAAAGTAATTGAGATTAAAAAACTATCATATCACATCTCCTCAGCCTTGATTTGCCAAAGCCTTTGTTTAAAGACTAACCGGTGCGAGACAAAAAAAACATCCCAAGTCCATACAGAAAAAGGACAATTACATATAGAAAATGTATAAAACCGAGGTCTCATTCATCTCCCGTTTTGGGAGTCAATCCATCCCGGCTCTCATAAAAACAAGTGCTTTTTGTGCCCCTTATACATAGGAGAAGATTGGGCCAGCTGACTGGGAAGAAAGATTCTACACAAGCTTGCTTCTCTTGCAAATTAATATATTTCGCTTAGTCAAGTTCTTGGGCTTAAATGTAAAATGCAAATACTATACATAGCTGATATTGGACATTTTACTCGCTTTAGCGCAACAAAATCGAGCCACTTATTTCAACAGAATTGGCTTATTAAAAGGAATGAGGGAAGGCTTTTGCCTTATGGACAGAAAACGTTAAACCTGCCGGTTATAGTCGACTAAGTTGGCCTTATATGAAAACATCTTGCTATACTTTTCACATATCTCTAACGACAGTTCAGACCTGTGTTACTTACATGACGTCAGCTGTACTCGCAGGCCCAGTCCCATAGCGGTAAAACCGAGCAAACTATTTGTCTGATTACAGAAAAATTTTGGAATATGGCCTTTAATAACACGTATATTGAATAGTGTAAAAACACGTAAGGTTTATATGCAATTTAGATTATTCAATTCAATAGTTGTATTGTAATATAGTTGAGTTCCGTCAATTCAATGCAAATTTTACAAATCTTGGAGCCACTGGTCGCCACGGTCCAACATCAATTGGTCAATTTTACAATGGTCAGGATCACGTAAATATGGTAAACGTATCAAAAGGTATCCAGTATTCGACAGTGCCTTACACTGGAACTTATGAAGTTACTGCTGTCGGTGCACAAGGCGGTTACGACAAACTTGGCTCTACATACAGAGGTAAAGTTTTTAAAGTTTTCTATTATTGTACTTTGCTATCACTTAATTAGAAACTCATTTTTTTAAGACAATATTATTACACTAAAAGTTACTATCGCAAGGGAAAGTGCTGCTCGGGCTTCCCTTTTCACCCATGGGACAAGTGCTTAGAAGAAATGATGTCAAGCGCACGGAAAGTCGACGGCAAGCTCGAGCGAGCATAAGTATATCCGCTTCCCATGTTTTACTTGCGACGAATATAGAAACATCCTCGAAAAATTTAACATTGAATTCATTGCTATTATGAATGAAAACCGTTTTTATTAGATTATACTATATCTTCATTTGTCGTCCTATGGCTTTGTGAAGAGTAACAATGTCGTTCACAAATAAATGGAGCAAAGTTTACTCCGTATATGAAAAGAGTAAACCATGTTTACAAGATAATATACAACTGACTGAATCTCTAATTTTGGGCCAACAGGCCGTGTAGTTTTGTTAGTATTTTCTTGTTATGGTAGGACTATATTGCTCATTGTTATATACTTAATTTGTGAGCGGAGAGGCTTTACACGTGGCAAGTATTTTTTGACCATCCATTACACGTACGTACATAACTTAAAACAAAAATCATTTGACATGCTGAAACAGTTATTCTACATGAAACATTGACTCTAAAACTATATGGTCACTATTGAGAGTTTTTACATATTTATTGTCTACTTGTAACAGCACATCAGCTAAATGTACTTTTGTCCACCATGCGGTTAATGAAATATTTGTGCCGATAAAAGTGTACTTTTAAACTCCATATGTGATGCTGTCAACCAAATGCTCTTGCCGTGAAAAGCGTCGATAATATCATGAAAGCACATTGCTTTTCTATCCTAGTGGATCGCCTTGATTCAAATCAGCAGCTGTTAATGAAGCCATACTACTGCTGGTATCAAGTATTCCAGGAAACTTTGCTTTCTGTTCGTTCGACAAATCAAAAATATAAAAAACTTAAATCTTAAAATGTTTTTAATGTTTATCAACCGAAAAAACATACGTGCTCTACTTAATATTTTTATCACCCACTCCCCCACAATCAAAAAATGTTCTAAATTGTGACGTCGTGCCCTAAAAAATCTTGACGGACAGACGCCAAAACCGAGTGTTGAAAAGTACATAGGCTGTGTGAAGAGACTGGGTCGAGTGAAATAGGAATTATGAATAGTGTGTTGCCTCGTTCATGCTTGGCAGCAATTAACATGGCGATGAAATTTTCAAATTTTATATCTTTTACAGCTGTATATTTAGCAAATGCTCAAAACTGCGCTAATTTTTCTTGCGAAAAGCGAAATTCACCAACCTATAAGAAACTAAATCACTTACTTTGTTTTTTTCGTATCTACAACATGCAATCGTCAAATTTTATCAAACTTTCGCAAGTGATTGTTTTTATAATGTATGAAAAATGTGACTGAACATAAACTATTACTGTGTAACTATTACTATTCATAATTCCTATTTCACTCGACCCAGTCTTTTCTTTTATGAAAAATATTCAAGTACTTAAATTTATATTAGGAGAAAGCAAATAAAAATATGATTTGTTTTACATAAGCCAGAGTATTTAGTCTGCTATTTGGGACTAAAGAAACTCTTCATTTTGCGCAGGCGTCAATGATAATGACAGTTGAATACTTTACGACACAAATTGTAACGTGACGTAACATTTTATTACAAAAAAATTTGAACTAAGTATTCGGAAAATCGAATATAGTGTTTTCATGAGTCGCCAATTTGGTTTGAAAATTGTATATAGTAAAAAAAATTTATGCTAATTTCATGTTCTGTTGAGCATCGGCACTTTGATGTAGTCCCCAAACTTGGGCGATTTGACGTCACATACAACACTCCATAGAATCAACAAGCCTAGATTGTGTGATCAATTTCGTTAAATTATGCTAAAATGTCGAAATATGCTCAAAATGTTCCCAAAAATTTAAAAACTTTCTCACAATAAATTTTCTATTGTATTCTTAGTGGTATAAACAACTATAAAATTTTCTTTAAAAAAACACCCGCTGATTGGTCGAATGCTTGAAAAAAGTGTTTCTTAGAATTTTTCCGCGTGACGTCAAAACGGTCATGTTGGGGCATTAAAGTAAATACATGCAACGCTACGTGAAATACTTGAAGCCGTGACTTTACCCCAGACACGTGCGTGTAATGTTTCGAAATTCTCACGGAGTAAAAATTGATTGATTGAACACGCAACTCGAAGAGAAAATAAACAATAAAATTGAAAAAAACATTTTTTTGTTTGTCGTTGCATGTTTGTATTGACATTTGATCAATTTGACCAACAAATTCAGTTGCTTCCTTCTTTGCTCATTTTAGTTCAATGTGTTGGGAGAGAACATCAAAGTGCCGATGCTCAAAATAACATGAAATCAACATAAATTCATTTCATTATAGGCGATTTCCCCCCAACATAGCGACTGATGAAAACACTCTATAGCTTTATAATGCGCGGAAACGTCTCTAAAAAATCTAACAGACTGCATGGTTTGCGCAAGAAATTTTAATTGTGAAAACATAAACAAAACATTGTTTAAATGATGAATTTAATGATGAATTTTCTTTTCAATATATTTTTGAAAAGCCTATTTTCTAAAGAAAATACAAACAAAGATTATATATTTTCATTCCAATATTTTACCTGTGAAACAAAGTACTTGTGTTTCCGTTTCAGAAGCTTGTGCTTTTATGCGAGGCCATGCAGTTCCAATTAAAAGAATTATTTCGTATACAAAAGCAATAATTTTCATTTGCTTAAACTTATAATAGGATAATCTATCGTTTTTAGGTCGTGGAGCTTATATGAAAGGGGACTTTGAACTAAACAAAGGAGAAATTATAAAAATTCTGGTTGGGCAAACGGCACCCGTCAATACCCGTGCCTATACATCAGGAGGTGGCGGTGGTTCTTTTGTTGCTAGGAACAACAATGTACCCCTACTGGTTGCTGGAGGTGGTGGTGGTATAGAACACCTGAAGAAACGTTTAGATAACTGTGATGCGAGCACTAAAATATCTGGAAAAAATAACAAATGCGTCATACCTTGTAAAAACTGGGCTGGAGGAGTAAATGGACATGGAGCTAAGCAGGCAGACTCAGATAATTCAGGTTGTAGCAGATTTTGTGTTTACGGTATTTAGGCTCACATTTTTGATAATTTGAAATCATTACGAGAAAAAATTTGTTGTTAAGGGACACTGAAATTACAATGTATGAGCTCTAACCATTACACCAAGATTTATTATTATCGATAACAAACTTTCTCATATAAATCATATTGGCCCTGTGATGCATTTTTTGTTTGCAATCAACTCAGAAGTAAAACAATATAAAATTTATAAGTAATTCTTATGATGTTTATTAGGTGGTGGTGGAGGTGGATTTTACAGCAATGGAAGAAGTAGTAAACAGTTTGGTGGTAAGTATGGAAATGGAGGAGAAGGAGGTTTTGCTTTTATAAATGGAGGAGCAGGAGGACGTGCCTGGTATAACAATGCTGTTGGTGGATTTGGAGGTGGTGGTGGAGCATATGGTAATGGTGGAGGACCAGGTGGTGGAGGTGGTTACTCAGGTGGAGCATCCGGAGAAAATGTGTACGGATCTTGTGGTGGTGGTGGTGGATCTTATAATGGAGGAAAAAATCAAGTGAACAAGTCAGCCTTTAATGACAAAGGAGACGGATATGTCATTATCACTCGAAAGAGGTAGATTAAATCCTCTTAAAGTTGTGTATTTTTTTCGTAAAAACACTTTAGTATCTTGTTGTATAGTTTAGAACTGTTTAAGACAACATTTTTCGAAATAATAGTTTGCCTATCTGTTAAGACACAAATTGTGGTAGTCAACGTGAATCAGCATGATATTTACCTATATCTCTAAATACGAGTAAAATTTTTGTGTATTGATAACATTGTTGTCAAATTACAATTTTTATGTAATAAGACTTCACAGCTGCATCAGGGGTAAGTTTTTTTTCCTCCAATGCCATAGTCTAAATTTTGATTGTGAACATACTCTTTAAATAAATATTTTCAAAGCTTCTCTGGTTATAAAAATCAAGCCTGTTTTGCAGTTTGCATTTCGGATAATGTCAATGAGGAGTTTTATGATATTTTCTGAGTCATTCAATATCTTATAACTTGATACCATGAGAAGTGAACTTCAAAATGCTCTTTATTGCTCTAAATCTACCCAATATATACCTATCTAAAACATATTTTATTTATACTGGAAATATAAAAAAATTTTTAGCTATTTTGAATATTTTGCTATTTCAACATGGTATATGTACAGTTGACAAAATGATATAGGTACTGTATTAAGCAGACCCTTTGCGTTAAGCCGTCACCTGCTATTGCTTCAGAAAATTTCACAATACAAACAGAAACCTTTATATATTGAAGGGTTAAATTAATTACAGCACGTTCATGCAGTTAGCCTAAATAAGGTCAGTTGTATAAGAAAGTAGTTAGTGCTAGGTGTAGTTAAAAGGTAGTTAAAGTTAGCTAGTTAGCATCGATAACATTACAAAACACAGTTAAATATGGCGGCGTTGCTTACGAAAGATAATATTTATGGCCAAGATGTTGTTGATTACCAATGTTTTTCATATGGTTGTTTTTTAATCTTCCGTGGCAAAGCCTTTTTAGAATAAGAGCTTTGAGGGCGGTATGCATTTTTAATGTCTGTAAACATCCCAAGTACTTGTTAAGCTCATAATTCCATTGCTAACAACTTGTTAGGAATTGAATTATTATGAGCTCTCATTATATTTATATCTTACATATTTTTCTTGTTTTCTCACAACCTTCCGCATCTTCCAAAATCTTCTGCCTATGAGGTGACCGACATTCCAAAATAACAATTTTTTCTATATAATGTCATAGTACCCCGACATGAAGTTACTAGCCAGAAAAATGGTGGATTTAACAATTGCGTATAGAAAATATGCCAAGCATTACACCCGCTAGTTACCCTTACATGTATTTCATTATATCGTCCTTATTCTAAAAGTCCACCCACACTTAATGAATGGGTTTTGAAAATCACTTCATAATTATTCGAAGACCGCAATTTCTCTCAACTGATTGCTTGTTTTTAAATATTTAGGAGAAAATCTTGCCACAGATGGAGAAATGTCTTTGTTGATTATTAGATAGAGTGTGATATTTTGTTGCACTTAATCAGTGTTAGTGTAAGTGAGCTTTTAAAATACGGACATAAGACTTCTTCAAGACTTTTTATTGCCGAAATAAAGTATAAATCCAAAAGCATGTGTAATGTTTAGAATTTATCTTCTTCCTTTAGTATTTATTTATTGTGCTCTCTAATATCTATATCTCAACAACATTTTTCATTCCTATATATATACATGTCATTGTCACTTTTAAGGGGCGTGTCTACAACACTACATCTCTCCTCAACTTAACGGATAACAAAATCTGGGTTTATTGAGTTCCCATATTGCTCTGTTATTTTTCTTTGTCGGGTTGATCTCCTTGGAGCTGACTCTTCTGGTTCTGGTTCTATGATGTGTTCTGGTTCTTCACATTCTGGTACGCATTGGTTGTGTCTGTACGGCTGTTCGTGGATGTTGTATTCATCTTCATCAGTTGATTCTCTCGACTTGTCTCTTATCTTTTTAAAGAACGATGTATTTCTGGTTATTTGATGGTTATGGTTCTCAGCGACTACTTTAGCTCCTCTACGATAAATCACTGTGTATGGTGTTTGCTCAAATTTTGTTGTGAATTTATCTTTCTTCCTTTGTTTTAAGAGGACTTTGTCTCCCACCCTGATATCTGATTCTTTAGTTCTTCTTCTTTTGTTTGCCAATTCTCTTCCTTTCGATTTCGCTTCAAAATCATTCGCCTGCACCTCTTTATGTCTATTTAGCACTTTGTCCTTGGGGTTTAGCATTGGTATGATACCTCTCAATGGTCGGTTAAATAGTAGTTGAGCTGGTGGGACATTGGTTGAACAATGAGGCGTAGTGCGATAGCTGAGTAAGAATCTTGAAAGTTCTTGTGTCCAATTGCGATGTTCCGCACGGGCTGTTTTGATCGCTTTAGCTAAAGGCTTCATGAATGCCGCGGCCTCTGAGTTTCTCTGGGATTGATGTCTCGTGCTTCACCCCAAGTTTATGTAGATATTTGGAGAATTCCTTACTGTTGAACGGTGGACCGTTGTCAGATTTGAACTTTAATGGGATTCCATGCCGTGCAAAAATAGCATCTATTTTAGGGATCAGTGCTTTGGCGGAGGTACTTGAGATTATTTCGGCTTCTGGGTATTGCGAATACTTATCGATCAGCACGATGATATATTGTCCAGTAGGGAGCGGACCATAGAAGTCAGCATGGATGGTTTTCCAAGGGCCCTCTGGCATTTCTGGACTTGCTAATGGTTCTGGTGGGCTGGTTGATCCATTTACTTGACATGGTAGACAGGTTTCAATTTCATCCTTGACGGCCTTGTCCATATTAGGGAACCAGGCGTATTGGCGTAACCAAGCTTTAGTCTTGGCTATTCCTTGGTGGCCTTCGTGGGCCAGCTTCACAACGCTTGTTTTTAGGGTTGTTGGAATGATAATCCGCGTTCCTCGTAGGAGTATGCCATTCGTGTTGTCCATAGATATTTCATCTTTGATGCTAAGAAATGGTTTCACAGACTGATTGCTCCAATCACCCGACTCGACCGCTGTTCTTACCGCCTGAAGACTTATGTCTTTGGTCGTATGTTCTTTGATGACTTCAATTGATATGGCATTTTGAGCTGCATTTGTCGTGACAAACGTGATGTATTCTTCGGCGATGTTGCGTTTGGGAGTCTGTAATTGTGGGTGTCTGGATAAGAAGTGTGCAGCGTTCGTGTCACCTGGTCTGTAAATGACTTGAAAATTGTATTGTTGAAGTCTCAATAACCATCGCTCAATCCTGGCGGGAGGTCTGGACCGAGGATTATTATAGATAAGTTGTAATGGTTTGTGATCAGTGATCAGGGTGAACGATGCCCCAAATAGGTAGATGTGAAAGTGTTCGATACCCCACATGATAGCAAGGGCCTCCTTTTCAGTTTGAGAATATCGTTGTTCTACTGACGAAAGAGCCCGACTAGCATAGCAGATCACGTTATCGGCGTTTGTATCAGGATCTCTTTGTGTTAATATGGCTGATAAGCCAAGTGGGCTTGCATCCACTAATACCGACGTTTCTTTTGATGTATCAAAATGACTCATAACTGGACTGTTGGTTAGTGCATTTTTTAACTTGTCATAAGCTGCTTGGTGTTCCCACGTCCATGCAAAGCGCGCACACTTACGTGTTAGTTTTCGAAGGGGTTCTGTAATGGTAGCATAATTTTGGATAAACTTAGAGCTGTAATTTGCCATCCCCAGTAAGCTTCTCACTTCGCTGACCGTTGTGGGTATTGTAGTTTTAACGAAAGCTTTTTTGGGTCCGGGCAGACCCCCTGTTCTGAGAATAATAACCCAAAAAACTCAAGGTTCTTCTTCAGGAACTTGCACTTTTGGTAATTAAGTGTGAGATTGTGATCTTGTAATCGGGTAAGAACTTCATCCAGTGCACGGTCATGGTCTGCTCTATTACTTCCAAATACGATTATGTCGTCAGCAATGTTCTTGACCCCTTTAATTCCTAGCAATGTTTCCTGCAGATTATGTTGAAATAATTCAGCTGCGGCATTAGTTCCATAGTTTAATCGCTTATAACGATAGAGACCGAAATGAGTTGAGAATGTTGTGATGCTGCGGGATGCTGGACATAGCTCTAGTTGGTGGTATGCTTGAGCAAGATCAAACTTTGAAAATATACATGCTCCATTGAGTTCCATGGATACAGCTTCCACAGTTGGTATTGGATGTCTGGTTCGTTTGATAGCCGTATTTGCTATCCGCATATCAACACACAATCGAATGTTACCATCACGCTTGGGAACAATCACCACCGGAGAGACCCAGTCAGTGGGCATGCCTTCAGGTATTTTCTCTATGATGTCATCGTTCTCTAATCTGTGTATTTCACTTTCCACTTTCAGGCGTAGGTGGAACGGTGTTCGTCGCTGTGGTTGTGCAACCGGGAGCATGGAGTCATCAATTGCTAGTCTAATTTGCTTATTTTTTAACTTACCAAGTCCGTCAAAGACAGGTGCATGTTTGTCCAAAATGTGATGGAGCTTTGTATCTTTTGTTGTAAGTGTTGAGTTTTCTGGCGATGTGTTAATTTTGTTCAAGTTTATGCTTACAAGTCCAAGTTCTTGCGCTGTTTCCGAGCTGAGTAAACAGCCGCCATCGTCTGATGTCACATATATAGTAGCAACTGTGAACTTGTGTTTTGACTCCGCAAGAACACGAAACTTCCCTTCCATCTTGACTGGCGTTTTTGAGTTAAACGGGTATGCTTTCACGGATGTGGGTTCAAGCTCAGTATTTCACAATTTCCGGAAAGTCTTCTTGTCGAATATATTTATGCTTGAGCCAGTGTCAATTGTCATTCTGACATATAGTCCGTTGAGCGATATTGACGTTTCAGGACGTTTAGGCTTGTTGTTGTTACAAACCGCATAACAGTATTCCGAATTATTGTCGCTGCTGCTATCTTTCTCCTCATCAGCCTTTACTGGTCGTATGTCTTGGCGTGGTTTAGCGGGTGTTTTGATTTTCTGCAAGTTTCGGCTGCGACATTGGCTTGCAAAATGATTTAACTTCCCGCATTTGGCGCATGTTTTGTTCTTCGCTGGGCACGGTTTGTATAAATGGGGGTAGTTACCTCCACAGTAAAATCATATCTTCTGTGGTTTATCGGCTTGGGAGTTTTTATTTGTAGGTTTTTTTAGTGTATGTAAAACGTGGCTGTCCAAATGCTCTTCGATGTCCGCCGCTTGTACTTTACTTGTTTCTTCGCGCCTTGCTTCAAGCAACAGATCTTTTAAGGTATATTTAGGATCTCTTAATGCTTGTTTTCGTACACGACTGGATCGTCCACCAATAACAATTTGAACCATTATCTCAAAATCTACATCAGCAAATTCACAGTTTTTAGATAATGAGCGCAGTCTTGTATGAAATTGGTCGATTGTTTCGGACTCTACTTGTTTTGCTTGTCGAAATTTGTAAACTTCATATAACCGATTTTTCTGTGGTTCAAAATACTCCGTAAGAAGTATTTCCGCTTTAGCAAAATCATCATCTTCTCCCGGGTCTGGAAATTGTCGAAATATCTCTCGAATTCGGGGTCCTGCTTGATAAAGAAGTAAAGCCCGTTGCCGAGTTCTATTTGTTATATTACTGGCTGTTAAAAATGTTTTAAAATCTGCCAACCACGTGCGCCATCTATTTGCAATGTTTCCTCCGATTTCTTCATCCGGATTGAAATGTGGCATGGGAGATAAAAATGTTGCCATGTTTGCGTTGATATTTTATTCCTCGTCGCCAATGTAATGTTTAGAATTTATCTTCTTCCTTTAGTATTTATCTATTGTGCTCTCTAATATCTATATCTCAACAATATTTTTCATTCCTATATATATACATGTCATTGTCACTTTTAAGGGGCGTGTCTACAACACTACAGCATGGACGACATTTCTTATTTATTACAGGAAATATGTTACACTTCTTTCCAAAAGAAAAGGAAAAACGGAATAAACAAAACAATAAGTTCCTTCGTAAGAAAGAAATCATTTACGTTGAGTTATAAATCCTTCGCACTCACCCACCACGAAATAGTTTATCTAAATAAAATATCAAGTTTACACAATCAAATATATAGAGCCATTTATAGAAATTATAGTTTTTCTCTCGTTTAAATTCAACAAATTCATTAAGAGGAAATCAATTTGCTAGAATTCTATAATTAGTGACAAACACTGCGCTTATTTACAAGGAACTATCGTCAATTATTGGTGTTAAAATTAATATAAACTCAAATCTATCCTTAATAGGTGAAGATTATAAAAAATGGCATATGAAAAAAAAACACTTAAAAAACCCACGATTTAAAAGCTAAGCGTATGTGTTTGCGTTCAGACTAACAAAAAGATTGACAAAGGCTTTATTTGTATAAACAACATGCACGATATTTTACCCCCTATATGTTTCAAATGCTTTTTAGCTTTGCTATTTTCGTGAGCAAGATATTTTAAAGTACACTTTTAATTTAACATAAAAAAATGATCATGTCAGTGTCTATTATTGGATGAGTTTGGATTAACTTCATTCGTTGATGCTGGCGTATGCTAAATTTGACTTTTAAGGCAACCCCGCCTTCCTCCTGTTTTGCTGTTTTTCATTATTTTTGATGTTTTATCAATGACCTGCTTCAGCACAACAAAAATGCCTAACATTGTTTTTCAGCCGTTAATTATCCAGGCAACTTTAAGTGTTTCCATTAAGTCAACAACCTTTTACGACATCCCAATAGGCGTCCTTGAAATCCATTTGAGTTTTTTTTACAATCGATTTATGTATTGAACACCAATTCTTATTCATGTGCAATATGTTTGTTTAACTTCAATTTTTTATGGTCTTAGCAGTCTTATATTTTGACAAGGTAGGAAACTTTCAACACAAAATTACCGAACGTTGATTCAAACATTTTCAGAAAACCGTAAATATTCCATAGATAAATGACAAAACATAGAAAACAACTGCGGCACAATAATAACATTTATTTTTACTATATTTTTGCAGTATTTTAAACATTAAAATTTTTTCTATTGTATGAAAAACATCAATGTTTTTGGATTGTAGCAAAAATTTTTCAAAACGTATATAATTCAAGGCCACTTACCTTGTCATCCTTCATCTTTTTGAATGTTCAAAGGCATCGCAGATTGGCAGCATTTAGTTCAAAAAGTGTAATAGCAATGCAGTCTGAATACATGCGTAAACAAACATACGTGCATGGTGTTAAACTAAATTGCGCGCGTGACAAGCATTGCACATGAGTCAAAGAAAGTAATTAATATTTACGCAAATCGATTGCACATAAAAAAGTTTCAAGGCTGCCTGTGGCACTCCTGTTTGCTGATCTTTTATTGATCTTGCGACACGCAATAGGACATATACCTGAGCCCCGAGTCTTAACTAGAAATTCAATTGGGGAGGTGCATATCAATATATTGTGTTGTGCCCTACTGATTTCTTTCGAAAGTGAATTGAATTCTAAAAGAAATCAGTAGGGCACGACAGAGCCCAAATTCTTAGCTCATCTATGGCAAATACAATTAAATTCTTGAATGTTTCAATGAAACTTTAGAAAGCCAAAAATAGTGAGGCTACAGTGAAATTTACAAGAATCATCGACAGAGTATTTGACATTCTTAATTCCAAATCTCCTCAGGCAAAGGGATACAAGCAACTTCTGAAAAGAAAATCTGAGGACACATGGGTGTGATGCGAAGAGAACCAAAAATCAAGAAACGACATGACATAAACTCAAGCAAAAACCTGCGCAGTATAATAATCATGGAAGTCAGTCATCTTTAGCGCCAAATCAAGTCATTCAAACATCTTTGATGATTATACTCCTGAGTTGACCATGACCCTGATGAAGACCACGAGATGAAATTGATTACGTACACTGCCGACAAGTACTTCACCCTTAGGCTTTTCAAGTACAGCAAACGTTTTAATGAAACCGTTATATTAAAAATGGCAACGAAGTTACAGATTTCAGTTAACTTAAATTGATATTGTTTACAAACCAACGAAATTTTATGAACTATTAATAAACATTACTTATCGACCGTGAACTGTACAGTGTGTAAACTGTTTCCGAAGACGTCTATGGTTTTCTGTTAGTTTGAATTATATCGCTTGAAATAGCATCGATCGTTAATTGTCATTTCCTTGCGATTCTTCTTTTGTTTTGTTTCCTATATCCTTATAATATTTAACAGCTCGTACAAATAAATAAATAATACTAAAAACACACAAAAAGAGCCAAATAACTCCTTGTACGTGGAATACTTATTGCCGTCGAATAAGCACGCGCACATGTTGTCAGGGGGGAGTGTAAATCTTACTGTGCTCAAGCTGGCTTCAACCAATCATGATTAAGGTATGGCAGTTAGCCTTCGAGGTATATTTATTTCAATGAATGGACCACAGTCCAAAATGCGTAATTTTATAGTCAAATGTAAAATGTAAACAAACTTCTTGAAAAAAAAGCAAAACGAAAAAAACGATTTATGAATGTGAGTAAAAGGAAAAACTCACGAAAAGATTTTAATTATGCAGACGATACAAAATTAGAAATGATATATTTTTACTAACAAAAACTAGAAAAGTGAAAGCCAAATCTTACAAAACAGCAAGGACCAGAAAGAAAGCAAGCTTTGTTTCAGGTCAAATAATGCCGTATATAATAAACATTTTAATAACCTCGATTTCACGATCTATACTTTACTACGGGGTCGGTTGGTGCAAAAAGACTACGGTCCGATATTTCTCCAAAACACCTCGAGCTCAGTTATTAAGGATTTAATATACATGAAAACATTTCTTAAATCTGGCTGGCTCGTATATTACAATTCCATTGGATATTACTTTTTATAACACTATAGCTTTCACACACGCAGCTAGAACAAGGTAACTACTTTTGGCAGTGTTCATATTTTTTCCAAACACGTCTTGCAAACGGTGAAGTGTTAGCTCGTTCACCAAGGAAAATTTACGTAAACTTGCACCAGACATTGCATTTGCTTTGCTTACTTTAATTTAACTTTCACGCCTTTGAAATGTTTTATTTTGACTGGTTCTTAGATCACTTCTTTGCTTGATTAACCAATCAGGAGCAAATTTTTTTTAAAAAAAATTGCACTGTATTTCCTTTTTTCGGCACCGTGTTTCTTATTTTTTCCACTGATAATTACAATAAATTGCACTGCTCTTAATTAACCAATGAGAACTGAGAAGTTTTCTCATGTATATTATTAAAATGTAAATCAATATAACCAATCCAATGTTGGCTTCTGAGATTTACATGAAAATGGCGATTATAAAAAATGAACAAATGACCTTTTAATTTCAGTTTAACAGTATTTAGCAACATTTGCACCTTTATTAACAAGGTCTTTAGCCAAATTTTTTTTCTCGATCTTGCTAAAAGCAACAGCAAGTTCTTCGTACCACAACTGATTCTTTTCTCGATTATCCCACCAAAACTTTAGCATTTCAAACCCTTGCCACTCCACATTACGATGATCTAGTTCAATTTCTTTTATTTTCGCATCGCTGACATTCAGAAATCTTGCCAAATCCTTCCATTTATCAGAAATTTCTTTGGCAAACTCTAGCAGAATTTGTTTAATTTCTGCAAAAAAAGCACATTTAGAAGCAAGTTAATTGCACTTTTTACTTTGGAAGAAAATTTTGGACATTCTACATCAACTATATAGATATACATAGCATTAGACTTGTTAAAATACCTCAAACGTGTGTCATGTTGATTTTAGTACAACTATTGTTAACAATATAATAGTGTTTCAGCAGTAATGTGCTAAAATGCTAACACCAAATTTATGTGATCTACATTCGAAGTTTTATCAAAGTGCGTTTTGCTACAGTAAAATTGATTCGTAATTTTTTGCATCATTTAAACTGCATACGGTACGTAGCTATAAATTTTCAGGCAATGCTGATGATTGCCCAACTCAAAATTTGAAATGAAGCCATTTTTTTTTAAGAAATTGTTTATTGTTTGTAACGTATCGTCTTTACACAAAACATCATCAGACAGGTAAGTAAAATGATCAAGTGTGCGTTTTTTTACATATTAGAAATGTACTTATGAGTGTAGAAATACAGTGAGGTGTGATGAACATAATATATCTGTATAAAAATATTATATAAAGTATGAGTGAAGATACTGATATAGAGTGTGAAATGGACGAAAAACGTAGTGAGTTATTTAGAAAAGTTTGAGTGGGATGGAACTGCCTTGGACATTCAGTGTAGGTGTTAGTAATGAGATCAGGAGACTTTAATGGATTATTAAGTCAGGAGTTTAAGGTGAGGATGAAATGATAGTGAAGTCATCAAAGGAAGCTGTGTGACCTAATATGTTGATGTGAGACAGGATGCTGGATTTGGTAGGGCATAATGACTGTTTTACTGTCAGGAGCAAAATTTCCAGGTGCTCTGAGATTCTGGTTTGAAGATAGCGTGTGGTTTGACCAACATAGGACGCGTTGCAGCGTCGACACTTAAAGAGATAAACAACACCAGATTTCAGGAACTTGGGAATCTTATACTTGGAAGGAAAGAAAGAGGAAACGTGTGTAGAAGGAGGAAAACAAATCTAATGTTAACGGGAGGGAAAGCAGCGTTGCAGAGACGGTTAAGTTGGATGCGTAATTGGAAAGAGTGTGAGCCTGTGTAGGGAAAGAAAAGGTAGACGTTCTTTTCATTCTACTCGTTCGTTCCTCACTCATGGCACGAAAGATGTACAATCAAATTAGCCTTAAGAAAATTTGTTCAGTTTTTAAATTAACTGCATGCAAGGAGCTTCACATATTTCGCACGTAAAAAATGGCAAATAGCGAAACCTAGTGAAGATATGAAAAAGTTAATTAAACTAAATTGTTTCAAGCGTAAATGTTGTCATGCCAGTGTTTATTGTCTGAAGATAAAAATTATGCACAGAAGTATTTTGCTCTCATGCTTTTTGTGTTCTAAGTTTTTATATTTTTTTTAAATTTGTTATACGTTTGATATTGTGCGTTAACAAGAAAATTGCAGCATAAAGAATTTAACGCAAACATGTTCTAAGATTTGAATCTCACTATATGCGAGAAACTACTTGGTTTCAGCGATGACTTTTTTTGTGTGATAGGTTATTTATGTAGTCAAAATGATTAATTTCAAATTTGATGTAAAATAGTTGTGATATTAAAATAGTCAATAAAGAATACAATTTAATTATTTTTCGTTTTTTCTTCCATATTTTTCCCTATAAAACTGTATCTCTTTTTGGGAAGGAATAGGGAAAAGTGAGATACCTGGATGATTTTTACGTTTGAGGTTTTGCATATAAAATTTGTTATAATCAATGCTGGTTTTTTAAAGTATCTTCATATCGCAAAACATAACATGTGTTAACCTAAAAATAACACTAAAATTTGCAACGTTTCGCGTTATCTGTGATTCTAAAATGTTCTAACCACTTAGCTTTATAACATTGAACAATATTTATAAGCAAAAGTTAAAGAAAATTTAAGGAATCAATGGAAACAACTTGATCTAGATTCTAAGTAGTTTCACAATTTCTCCTCTTTTTGACTATTAAAGAGTTCATCTAATAAAGCTCTAAATTTTGTATATTTACCTTCTAATATAATAAGCATACCTTCTATTTTCTCCGTATGAACGTGTAAATTTGAAGGGGCTTTAGCATCAGCAGTGTCATCAGACATTATTTCTTTGAAAAAGATATAAAAGTAGGGCAAGTGAACCATAGCATACAATAGAAGGGTGCTTTCTACGATAAATATGTTTCTAGGGAAAGACAGATTTAAGTGGGGTTTATAAAGTTTACTGGATTAAATAAAAAGGAAAAAACTAAGGATCAGCTCTTCAAGTTAATTATTTAATTTTAGCTACACGTTCTTTCCAAGTAATAAAGAAATTTTTTAAAATCAAGTATTGTAAATCTAGTATTTTTCTAAAATATTAAAAATAAAAAAACTTAAAAATTGTAAAACTTTATTTATGTCCTGATTTTTACTTAAGTTTTTTACTTTCTCTACTTTTTACAAGCAAAAGTCAAAAGCAATTAGTAGAAAATTTTTTAACTTGTCATATATATAACAAACAAAATATATTTGTACTAAAACTAACTTTCCCCAGCCTTGTAGCTATGATAAAAAGCAAAAAAATTTAAATAGATAACTTGAGATTTTTTTAAAGCATACGTTTATATTAAGTAAGTAAAAAGCAGATACTTCAAAAAAGAAAAATATATGAACCAGTGAAAAGTCAAAAAAATTGTAATTAGGCATATCAGCTTAGAAAGAATTGGAATGAAAAGGCTCTAAGTAGTTTCTAGCCCTAAATTGCAAACCACATAATAAAGCATAAGATGGAAAGAAAACAATGAAAAATTTACCAAAAACAAAATTTAGTTGCATATGTCGTTGCTTCTTACTAGTATAGTTTTAGTTTAGTTTTATTTATATGTTAAAAGAGATTTAAAATATTTTTGCTCCCAAATATATATTGAAGTGCATTACATTGTTCTCGATTTGCATCAAACTTTAAGAAAAAAATCGTTTTTATCTATTTTAAGATAGCTCTACAAATGGACTATAATTAGAATAGATAATTGCTGAGGATGGTTAAACGGCCTAAAATAAGATTAATACTTTAAATGAATCCCAAATTCACAAGATACAGCTTTAACTAATTTTATAAATATTCCTAAAATTCACTTTTCTGTTTAAATTTTAGGGGGTAAAAGTTATCTTTTTTAAGGTAATATTTACTACCTTCAGATGGGTAATTGAATAAAGGGTAATATTTACGTTTTCCATACAGTGCATTCATCGAGGCAACTTTCAAACACTGAAGCATTTTCTTTTTTTGCATGTTTTAGGAAGATGATGATTTGCCGAACAAAATAACCCGCACCACATATCCACGAGTTTTGGTTAGTAGTGAAAACATACTGAGGCCTGACAGGCTACTATTGTGCGTCGAAGGACGACAACTCGTTGACGTAACTTCATTTCCTTTACACACAGTGCTTTTTACGCTCTATGCAACATACTATGTATTTTCTATAGCTTATCCACAAGATCATAAGGATGTATTTCTTTTTATTGATTCCGTTTTTGTTGGGTTGCAGCACACTGCTATCAATAGAATTAGCTTGCAAAAATTTATTAAAGCTCTTGCTAGTTTAAACTAAGCATTAAGTGGACATTTAAACCATTACACTGGACATTTAGACCATTTTTTCTGTTACTGTGTACTCATGTTTTATGTTGGCGTAGCTAGCTCAATTATTGAGGGGAATACTCAAGGGCGGTGGAGTATTGAAAATTGGGGGGTGCTATTATTAATTTGTGCCCGTTCTACTTTACATTGAAATAATTAATTTTAGGAATTATAACATATGAATATATGAATTTCCCCCCCTCCCAATTATCAATGTTCTGCCAATGGTAGAGTATTTATGTTTGCCAATACTCTGTCAATGGTTGAGTAGTTAAGTTTGCATGTTGAAACTCGTTACTTTTCCTTGAATCTAATCTTTTTTATTGATAATAACGCGCATTTTAATATTTGCCAACCTTCACTCCATTCTCGAGATAGCTACGCTCATTGCTTTTCTGTTGAAATAAAGAGATTGTTTTTTTGATCTATTTTAATTTATTCTTATTACAGTTTTAGAGTTTGTTTTAACCCCATTGAAGCATTACCTCCTGTATTTGCACATGTGCCCTAAAAAAATGCAGCATTCTATGTAATTTCTTTTTTCCCCAATTTATGGGGGAATTGCATGTCCATCGAAATCACCCCTTTAAAATTTACCCCCATAAATTTTACCCCTTGATAATTTCACTCTTTAATAGAATTTACTCTTAACTAAATATTACCACCGTAAATTTTACCCTTAAATAAATATTACCCCAATAAAATGTTACCCTTCAAAACCGGGGCATTCTGTGGCACTCATTTCACCCTAACTTTAAGGGTAATTTTTACCTCCCAAAATTTACAGTGAAAAGAACTCATGATTTGTAAACACACAAGACTTAAAAAATTTTGTCTAAAAATTTCAAAAACCTCAAAATTTACACTTAGAAACGCTTATATATGCTAAGTTATACAAAAATAAAGAATAACATACCAATATTGTTTGAAGATTCAGTAAAAACACCATGATCCGAAGCAACAGATTTTTGTCGAATTTCCAACACTTTTTCGTTAAATTCTTTTGCATTGTCACATAGTTTAGTGGGACGAATCGCATTGCCAAAATTGTCATACTCTTTAGTACGATGGTACACATTGCCAAGATTGTTTAAAGTCGTGGCTACATCAACATGTTTAGGACCAAGTGATTTTCTTCTAATTTCCAACCCTTTTTCATAACACTCTTTGGCTTCGGCATATTTCTTGGTCTCATAATACACATTACCAAGATTGTTTAAAGTCGTAGCTACATCAACATGTTCAGGACCTAGTGATTTTTTTCGAATTTCCAACGCTTTTTCATAGCACTCTTTGACTTCGGCATATTGCTTGGTCTCATAATACACATTACCAAGATTGTTTAAAGTCGTAGCCACATCAACATGTTTAGGACAAAGTGATTTTTTTCGAATTTCCAAAGCTTTTTCATAACACTCTTTGGCTTTGGCATATTGCTTGGTCTCATAATACACATTACCAAGATTGTTTAAAGTCGTAGCTACATCAACATGTTTAGGACCAAGTGATTTTTTTCGAATTTCCAACGCTTTTTCATAACACTCTTTGGCTTTGGCATATTTTTTGGTGTCATAATACACATTACCAAGAATGTTTAAAGTCGCAGCTATATCAACATTTTCAGGAACTAGTGATTTTTGTTGAATTTCCAACGCTTTGTTAAACAACTTTCTTGCTTTGTCATAATCTTTAGTACGATAGTAAACATTGCCAAGATTGTTTAAAGTCGTAGCTACATCAATATGTTTAGGATCAAGTGATTTTTTTCGAATTTCTAACGCTTTTTCATAAAACTCTTTGGCTTTGGTATATTCTTTAGTACGATGGTACACATTACCGAAATTGTTTTAAGTCGTAGCTACATCAACATGTTCAGGACCTAATGATTTTTGTTGAATTTCCAACGCCTTTTCGTGAAATTCTTTTGCTTTGTCATATTCTTTAGTACAATGGTACACATTACCAAGATTGTTTAAAGTCTTTGCTTTATCAATATCGTCGGGACCTAGTGATTTTTGTTGAATTTCCAACGCTTTTTTAAATAATTTTTTTGCTTTGTCATATTCTTTAGTACGATGGTATACATTGCCAAGATTATTTAAAGTCGTAGCCACATCAACATGTTCAAGACCAAGTGATTTTTGTCGAATTTCCAGCGCTATTTCAAATGATTCTTTTGCTTTGTCATATTCTTTAGTACAAAGATACACATTACCAAGATCGTGTGAAGTCTTAGCCATATGAACATATTCTGGACTTAGAAAATTTTTTCGAATTTGCAGGGCTTTTTCATAAACTTCTTTTGATTTGGTATAGTCTTCAGGCTTTTTGAGAACCATACGAATATTATTTAAAGTCGTAGCCACATCAACATGATCAAGAAAAAGTGACTTTTTTCGAATTTATAACTGTTTTTTGTAACACTCTTTGCCTTTGGTAAATTTGTTGGTCTCATTATACACATTACCAAGATCATTTAAAGTCTTAGCTACGTCAACATGTTCAGAACCTAGTAATTTTTGTTGAATTTTCAACGCTTCTTTAAATAATTCTTCTGCTAAGTCATATTCTTTAGTACGATGGTACACATTGCCAAGATTGTTTAAAGTCGTAGCTACATCAACATATTCAAGACCAAATGATTTCTGTTGAATTTCTAGCGCTTTATCAAATAATTCTTTTGCTTTGTCATATTCTTTAGTACAAAGATACATATTACCAAGATCGTTTAAAGTCTTAGCCACATCAACATGTTTAGGACCAAGTGATTTTTGTTGAATTTGCAACGCTTTTTCATTACACTCTTTGGCTTTGGCATAATTGTTGGTCTCATAATACACATTACCAAGATTGTTTAAAATCGTAGCTACATCAACATGTTCAGGACCGAGAGATTTTTGTCGAATTTCCAACGCTTTTTCATAACACTCTTTGGCTTTGGCATATTTGTTGATATCATAATAAACAATGCCAAGATTTTTTAAAATCACAGCTACATCAACGTGTTCTGGACCAAGTGATTTTTCTCGAATTTCCAACGCTTTTTCATAACACTCTTTGGCTTTGGCATATTTCTTGGTCTCATAATACACATTACCAAGATAGTTTGAAGTCGTAGCTACATCAACATGTTCAGGACCAAGTGATTTTTGTCGAATTTCCAACGCTTTTTCATAACACTCTTTGGCTTTGGCATATTTGTTGGCATCATAATGAACATTACCAAGATTGTTTAAAGTCGTAGCTACATCAACATGCTCAGGACCAAGTGATTTTTGTCGAATTTCCAACGCTTTTTCGTAAAACTCTTTGGCTTTGGCATATTTGTTGGTCTCATAATACACATTACCAAGATAGTTTAAAGTCGTAGCTACATCAACATGTTCATCACCTAGTAAGGTCTTCTGACTTTCGAGGCATTTCTTAAAACATTTCTTAGCTTTTTTGTATTTTCCGATTTTATAATACTCCATGCCATGTTTGCTTGATATCTTAGCATCATTTTGCTGTTGTGATTCTTTTTTGAATGACAAATAATTGTATTTCAAATTCATTATCTTTCTGACATTTCCACCGCTAGAAAAATTTATTAAAGTTCATGTACTTTTCATTATTAACAAATAGGCAATATAGGTTTACTTCGTTTTTATTTATTATTATTTTAATTTTTGATGTTTACCGTCTATGGCCTGCCTTGACAATTCTGAAACATTTATAAAGCCAAATAACAGTTAACTCTCTGATCTGATAAAAGACTGGTTATATAGTTTCTGTAGGTATCACAAAAAAGAAACCCGATAACACATGCGACGATACGACAAATTAGATTCTTGCACGGACAGTTTTTAAATGGAGACAAACGCCAACATTTCATGGCCATAGGAAACATTTTGATTTCAAATTGAATTGAATAACTTGTTCTGCCCATAATAAAGTAAATGGTTTGAACCCGGGAGTATCGCTACATGTTTGTAAATGTCGATCGTCCAGGTTGGTATAGTCCTGAGAAGGACTGTTTTTGTTGTTGTTGACTGACGTTTCGACAACCTTAGCGGTAGTCATCTTCAGAGTCAAATGAAGTCAAATATCCATTTTCAAGTATCCAAGAGTCAAATATCCATTTGACTCTGAAGTTTACTACCGCAAAGGTTGTCGAAACGTCAGTCAACAACAACAAAAACAGTCCTTCTCAGGACTATACCAACCTGGACGATCGATATTTACAAACTTGTTCTAACCATGACGTATATTTTTGATTATTAAAAAGGTCGCGAAACCAAAATATTGGAAAATCTACGTTGGTAAACGTTATCCACCGTCATTCCTATTTGGTCTTTTAATCTTGTACTGGTGGAAAAGAAAATAATAATCTGGTACAACTTTGTTTATTCCCACTCTGCTATTTTGACGCAGTTAGCTCAGCATGTTCTATGTGTTAATAATACACTTTTAAGTAGTGTTTAATGTGATGTTCTAGCGTCAATAGTGAGCTTTAGTAAGTGTGTACTATTATACAGTGCGACTTAATTCAAGTACGAGTTCGAAGTTTGACCGTGTACTGGATTTGCACGAAGATGTTTGTCGTCGTTGTTGCTTTGTCAAAATTTTATTTTAGTTTTAAAAAAAGACCGAGTTTTTTTACTTGGAAAACCACCGCGTTTTGTGAAGCATATAGCTTTAGCTACGGCTTTATTTGTTAATAATTATATCTGTAAGAAAGATCAGAGTAGTAATTATAAATGCATAATAGAAGAAAAACATGTCAATCAAAATGTCAGTGAAATATACATATCGATGGCGAACAATCTTGTTTCTATTTCGTACAAAGATTTATATTCCTAATGATCATTAAATGGCGCCCAACGTGGGGCCGGTAAGTAAGTATACGACGGTATTCTAGAACAGCTTCATTCGAAAACCAAGAAATGTCGAAGGATAATATTGAACGACTTCGCGCCAAACGAGGCGGTTATCGTGGCGTTTGTACGCTTAAAGAAGCACTCGAGCTTCTGGATGCCACTGAAGTAGACATCGAACGATGTAATGTCATCGCTGAACAACTCGAGTGTAAGATGAAGATCTTAGACGAAATAAACGACGAAATCATTGGGATATGCGATGTAACGGATATTGAACACGAAATTGAAGAAGCAGCCGCCGTCTCGGATAGAATTCTAAGCACTAGACGTAAAATCGAAGGAGCAAGAAAACCGGAGATTTGTCAAGAAACTATAAAAAGAAGGCAAAGTCCTACACCACAAGTCGAACAGATTCCTTTAGTGGTAGCAACAGCAAGCACGAGTAACACAACGATAAGCAACGATGAGAATAATACGTACGCGGATGCTGTTAATACGAACACGAATGCGGTGAACACGAATACGAATGCGGTTAATACGAACACGAATACGGTCTATACGAACACGAATACGGTCTATACGAACACGAATGCTATTGATACGATTACGAATGAAGTGATAAATGCGAATTCTACGATTTTGAATGCCCCTGTCAGAACAACACCAGCGATAATGATGCCAAAGCTTCCCAAACTTCAATTGCCAAAATTCAGTGGAAAGATCACAGAATGGAACGCCTTTTGGGACTTATACAATGCTACGATTCACAGCAACGAGAGTATGTCTAAGGTAAACAAATTCAATTATCTATTCTCATTGCTTGAGGGTAGTGCAGCACGTTCGATAAAGGGACTTACCTTAACATCCGCAAATTATGACGCAGCAATTGCGATTCTGCAAGATAGATTTGATCGAACCCAACAGGTCATTGCCGCACATATGGATCAAATCCTACAAATATCTGCATGTTCTGAAAATCGTACTGGGCAATTGAGATATGTTTTCGATCAAATAAGTGTTCAAGTGCGAGGACTTGATTCGCTTGGGGTATCTGCAAACCAGTACGGCAGTCTGCTCATACCAATTATTATGTCCAAACTACCGAGTGAAATAAGATTGCAGGTAGCACGAAAAGCTACTGGTGATGTTTGGCAAATTGAAGAGTTACTCAAAACCATAAAGTTTGAAGTTGAGGCACGTGAAATGAGCGAGTCATCGCGTTCAATTGAGAAACCCCAGAACAAAGATAAGCCCAACAAGCCATCGACAGCTGGAACATTTGTAGTGACGAAAAATGATAAAGACGGTGCCCATAGCTTCAAGGTTAAATGCGTTTACTGTCAAGGATCACATTATTCAGCATCTTGTGAAGAGGTAAAGGGAAGGGAAGCCCGAGTTAAAATTCTAAGGGACTCCAACCGTTGCTTTATTTGTCTAAAAAAGGGACACCAAGCAAACAAGTGTATAGTCACAAGAAAATGTCGACATTGTTCCGGGAGGCATCACCAATCTATTTGCAGCTATCCTGCTACCAACAGTCAGGGTGTCCAAAATGAAAAAGCAATTGATAACACCTATCCACAGAAGGTATCAGAAGGTGTAAACTCTCCAACCACAACAGCTGTCACACGAACTGTCAAGGGAAGTGTTCTTTTGCAGACAGCCAGAGCTCTCGTATCAAACGGATCAAAATCGGTTCCAGCACGAGTTCTCTTTGACACTGGAAGCCAAAGGTCTTACATTCGAAGGTCACTTCAAGGCCGGTTAAGGTTAAATTCAATTGGTAAGGAGACACTTCAATTAAATACCTTTGGCCAAAGCAAGAGTAAACGAGAAAGCTGCGAAGTGTTCAAGGTGAGCATTGCAAACAAGAGTGGAGGTGAGGTAGTAGAGATTAAAGCAATTGCATTTCCAACAATATGTGCACCACTTCCTACAAGGATAAATATAGACGAATATCCACATCTCCATAGTTTAGAACTTGCAGACTTTGATTCTTCCGATAAAAATGGTAGCTGTGATTCAATCGACATCTTGATAGGAGGTGATCATTATTGGGACGTAGTCACAGGTGATGTCGTACGAGGAGAAAATGGTCCAACAGCGATGAGCAGCAAATTGGGATGGCTTTTGTCTGGATGGTCATCACAAAAATCAGACGGACATACTCTGAACAGCCTCATTTTAGCAGCCGACTGCCTTGATAATTCTACTGTCGTAACCGATAGGGATGAGTTAACAATATCATTGAAGCGTTTTGGGAAACTGAGAGCGTTGGCATTGACTCCTTTGACTCAGAGAACTCACCCGAGGAACAAGATTTTGTGCAAATATTCAATTCACTGGAACACGCTACGAAGTTGGTCTGCCGTGGAAAATGATCATGTGCAAATTGATGACGATTACGAACTCTGTCATAATAGATTGAGATCATTGCATCGAAAACTGCTAAAGGATCCACAAAATCTTGAAGAATACAATAATGGTATTACTGAACAATTGGCAGCAGGAATAGTCGAAAGGGTTCCGGCATCTGATAAGGATTGTGGTAAAATTCACTATCTTCCCCATCATTGTGTCATACGAAAGGATAAGGTTACTACGAAGCTACGCGTTGTATATGATGGATCTGCTACGACGAACTTGCGCAAATTTTCACTAAACGATTGCTTACTGACCGGGCCGAACCTCATTCCACAAATCTTTGATTTGCTCGTCAAATTTCGACAAAACAAGATTGGGCTAGTTGCTGACATTGAGAAGGCATTCTTAATGATTGGAATTGACAAGGAAGATAGAGACATGCTTCGTTTTTTTGTGGCTAAGGGACGCTAGGGATCCTCATTCAGAAGTATTAAAGCTAAGGTTTTGTCGATTGGTTTTTGGTCTACGACCTTCGCCAGCAATTCTAGGAGCTACTATCAACCATCATTTGAAGACACACGAGAAGCAGGAGCCAGAAACTGTTGAACACTTGAAAAATTCTCTGTATGTCGATGATTTTGTGTCCGGTGCTGAAACCGATGAAACCGCTTTGCAAATATACAAGGGAACAAAGCAGTTGATGGCCAAGGGTGGATTCAACTTGCGAAAATGGAACTCGAATTCCAGTAACGTAGTGAAGTCTATCGAAGCGTTAGAAGGTAAAAAGAATTTGAGCTTGATTAGTGACAAATCAAGCGTTACTCAAGATGATCAGTCCTTTACAAAGTCGACAATTGCAAAAGAGTCACTGCTCACGGAACCCACTCAAGTCAAAGTACTAGGAATGGTGTGGGATACGGTGGAGGACACATTTCTATTCAATTTGACTGAAATAATCGAGTACGCCAATTCTTTACCTGTCACAAAGCGATCGTTGTTGAAATGGTCATCTAAAATCTTCGATCCCCTTGGATTCTTGTCTCTTTTTACGATAAGGCTTAAGATTCTGTTTCAAATCATGTGCTTGGATAGATTGGGATGGGACTGTGAACTGCATGGCAATCTACGTGAACAGTGGAACGTTTTATTGTCAGAGTTAAAGTTTCTAAATGATGTTCGTGTACCGAGGTGCTATTATCTACTCCAACCGAAATACCTTACTACACAAGTTCATGGATTCAGTGATGCATCTGAAAGTGCAATTGGTGCTGTTGTCTATGTAAGAACAGTCTATGAGAATGGTACCATCGACGTGAAATTAATCGCTTCAAAGACAAAGGTCGCACCAGTGAAAAAGCAAACGATTCCCCGTTTAGAGCTGGTGGCAGCGACTGTACTAGCGAAGTTAGTAGAGTCTTTGTTAAAGGCACTCAAGTGGAGTCTGGAAGTTTTTTATTGGGTTGATTCGATGACAGCACTCCACTGGATACGAAACGATCGAGCATGGAAACCATTCGTGCAGCATCGAGTGAACAAGATTCGAAGTATTTCGTTGACGGAATCTTGGAACTTTTGTCCTGGATCACTTAATCCTGCAGATTTACCCTCACGAGGTATTTCTGGGCAACTACTTTCGAATTCTTCCTTATGGTTCAATGGACCCAAATTCTTGGCAAGGGCGAAGAAGAGTGGCCAAAACGTCCAGTTGGCAACCTCTCACAAAGTGACGAAGTTCTGAGGGAAATTGTGAAAGAGCATCCGAATGTCGTAAGATCACTAGTTTCGAATGAAATCGAACAACGAGCCATGCCAGATCTTAACAAAGCAATCGACATTACTCGTTATAGCTCCATGAAGAAACTTCTTCGAACAACTGCTTATGTAATGAGATTCATCAACATATTAAAGAAGATGCCACGGTGCGAGCGAACAACAAACAAACTCACAACCTCAGAAGAACTAAGCTCAGACGAAATAAGGAAGGCGCAGCTGCTGTGGATAAGGTCTATTCAACAACTATCCTTTGAAAAGGAAATACTATTCCTTCTGTCAAAGAATATGAATTCTTCAATACCCATTTACGTTAAACAATTTGGGCTATTTCTCGACGGTGATCACGTGCTGCGGTGCCGTGGGAGACTGAAGAATTCATTGCTGAATCTGGAGAGCAAAAATCCTGTATTGCTTCCAAAGGAATCAAGATTTGTGGAGTTATTAATATGCGAGGTTCACCACAATGTGAAGCACAGCGGGATTCGTGATACACTAACAACCATTAGAGAGCATTTTTGGATAATCCGTGGTCGAGAAGCAGTAAAGAAAATAGTCAGGAAATGTGTCGTTTGTCGTAAAGCCGAAGGTCTTCCTTATGAGGGAACGCCTCCTCTAGATCTTCCTGTTAGCAGAGTGTCGGATGATCCCCCTTTCACAAACGTAAGTTTGGACTTTGCAGGACCGTTGTTCGTACGAGAGAGTTGTGAAAGGAATAATTTGTCGGATAATCCAACAAAGGTGTATATTCTATTGTTTACGTGTGCGTCTACTAGAGCCATTCATCTGGAGCTCACTCCTTCCTTAAGCGTTCCAGCCTTTCTCCGCGCGTTCCGCAGATACGCTAGTCGACGAGCACTGCCAGCTCTTCTTATATCCGATAATGCTAAGACTTTCCTAGCTGCATGCTTAGAAATTCGCAAGTTATGTCGTTCTGAGGAAGTGTTGCGCTATCTTGCAAACCATCAGATTACATGGCAATTTATCGTCGAAAAGGCCCCTTGGTGGGGAGGCTTCTGGGAACGTTTGATTCGAAGCGTGAAACGTCCGTTGCGAAAGGTAGTTGGTAGAACCAATCTAACCTACGACGAGTTGCATACTATTGTGGTTGAAATCGAGGGCGTAATAAATGCACGACCCCTAACCTACGTGTACGACGATGAAGAAGCTGTATCTCTTCCGCTAAGCCCGTCGCACTTGGTGTATGGAAGACGAATAACGACCATGCCAAACAGTGAGCACTTTGAAATTCAGAGCACTTATCAATCTTTGACGAGAAAGGCGAAACATCACAAAATTTACTGCAACGTTTTACTCTTCAATGGAGAAACGAGTATCTTTTAGCCTTACGAGAGCAATACACTTCAAAATCAAGAGGTAATCAAAATCCCGAAATAGCAGTTGGAGATATCGTCATTATTCGCAACGATCAAACAAAACGTATCTTTTGGAAGGTGGCGAAGGTTGAACAATTGTTACAAGGTGGCGATGGAATTACACGAGCTGCACAAGTCAGAGTCCTTCGTGGAGACTCTAGTCATTCACACTTGTTGCGGCGTTCTATCAGGCAACTTATTCCAATTGAGGTTCATCAGGAAGAAGACATTAACGAAAGAGTAGAAAACGATAAGAAAGGCGAAAAGGAACAAGTCCTTCGTCCAACTGATCGACCACAACGCAGCGCGGGAATAACAGGACAATTGCGAAGATTGCAGAATACAAACAAGTTCTAAATAACTGTACATTCTTAGCTAAAAATAGTTTTGTTTTTTTTTGTTTTGTTTGTTGACAACATTTTATTATGTCAACCCTGGGGAGTGTAAGAAAGATCAGAGTAGTAATTATAAATGCATAATAGAAGAAAAACATGTCAATCAAAATGTCAGTGAAATATACATATCGATGGCGAACAATCTTGTTTCTATTTCGTACAAAGATTTATATTCCGAATGATCATTAAAATATCAACGAATCGGTAATAATGATTTTGCAAAAATGTAGGACTCTTTATAGACAGAAAAATGTTTACTAATTTACATTTTATGTTTTATATATTTGTAGTATTTTACTGTTTCTTTACATTCCATTTGCATTTGAGATGCATGAAAGTATAAAAGATATACAAGAGGACTTTTAAACTTGGTAAACACATATTGCTATGAACATATTCCGTTCACTAGAATTAAAAAATGATTCAGCCTTGGAAAAGTAACGATTCAAGCTGATGCAATTTCTTCAGGCAACGAAAATCAAATGTGGAAACAAAGCACACTTTAAATTCATGAGGACTATTTAGTTTAAACGTCTCCAATAATTATATTGATGATGGATATTTAGAACCAAATATCATTCTCCTTGATATTGAGGGAAGTGCGTCTGTAAACGTTCCTGTGATAACAAAAGATCCCAACGCAACTCTGTTATTACGCATTTAAATGTTAACCGGTGCTTAATTAATGTGTGGCGAACATCTGTTACATTTCAAATATTGCTAATAAATTCATAAAGTCAATCTGGAATAAGAGTCATTACTTCTGTTATTTTCTCGGTACGTTAAAATGAATACACTCTTATTGGCGTAAACTTGTATTTTTCTTAAAATGAACGGTCTCTTCACAAAAACGCCTCATGAATCATTATTGGATTCAGTGAATGGTTACTTTATCGTAAGTTTAGAAAGTTGACATGCATGTTGCAACATGTAATATTACGACGTTTCTACAAGTACGTTTTGCACTCCGGCACTCGTTAGTCTTTGTAGTAAATAATACCTCATAATTACACGTCAATTATTTTAATTTATATAATTTAGAAGAAACGAAAACGTAAGAGATTCTATTTTCGACTTTCGTTAACATAACAATATTTACAAACCTATACCCTACGTTGAAACGTTCGAATTTACCAAAGAACAAGCATTTACGTACTTGTTAGCAATGAAATTATGAGCTCTCGCTATATATATATCTTATATATCTTTCCTGTTTTCTTACAACCTTTCGCCATCTTACCAATATGAGATGACAAATATTCAAAATCTTTTTTTATTACAATATAGTACACAGTCGTCAAGTTACTAGCCAGAAAAACGGTGAATTCAACGCATGCGCACGGAAAATATGCCAAACATTGCACAGTCAATGAGTGGGGCTTCGAAAGCACTTCATGCATATTCAAAGCTCAATTTCTCTCAACTGATTGCTTGATTTGAAATATCTAGGAGAAAATCTTGCCATAGATGGAGAAATGACTTTGCTGATGATTAGATAGAGTGTGATTTTTATGTCGCTCTCAATATATATGAATGTGAGTGAGCTTTTAGTATACGGGTATAGACTTCTTCAAGAATTTTTATTGCCGAAATAAATAAAATTCCAATTCCGACAATCAACTTCGTGAATATCTCGGGAAATACATTACATTTCGGTCCAAAAGAAAAGGAACAACGGAAAATACAAAACAATTAAGTTCCTTCGTAAGAACGGAATTGTCTACGTTGAGTTTTAAATCGTACGCGCTCACCTACCATGAAGTAGTTTATCTAAATTATATATAATTCACATGTCGTCGTATGCAAATAAGACATTGAAAAGGCTCAGTAAAAGCTCAAACAAAATATTATATTTTTGAAATACATAAAATTCAGTCAAAATTAATCTATAGTGTGTCTACGCTATATACTAGTCATTCAGTGGTGGATTCAAATTTATATCAGAAGACAAATAAATACAACGCTTAATTTGGCCTTATTTTGTTATATCTATAAATTCATGTTAAGAATAATTTTATTGATTTTAAATCGTCGAATCGTCCGACTCCTGTCTGCATTCAAAACTTAAAATCGTCCAATCATGTTTCCCTTTAATCATAACTCACTGCTTTAAAGGAACGCACGACAAATAGTTTTTAAATGCTTATTGAGTACGATTGGTTTTGTAAAAATTTTAACGCTTGAGAATTAAAGCAAGCCTTGAATATATTCAAAGTACGAAATCATTAATAGTACAGATAAAATAACTGATCATCTATGACGTATAGTAATTACAACTTTATTTATTTTTGTTAACCTACCTTGAACTGATAGCGACTTCAAATTTCTTAAACTCATCTCATAAAAACATCATACGCATCCTTCATTTCCGTGTATAATAAATGTTTTTATGCAAAGGAATTTGAACCTTCGTAGGTGTATATTGTTATGTAAAACAAGGGTATTACACCATATGATTTTTATTGTTGTTAATCATAACATTTTTAAAATAATATAGTGAACATTGATTGAGCAAAACATTAGATGTATATTTGAATTATAACTTTGCGATGTTTTTATCGTAGTGCATATGCACGCTTTAATACTTTGATCATTTATCTAGTACTTATAATTAAATGTTATTTATAAATAAATTGCACAGAAAGAGTGTAAATGCTGATATATTTTTAGCATAATATTGAAATGCCGGCTGATACAATTTTCCTAAAACTTTGCTAAAAGGTCAGAACGCAACCTCCTCCAGCGACTTTTCATATTATTAAGATTCGCTAATATGTTCTACTAACACAATGAAAACGAGAGTCTTCACGTCCTCCATTATATTTCGACCAGCTGCACACAAGCCATTTTCCTCATCCAGGTAATTCAATAGAAATCTATAGTCATTATTAGAAGGAAATCTAGAAGCTTTCTTGCATGAGTGAGCATATTTTATAGAACTGCACAGAAGTTTTTATTCTGGTTTTTATTGTGGCATTATTATATATATATATATATGTAAGTAATTTAACTATATTGCATGAGAACAACTTACAGGGTACAACTTATTGAGGACAATTTACGAGGCACAGCAAATTGAAGATAACTTATACGGCGGTATAGGTTGACAAAACAACACCCTACAAGTCTTGGAGATATCAACTAAGCCTTTTTGACTTCTGTACCTTTAATCTGTTTGGAAAACCTATTGTGAATCATTGTTGGAATCACGTACACTAGACTCGGGGTACGGTTCAGACTGAGCAGATAAGTTAAACTCGTTAGCCTACCGTTTGATAGTAGTGAGACTCTTATTGTTAAAATACGTAATTGATGAAAAATAAATAGCTTCATTGATTATATCTGGTGTCACACTATTTTTATAACATGTGGAAATACAACGAAAATTCGTATTGGTTATTTCAGTCATGTTTATTTGAAACCTGTGCGTGTCTCAAAATGATACTATTATTTAAAAAAAATTAAAATACATACATAAATTACCCTAAATATGCGTTCTAAAATGTTAAAATATTTCACATATGCACAACATTTCTTTTGATTATAATGAAATTCCTGATTGGATCGTGGAAGCTCTACGTATCCAAGCTTTGTAATTTAGATATCCATTTCTTGGCTTCTTCCTCCGTCGCAGCATACAAATTATACAATCGTTTCTCTGTACGAAGCTATAGAAGCATATAAGGCAGTGAAAATAGTCTTTAAGAAGAAAAAGTATTTTACATGCATGATAGTTTATATCGGTTTTATTTCAAAGTTTTAAAAACAGGGTTCAATGTTATCAGCGTAAAATATTTAATTGCTTTTTCAATGTCAATCTAAATCAACTAAAAGTGGTAAAGAAAGGATCATCTTTAAGTTTCGGGGAAAATTCAAAAGTTCATAAAAGAGCTTATTCCCATTATTTAATACTAGCCACCCTTACATAGTTTACAGAAAATAGCAAGCACGATTAACCAAATGGTTTTTCACACAATAATTTAAACCAATCAAAATTCGTGATGATTTAGAGCACCTTAAAGCTTCAAACAAGCAACACAGCGATGAAAGATACACAAATATATTTACTTACGTCGAAAAAAACTTGCTTCTCGTTTGCTAAAAATATCAATGAAATTCGCAATTTTTATAAAAAAAAAACACGACAATACAATAACAGCACTTTTACAATCATGTAATCATGTTTACAGTTTTATCGTACAATTAAATACGTAATTGCAACTTGTTCCATACTTAAATATATTATTAATTTTTATATACAGAAATAAATATCCTTTCCACAGATACCAAAAAAGCTTAAAAATTTGCAATTCATTCAAGCTGGTGCACAAAGACATTTGCTCTTAAGGTAATATCCCAGGAGAAGTTTTAATTTGGAACACACAACACCCTCCGCAAAAATCCAAAGTTAACAGAAAAGTCGTTTTTCTCAGTTATGCAACCAAAGTCAATAGAGCATTGTTTTAAAAGCTCATCAAAACCATGGAAGAAATAAGACTATAGAGCAAAATATTGAAATAAAACTTACAATTCAACTGTGACATTTCACATGAAATAATTTCAGATAAGTTGACAACACCTTGACAATGAACATCGCTTACTTCATCATAGTAACGAAGCTACAAAACCAATTAATTTGTGAAAACATAGACATCGTAAAATGTTAAAGCTAAGGACAGCAAATTGCAATGAACTAGAAATAAGTGCATCGAATAATTTGCACAGCTTAAACTTTGCGATTTTCACCATCAAAAAAGTCGGAAGCTTTAAATCATGGACCTCCCGTTCTCAGAAGTTCTTTTAACAATTCCATGCTCTGTCAGTAATGTAACGATTTTTAAAATGCACTTTTTGTTACTCTTGCTTTTAACGTGATGTCACAAATAGAACAATGAAAATTTAACGTGAAATCACAAAAATAAGGTATCGCAAAGTATGATTTGGACTAAATCAAATAGGCACAAAGCTATGGTAAGAAACAACAAAGTTAACCTTTCTATAGTAATTTTTAACAGAAACCAGTAGACATTGACAATCTGAAGCTTTATTTTACACCGTTTTCCATCTTTCATTATCACATTCCATCAAAATATCGTTCGCTAAAATTGCCAATAAAGAACAATACCTGATGTCTTTCCGTATCCAATACAAAATACCGTTGCTTCCATTGTTTGAATAAAGCACCTCGTTTCCATAGATACCCACACAAAAATTTCGAAGATTTGTTTATACTTGGAGACTATGGAATGATAAAGATTATTCAAATGACTAATTCATGATAAATCAGTTTGTCTAGTGTAACTAAAGCTTAATCCGGTATAAATGAGTAATATAAAGTGAAACTTAACAATATCTTCTTTGTTTACATATTATATAATTATAAATTTAAAAGTGAAGAAAAATGTTTGCAGTTAACAAACATCAATGGAAGTTCACTAGTGTACTATATTGTACCTCGTGTAAGCTTTTGTTACTAGTTGATGGCATTCTATCATTCTGGTCTTTTAGATTCTTGTAATTAGGACACGTTTTAGGAACACGTGATAAGCATTTCTCGTGACAGTTGTATCCACATTCTGTGCATCTGAATCCTATAAAAAACACATATTAAAATACAAAAGAATTTTTGGTGGTAGGAGACAAAATCTCTCCACAAAATATATCGTAACTACAACGCGTGGTGAACAGTTTTTGGGTATCAAGATGCCAGGACCGAGCCAAGTCATTTTAATTCATTTTGGATAGACTTGCTTGAATAAATTTCTTAAATTATTAAATTATCAACGGTACACACTCATTGAAATTCATGATGGACAAAAGCGGCGTCACAATCATCATGAAATAAATTATCAGTTGTATGACATAACAATTATCATAAATCTAGCAAAAAATATTGTCTGGCTGCGATTGTTTTACTTTGATTTCAGAATTAAATTTATACTAGGGTATATTTAACTAACATGAACGCGCGTGCATTCTGCTATAAAGCTTTGCTAGTTGTAAAATTTTATTAGCAAAATTTCCATAGAAACTTTGCACAGTAGACAAGATAAAGAAGCGTGTTTATAGATGCAACGGAAAGTCAACTGTATGGCCATCATAGATAGATAGATACACAAGCAAACCATACCTCCTTTTCCAATATTCCATATCACTTGTAGACAGAAATCGCAGTTGGTTGGCGTAAAGAAACTGTGAGGTTCAAATGAATGAGGTCGTGAAAAACCTTGGTTACTGTAGTCTTCGATTTGAAGTTTCCCCTGAAATATAAAAGTAACATCTGTCACATAGTATGTAGCTTTAAAAGAAACTAAGTGAAATCAGTTTCTACAAGGTCATCTTATAAAAGTAACAAAAATACTCTCTACTTCAAAGGTATAAATACGCAGCAAAAGTTGTAGAAATAATTTTGAACTACAAATTTAAGCAATTGCTGTCTATTCTTCGCAAAACACAACAATGTTGACATTTTTTAAAGCTAAGATCAAAACAGGCATGGAAAGCCTAACAAACGTAACAAAGGAATCAACGTATTATGAAAATTTAAACAAAACAAATTATTTACTGAAACCAGTACAAATGGTGTGTTGTCATGTGAAGTGAGCCGCCACATGATAGGTCACTTAACAAAACAAATTATTTACTGAAACCAGTACAAAAGGTGTGTTGTCATGTGAAGTGAGCCACCACAAGGTAGGTCACTTAACAAAACAAATTATTTACTGAAAACAGTACAAAAGGTGTGTTGTCATGTGAAGTGAGCCGCCACAAGGTAGGTCACTTACAAAAGTTCCAACATTAAGATGTCAATTTTACCTCCATTTCAGTAAAAAGAAATTAAATGAAGATTAAACTAATGCGTTAACTGACTACTTTTCAAGATTTTATCAAAAAATCAGAATTCAGAGACATTAAAATTTTGTACAAACTGTGTTCGAGAATCTTTCAAAATGGCGGCATGATACCAATCTCATATTGTGTGAAAAAAACTTTAAAAACACGGGTGCTGATTAGTGCAATGCTTGAAAATACCGTGTCTATAAAACCCTTTATTGCACGAGAGCTTCAGTTTCTCAAAATTATTGAAAACTTGCGTGGTTATTGCGGAAAGTTTTAAGGCAAAAATATAAACATGTTATTAAAATTCATTGTCTTTATATTCTTCTTAAAACGTTATTTCATAAAGAAAATACAAAAAATATTTGCCTAATCCTATAGATTTATATAGAAACACTCGTGAAATTTTAAAGAAACTCGAAATTTTGGCAAACACACGCACTTCGTGTTACTCTTTACCATGTAATTTATTGTTTCTACCAATCACGTGTTTCTAAACTCTCTAGAAACTCAGAAAGTGTTTTCTAGTTCTTAAAGAATACAACATATTCCAAGACAACATGAATACAATTTCATGGTTTAGTGCTACCAGCACAGCAAAACTAAATGTTAAAAAAGTTCATTTTTAAAAGTTGCCAAACTGATACAAAAATCCTTTTGTATATAGAAATTATTTTACCAAAAATTACAAAATAGAACGAGTATATTGCATGAACGAGAATATTAATTTAAGATCAGGTAATCATAAAATGGTCATTGAAGTTATAAATTATCTAGAATCAATATAAAATTATCATAAAGAAAAAGAATCATAAATACTACCTCAAGTATTATGTCCATTGTATCTCGTTTGTGTAGTACACCACTACGGACTCTGGAAAGTTCTTCATTGTATGTTAAAAACTGTAAAGAAAAAATGCCAGTCAGTTATGGTGTTCATTCGTACCAGGCAAACACCACAGTCTGTGATGGTATTCATACCATGCACATACTCCAGTCTGTAATGGTATTCATACCATGCACACACTTCAGTCTGTAATGGTATTTATACCATGCACACACTTCAGTCTGGTATTCATACAATGCATACACTCCAGTATGTAATGGTATTCATACCATGCACACGCTTCAGTCTGTAATGGTGTTCATACCATGCACACACTTCAGTCTGTGATGGTATTCATACAATGCACATACTCCAGTCTGTAATGGTATTCATACCACACACACTTCAGTCTGTAATGGTATTTATACCATGCACACACTTCAGTCTGGTATTCATACAATGCATACACTCCAGTCTGTAATGGTATTCATACCATGCACACACTTCAGTCTGTAATGTTATTCATACCATGCACACACTTCACTCTGTAATGGTATTCATACCATGCACACACTTCAGTTTGTAATGGTATTCATACCATGCACACACTTCAGTCTGTAATGGTATTCATACCATGCACACACTTCAGTCTGTAATGGTATTTATACAATGCACAAACTTCAGTCTGGTATTCATACAATGCATACACTCCAGTTTGTGATGGTATTCATACATACAATGCACACACCACAATCTGCTACGGTATTCATACATACAATGCATACACTACAATCTGTAATGGTATTCACACCATACACACACTCCAGTAAGCAAAAGTAGTTATGCTGCCTAAATGAGACCTAAAATATGATATTCACAAGCCATTTACAAAGATCCAGTGGATGACCTTTACTTAATGTCTACAAAGTAAAAGTAAAACAACACGTCACAATGAAAGTATATTTGCTATAAATACCGTTTTCGTTATTTTAGGCTGTTCCAAACGCTGCCATATATTTTTCCAACGAGTTGCGTGTTTGTCAGCCTCTTCTTCGATGCGATTATATTCGTACAAATGATATGCACAGCTACTATTGTCGTAATGAACCGATCCACCAAACATACCACTTCGACAGCGTCTAGTAAACAATGTGAAGCGTTAGCTATTTTATTCAATAATTTACGCACGTTTGAATATTATAAGTCACTTTTTTAAACATATAGTAAAGTTTGCAACAAAAAATTAAGCATGCAAGGTACGAATGGCATTGAACTTATTTTTTAATAGAAACATGCAAACAATGGAAGTACTAAATAATGTTTAAATGGAAACATCCTAACTATTAAAGTACTCAATAATTTTCAAATGGAAACACGCTAAGTATAGTAGTACTTCACTAATTTTTAATGGAAACACGCAAATCGTAGAGGTACTTTGCTACGTTTTAAATGGAACGCGCTTACTTCTTAACGCAATAACTTATTCATACCTGTTGGCATCGTACTTGTCTTCTAACTTCTGTTGTCCTTCCTCGGCAGCAGTTTCTGTCTCATTTATAACTTCTTGATCAAACTCTGGACCAGTGGAGACATTCTCCGAAACAAAATAACTCCATAATTTTAGATTGGAAACGTTGCAATGAGGACGAAGCACCTGGGAATTTAGAGATAATGTATAAATCTGGTTTAAGAGAAGAAAATCTTCTACAGAAAATAAAGGAAACGAGTCGTTGTGACTTAGTAAATGTATTTTAGATGCTCAATAAATTTTAATTATTGTGTTTGTGAGCGAAATTCTAGCAACAAAAATATATTTTCGTTCCAATTTATAATCAAACCTTTCCTATTTACCCAAACAAATTTTGTTTAAATTTTGTTATATCTCATTAAAAACACAGCACAATATAATTATACACAGACATAAGTATTTCTCTTCGTATTTGTCTAGAGAAGAAAAATATTCAGGTTTAACCATTGACACTAACAAATTTTACTCTCAGACACGCGTGTCTGTGGGTGAAATCCCGCTAGCTTATCACTGTAAATGGACTTTATAGGCCGTGCGTGGAAGGATTGGGACTAGTTGAATTGGTGGCTTTAAAATTTTGGCGGGAAGTAACATTCCAGTTCTATTTAGTTCAATGGGTTTTACAGTCCAATAATGTCACTTTAAGTACCACACAACAAATCAAGGATATTCTAGGATTTACTAAATGAAGTTTACAAGTTTAACCAATAAACGTGTTAGATAAAAGATATACAAAGCGTCCATTGAAAATAAACTGAGTTAAATGCCTGTTTTCTTTGATCTTGTTTTAATCAATTTGACAGTGATTACACAACTACATGACCGAAAAGCATGCAGGTAATTTCATTGTATTGCATGCGAACTGTTGCTGCAAAGATTTGCTAAAATATGGCTGCAAAGCAACAACTCACCTTTTCAGAATGTTCTTTCGAAAACTTGAAATTATAAAATAATGATGATTTTTTGTGTAGCATGTCGATGTAATCCCAAAGACTTTTTATGTGAGATTTAGAAGTCTTTGCATCTTTCTTTTCAGCATCTGATAGCCAACCCATCTGCACACGTTCGTGCTCTGAATCCAGTAAAAACGTACGAAAACGCATGGAGACATGATGATAGGCGAGAAAATGTAAATAATACTCGTTGAATTCGAAGGATAGTGGATACTGACGTAATATCTGAGAACATAAAAAATATGTAGAAATGAGTAATTTTTCCAAACTTTCAAATAAAAATAAATAACTGAGAACACAAACAATATGAACAAATAGCTAAGTCACTTTATCATTAATTTTGAACTATAGCAAATAAAAAAGATGGGAGACAATTGATTTCTAAACATTTCCCACCAAAATTCTTTAATAATATACGGTGTTTTTACTTTATGAAACGAGCGTGTTCTCCTAAGTGCGTCACTGATGGCGATGAGTAACTTATTTCTGGGCCCGAAAAGACCATTGAAAAAATATTGTGCACATGTTCTTAAAATGAATTTAACTATCTAGAGAAGTTATTTTTTGAACCTTAACTATGCATCATTGAGATGTTTATTGAGTCGTACAATGCAAGAAAACTTTGAAGATAATGACCACGAAAGAGTTGCTTTTAAGAGTTAATGGTAAATGTGGAATTTATAGCGAGAAAAGCACCTTAACTTCATGACTAAAATTTTTGATCGAATAAAGTTTTCAAAAAAAACCCAACAATATGCTTAACACAAGCTTTTGTCAAACGTTTTTCTTGTGTAATATAAAAAAAAAACATTTCGCACAATACTCAGACGACGGACACCAGACCATCTTAACTCCAATTTTTTAAGACAACTTTAAGAAACAATGATAACCTGATGGACGCCATCAAGAAATTGCAAGAAAACAGGCGTGAATCCACTTGATTGAGTTGAATGTGTATGATTACAGCGATGTGAGAAACGATGTCCAAAGGACAACCATTCTTTTTCAACTAAAATTTTAAAACCATTAATCGTTCGGTAGTATGGATCTAACATTACTTGAGCAAATGACGTCACCTACAAAAAAACAACATAAAGTATTAACTGTAGTTGTTCGTACGTGAAGCATTGAGTTCTATAATAACTGGAGCGGCTAAGTGGACTGGGACCTGACGCAAAAATGGCGGTCAATGGACCTATTTCCGCTGAAATGATCGCTTTGCAGAAAAATTATATTCTCGACCTCCCCCTGATGTCCATAGCTAATTATACAGCATTATTCAAAAACAAACACGATATCTTTTTTGGCATTTATTTTAAAATGCCAGCACTTCAATCATACAATCGTTGGATATGGTAGTGTCCACAAAAAAGGAACATGTCGCTTTCACAGGTGAGATATTTCTTTGGTTTGTTCATCAAAAATTGAAATGCAATTGAACTTGAAGCCTGAGCGATAAAATCCGACTGATGTTTTCCTATTTATGTTTTTAAATATCAACATACTTTTCCACTTATTTGTTAATGTGTGAAACCGTAAATCTGTTTGCAAAATAGTTTCCCTGACGCGAAAAAAGATTCTGCTCTTTTTACCCAGTGGGCAGATACTATGAAGAAACGATCACCCTAAAGAGAACCCATAAAGTAGAGAAGAGTTTGTTCCGGTCAATTTGCTCACAACATGAAGAGATGATCGGATAGCGAAATGTTTCTGGAATATGCTGCAGTACCACTATTTCATAGATCACTATATTAAGACAATTGGAAGATGCTATTGACCAGACAGAGTCTAACTGCAAAATGCTAAGGCTGAATACGAAAAAAGGTAAATGATTTACCGACTTCCCGTACAACAGTTATTTGAACTTGGACTAATTCTATGGATGGATGTAATGGATTTAATAAAGATGCCTTGAATGCTTTGAAAGTAAAGGTCAAGTACCAAATAAAGATAACAAGGTTATGTGTGTTTTGATGCTGATGAATTGTCCTGTCTTTTTCCTCACTCTTTCTTAAGGGGAGAGAAATTGTGACATTTTCAGAAAAGCAGTCAATTTCGGTAAATCTCAGCGGTAATGGAACAAATCCTCCATTTTTTGGCATCAGCCGCTAATTAAAGCCGTGTTAGAGATAGGCGCTCCAGTTATTATTGAACTCAATGACGTGAAGCAGAGACATTGCCAGTTCGATCATTGGGAGGGGGGGGGGGCAGTGGAGAATATTTATATATGCATATTAAAATGGACTGAAAAAAACACATTCGATTTCAAAGGAACTGGATATGACAAAACGTAAGATCTTGCCCTTGGGTATTGAGGGCTTGCACTATTATCGCCATTGACTATCGTAAAAATAATAATACAGATAACAAACACACCAAGAAAGATTACACTATAATAATCTGATGTGTGAATTTTTACCACTTATGTATAACCTCATTGAATTCTATAAGACCTGGAGGGAGCACGTCAACAAAATTACTATAAATTATTAGCGCACGCCACGCGGTCAAAATCATGGCGGATTTTGGTGGTCAAAGTCAGCGGGAAGACGCGGGCTCATGAAATAAAAATTTTGTCGCCTACCCTGATTTTACCACCACGATTGGGAGTAAAGAAAATATCAAAACTATTTTCCTAACATAAATACTTTTTTAAAATTTTATTTATTAAACAATCTGCAAACTTCCGTGGTTTGCGGATGCTGAAATAGCGACAGAAAAGGAAACATTTCATGACTCCGGTAAGTAGCACAGTAGTAGTTTTACTATTTTCTTTGTAACACGATACTTGAAGAGTGTTTCAACTACTAAGTTTTAATTTAAAGTTATTTTGGTCCAGTCTTGTTTGTTCTTCACTTTATCGCTCGCCAGACGAGGCGAAGCAGCCAATTTTTATCGAGTTTTGCATCCATCTTGTATCATGATCAAGCTAAACTCTACTTATTTGAATTGAGTTTACCTCCCAAAAATGGGGCAGAATTTGTTCATATTTTTTTTAAAAGATGAAGGGAAAGTTTACAACGGAGTTGTGTTAAAATTGAATGCAGTGCCATGCAAAATTAATGAGAACTATGGTATATGTTGTATAATAAAAAAAAACTATTAAACTGCTTGTCTGCTCAATTTGACTGACTGTATAGTGTAGACTGACTGTATAGTGTAATTATAATGGGTTTGGAAAGTTGGATTTATGCAAACAGTTTTAAAGTACTATTTAATGTTTCTGTAAGTGAAGTATTTATTGTTATAGTAAACAGATTACTACTTCAAAACCAAGATAGAAGGAGTGTGTTGAACAATGTTCTAAAATTTGCTCCTACCTTGAAATTTTTGTTCAACAGTAGCTTGTGATTATATCATTAATATGCATGAAAATTAAACATAATATTGTCTCATTTCACCAAATCCATACTTGGTATGATTCAAGGTGATCCACAAATTCACATCGGATGTATTGGTTACAATGAAGTTAAATGTAGAAGAAGAAAAAATAGATGGCAAAGAACTTATCTGTGTCTTATTATGAATTAGTAGAAATCAATAAAAAGAATTCTTTAGACAAATTGTAAACAAATTAAAATTGCTCATGGTCAAGCAACCTAGTCAAAGAAGCAAAGTCTGTCTTCAACATGTGACCTTTTCAATTATGTTTAGTTTCTTGGTACAAAATACTAATTTCGAGAAAATTTATTTGTATGTCTTTTATTAATATTTTTTTACCAAGAGATAAAAGGAACAAATTCAAAGGCTTGATGTAAAATACAAAGATTTATCAAGTTGTTTATCATTTAATTTCCAATTGTAAATTTGTACATATAAATAATTAGTATTGATAGCTATAAGTTGTTCAAACAGAACAGAAAAGTAGTAGTGCTCGAAAAGGTTATCATTTTTGAAAAATTGTATCTTCTTCTTGACATACATTACACAATTCCGAAAGACTCTAAGTAAGGCACAATAATATCTATAGAATTTGCTAAATTTCTTCACCTACACTGTCAATTAACTATTTTGCCTTCATGCAGCAATAGACAGAGTGTTTTTGTCAGAGAAGCCAATGCACTTTCCTAGTTTCCAAACTAGTTTCCAAGTTTGTTATTTCAATGGAAAATTATTGTAGATCTGTTCAGTAATAGACCCAAGGTTCTGCCAAGCAGTTAACAAAATACAAATTTCCAACCAACAATATCACCTTGGTGTTTTGAATTTTTTTCTTTTTGCAGCTCTTCTAGTTCAACATACTTTCTTTATCAGTTTTCAGCAGATTTATCAGGCAATGACAATAACACTTATACTTATCCATGGTAAATTTTCAGTTGACTTATGTCGAAGGACTGAAGCAAACATTTTCTCGCTTCCTTAGGAGCATTTTAACACAGATTTATCCATTTCAGCAAGAAAAATAGTTGCACCAAACTGTTTACAGTCAAACACACAGAAGCATGAAATAATGTATAAGTTTGACGAGACTTACAGGTCCACTAAAGAATGCCGTTTGATTTTCACTTTTAAAAGGTTAAAATATCATAAAATAACTTAAATGCTACAGCCAAAATATGCGTTTCTCTGCCGTCGATTTTCTTTATTTAGATGCGTGTGTTTACTGTGTTTTTCCCGCCATGCTGAAGCATTATTTTCACATGATATGCTGACGGTATGGTAATAGTATTTTTTCACTTGTTGTCGTTCATATAAACAGTATTAGAAATCAGGAGGGAGTGATTATTGAAAACAATTTTTAAAGTGGAAGTTTTGACTACCAAATCCCAATTACCGCCATGTTTTTGACAATCGGGTCCAGGCACCCTTCCCCACCGGGTCTTATAGAACTCAATGTATAACCAAAGATCAAACTCCACGCTACTAAAAGGAGATCTTACATGAAGTATGACCCAATATAAAAGATGTTTTGCAAGACCTCAATGTTTTATAGGAGCATACGTAACAAGTAACTTTTGTTAATAAATAACATAAGCTAGGTGCTTAAATGAAGCTTACTTGTGTAGTAATGTCCCATCCATCTTCAAACGAGACAAGAACAGATGATCCCTGAATGTCCAAAAGATCTACGACAGCACCGGATATCCGAAGTACAAGCGATAACTACAAATAAAAATAGGCATGAGATACACCAAAACCCCGAAAAGTCTATGTTACAATACTTTCTTCTGCATATCTTTCAAGAACGTTCTCGTGGCATAAAAATATACTTCGTTGGATAGAGTTATTCATAGGTTGCTGTTTTATCTTTATGGGAAAACGCAAACTAATGTTCCTTTCTATTGACTGATGACTTAGGATCGTAGCTAGTTGAGATTTAATATATTTCTTAAACAATCCAATGGTTCACAGTAGAACAAGAACGAATTTAGGATCGAGATGTTACGAGAGTTGTGCATCCCTTCTAGCCTTGGCCAGATGGAATGCAGGAGGGGTGCCGATTTCCTTACAAAATACAAAGTATACATAACAACTAAGGATGCAAAACTTCTAGCTTTGGCCAGATGGAATACAGGAGGGGTGGAAATTTCCCAACAAAATACTAAGTATACCAAACAATTAAGGAAAAGAAATTGCGATTGTAGCGTTCAATGGAACAGAGTTTGAACAATTTAACGAAAATAGCCTGACTTTCGGCAACAAGCAGCTACCAATTCCTAATCAAAAGTAGATACACACCCCACCCCACCACCCCGTAATATCCAAATCAAATATCCAAAAATGAGTATAGTATAAGAGTAGACTGTGAATTACCATGCTGAAACTATACACAGCCGAATATACATAAGAAATTTGACATTGGAATACGATTCCATCCTTTTTTGACGACACAAGAATCGGAAATAATGAATTGTCTAGCAACAACAGTTTAGAATTTAGAAAAATCACACTACAGCATGTTGAGAAACGTCACAGTAGAGAACCTGTTGTTAAATATGAGTTAGATTATCATAATACAATTGAAACCATCAATATACATATATTATATAAAACAGCGTAAACCAGCTGATACCTGCTTCAACCAATCAGTATCTTGCAACGACTTGAAAAATGGATCACCTTGAGTGGAATCTTTAGGGGGATTGCTGGGACAGCAAACTTTGAACAACTTACGTAAGCTGGTTTTGAGATCACGTACATCCGGTATCTAGTACGACAGGAATAAAAGACCTCTGATTAAACAGATCAATAGATCGTACATTGAAGATGTGCATTTGAAAATTTGCTTGATTGCTTTTAATTAAGTTGTTTTGAACGAAAGAATTGTGGACACACAGCAATAAAAACATGACATTTTATTTCATTGTCCATTTTGAAGCTGCTATTGTAAAATCTTAGTATAGTTGCAACTATTTTCTTGGTGTTATCACATTACGTAATGGTCTCCATGTTGAATGACTTTGACAGTGTATTTTCTTTATTTACAACGCAAATTTCAACCAACATGGCGAACGTTTCATTGTTTCCTCACTCCCAGGCTGTTTTAAGGTGAAGAGGTTACACACTACATATTGTACGATAGTCAAAATGACATACCTCAATAGGAACAAAATCAATATTGGTATACGAATCTTTCTTTAAATTCTGTGAAAGATAAACGGTAAGGTAAGATATTCAATTAATTAATCTGAAAAAGAATTTTATTTTACAAGCAATTTGCTATAAATATAAAGCAATCGTTCAATAATCAAAAATAATTTATCATTATTATATATTTGCAAAAGCTCGTTTCAATAAATTATTTTTTGGTTAGTGAACGACTATACGTATGCTTTATATTAAGCCCTTAATAACCGAGCTCGAGGTCTTTACGGAGAAATAACGGACCGAAGTATTGTTGTAAAGACGAGCCCGTAGGGCGAGCGGCAAGAAAATGTCAAGTCCTATTTTCACCAAAGCTTCAGGAAAAAATCTCACCTTTAAATTGCTTTTGTCTCCAAAAACGTATAGTGCAGCAGGCTCCCATCCTTGCTCAGTTATTGCTTTATCAACGGAATCCACAACAGAAACACGTTTAGATGCCTTGTCATTTGATCGTAGATTCATCGTTGCTTTAGACATGCTGACGTTGGCTGCCAATGAACGATGTTTCGCCTCCGCTTTATTCCACGATACAGAATTTGAAGACACTTAAAATTAAAAGCATAGAAAATCACGGTTACATAATCACATAATAATGCTTAAAGCAAAACTTTAGGATCCATAAGAAAAAAATGATAAATGCAGATACATTTGCTAATGTTAATAAAACTTAAAGAATGGCAAATAGTCCCTACATACTTATATTGTGACACATATCTTACAAAAATCAACAGTATCCATAAATTAATAGCGTAGAAAATCAAGCTATATCTAAATCACTCAGTGTTAGAAAAACAATTATACAATTCATTTTCATCAGTTCTCGTTTATTTTTTGAAGATACTTTATTTCAAAATGTGATTTTTAAAAAAACGAGAATCCACAACGTGCGCATACTTAAGTAATATATATGCATACTTAAGTAATATATAGTAAAGTAATATATATTGTTGTGATACCAAGGGTGGCGATAGATCTGTGTGTTTGTGGGAGAGGGGGCGTTGCGCTGGGGCACTTACATGTGAGGGTAGGGGACGAGTGTTGAAACGATAAATATAAACAACTAACCAACGGCAGATAAATATTTATCTTGCTCCACGTTGGATGAACGTATTGCGTCAGTGCTTCCACCACTTGCAGCTACACCAGAGCGAATGATGGATGCCACAGAGCTTCGTTCAATGGCAGAAGATCGCAATAAAACGGCGAATTTATTGACTTTATGTCTCCACGTCGCAACAGGAAAACGCATATGGCGATGGTTTTTAGACACTCGCAACAAAGAGTCATCGGTCACGTGTTGTGGCACCACTAAAACAGCCGGGTAACTGAAAGAAAAATCCACAATATGATGACTATTTTGTCAAAACATGTTTATTTTTCAAAGACTTGTAAAGCTTACCCTTTCGCAAAATAAATGTATTATACGAGTAAATATGAGTTTTAAAACACTTATGGCAATAATGAAAGGGTTAAATGCTCCTAAGTCTTATTCGGAAATTTTGAACATAACAATTCTGTAATTGAAAATTATCTCCACCATTTTTCTTATAACTTTACCTTCGGCAGGCTGCGTACGAAAGATTGACCATAGAAAGCCTCCAAGATCCACTTTTACTCCCTATACGTTCGTCAAGTACAGAGCCAAAGCCAAGTCTTTTATACTCCTCACAATACGGGGTTAAATTCAAGTTTTCAATAACCGGCGCATTTCGTACCACAAAAGATCCATCAACCTAACAGAATATATATAACCAATAACATTGCAGAAAAGCTAACCATAAAGTAACTAATGGTAGGTAATGGTAGGTAATGGTAAGTAATGGTAGGTAATGGTTATTAAGGGCTTAGTAATGGCAGGTAATGGTAGGTAATGGTAGGTAATGGTTACCTATGGTAAGTAATAGTAGGTAATTTGTAATGGTAATGATAGTTTATGGTAGGTAATGGTTAGTAATGGTAGGTAATGGTTAAGAGTTAGTAATGGCAATGGAGGTAATAATGGTAGTAATGGTAAATGGAAGAATAATGGAAGGTAATGGAAGGTAATGGTAAGGAATGGTAAGTAGGTAATGGTAAGTAATGGTAGGTAATGGTAAGTAATGGTAGGAATGGTAAGTAATGGAAGGAATGGTAAGTAATGAAATGGTGGAATGGTAATAAAAGTAAATGGAATGATAAGTAATGGAATGTAAGTAATGGAATAATGGTAACAATGGTAGGTAATAGTAACTAATGGTAGGTAATGGTAAGTAATTGTAAGTAATTGTAAGTAATGATTAGTAATGGTAAATAATGGTAATAGTAAGTAATGGTAGGTAATGATAAGTAATTGTAAGTAATGGTAACTAATGGTAACTAATGGTAGGTAATGGTAAGTAATGGTAACTAATGGTAAGTAATGTGCTCATAAGTTTGAAAAACTTGACAAACTCCGCATTTTGCATTAAGCATGTACAAACAGGAAAATAAATTTAAAACAACGCTTTAATATTTCCTTCAACATGATTAATTTGCGAATTCTCTTTGCGAATCCTCATTCATGATTGATTTGCGAATTCTCTTTGATTTATTTAACTGGTTGACCTCAGATTAGATTGCGAAGGCCAATGCAAGCTCAGCTACCAACCAATCAACGCGCGCGTTTGGTTTTATTTTATAAATGCATGTAAAAAAACACCGTTCGGCTTTATGAAGATATTTTTCTTCCCTTTTCTTCAATAGTGGGTCATTGTCTACTTATACGAACAAGATTTGTTATCGGCTCGAAGTAAAAAATAGAACAAACCACGGAAATTATTCGTTCAAACAACGAGTCGTCTATTGTCACCTTCACCCAGGTATATTTACTATCAACACTTACTAACCACTCACCTGTTCGCCGCTCATACTTTCTACAGAACCATCAGATGAAAAATTATTCCTAGGTAATCTAGGGGATGATATGCCATTTCGAGTTTGGCCTCGTTTCATCGATCCTCTCGCTTGCTTTGCTTCCTTTCGAATATCACTAACAGCCCGAGGTATTCTAGCGCCAGTATTGCGCGGTTGACTTTCTGCGGGTGGAATTTGCAGGCGGACAACTTTTGCAGGTGGTTTCTTGTCCGCTTCTTTAAACGAGAATGTGTCTAAGACCGATGAAGGATATCGTAATCGCGTCAACGTTTTACGAAACAGTTCAATTTTCTCGGCACCGACCTCCTCATCAAAACAAAGCTTTAACATCTACAACAAATAAATCATTTTTACCGAAAGAGGGCGATAAAATAATGAATGTGGCATGAAATCATCGTGGTGAACAATTTAACTGATTTACTACAACCAAATGTGGCATGAAATCATTGTGGTGAACAATTTAACAGATTTACTACTACCAAATGTGGCATGAAATCATCGTGGTGAACAATTTAACAGATTTACTACTACCAAATGTGGCATGAAATCATTGTGGTGAACAATTTAACAGATTTACTACTACCAAATGTGGCATGAAATCATCGTGGTGAACAATTAACAGATTTACTACTACCAAATGTGGCATGAAATCATTGTGGTGAACAATTTAACAGATTTACTACTACCAAATGTGGCATGAAATCATTGTGGTGAACAATTTAACAGATTTACTACTACCAAATGTGGCATGAAATCATCGTGATGAACAATTTAACAAATTTACTACTACCAAATGTGGCATGAAATCATGGTGGTGAACAATTTAACAGATTTACTACTACCAAATGTGTTATGAAATCATTGTGGTGAAAAATTCAACAGATTTACTACTACCAAATGTGGCATGAAATCATCGTGGTGAACAATTCAACAGATTTACTACTACCAAATGTGGCATGAAATCATTGTGGTGAACAATTCAACAGATTTACTACTACCAAATGTGGCATGAAATCATTGTGGTGAAAAATTTAACAGATTTACCTCTACCAAATGTGGCATGAAATCATTGTGGTGAACAATTTAACAGATTTACTTCTACCAAATGTGTTATGAAATCATTGTGGTGAACAATTCAACAGATTTACTACTACCAAATGTGGCATGAAATCATCGTGGTGAACAATTCAACAGATTTACTACTACCAAATGTGGCATGAAATCATTGCGGTGAAAAATTCAACAGATTTACTAATACCAAATGTGGCATGAAATCATTGTGGTAAACAATTTAACAGATATACTACTGCCAAATGTGGCATGAAATCATTGTGGTAAACAGATTAACAGATATACTACTGCCAAATGTGGCATGAAATCATTGTGGTGAACAATTTAACAGATTTACTACTACCAAATGTGGCATGAAATCATCGTGGTGAACAATGCAACAGATATACTACTATCAAATGTGGCATGAAATCATCGTGGTGAACAATTTAACAAATTTACTACTGCCAAATGTGGCATGAAATCATTGTGATGAACAATTTAACAGATTTACTACTACCAAATGTGGCATGAAATCATTGTGGTAAACAATTTAACAGATATACTACTACCAAATGTGGCATGAAATCATTGTGGTAAACAATTTAACAGATATACTACTGCCAAATGTGGCATGAAATCATTGTGGTGAACAATTTAACAGATTTACTTCTACCAAATGTGCTATGAAATCATTGTGGTGAACAATTCAACAGATTTACTACTACCAAATGTGGCATGAAATCATCGTGGTGAACAATTCAACAGATTTACTACTACCAAATGTGGCATAAAATCATCGTGATGAACAATTCAACAGATTTACTACTACCAAATGTGGCATGAAATCATTGTGGTGAACAATTTAACAGATTTACTACTACCAAATGTGGCATGAAATCATCGTGGTGAACAATTCAACAGATTTACTACTACCAAATGTGGCATGAAATCATCGTGATGAACAATTTAACATATTTACAACTACCAAATGTGGCATGAAATGATTGTGGTGAACAATTTAACAGATTTACTTCTACCAAATGTGTTATGAAATCATTGTTGTGAACAATTCAACAGATTTACTACTACCAAATGTGGCATGAAATCATTGTGGTGAACAATTTAACAGATTTACTACTACCAAATGTGGCATGAAATCATCGTGGTGAACAATTCAACAGATTTACTACTACCAAATGTGGCATAAAATCATCGTGGTGAACAATTTAACATATTTACAACTACCAAATGTGGCATGAAATCATTGTGGTGAACAATTTAACAGATTTACTTCTACCAAATGTGGCATGAAATCATCGTGGTGAACAATTCAACAGATTTACTACTACCAAATGTGGCATGAAATCATCGTGATGAACAATTTAACATATTTACAACTACCAAATGTGGCATGAAATGATTGTGGTGAACAATTTAACAGATTTACTTCTACCAAATGTGTTATGAAATCATTGTGGTGAACAATTCAACAGATTTACTACTACCAAATGTGGCATGAAATCATTATGGTGAACAATTGAACAGATTTACTACTACCAAATGTGGCATGAAATCATTGTGGTGAACAATTTAACAGATTTACTACTACCAAATATGGCATGAAATCATTGTGGTGAACAATTCAACAGATTTACTACTACCAAATGTGGCATGAAATCATCGTGATGAACAATTTAACAGATTTACAACTACCAAATGTGGCATGAAATCATTGTGGTGAACAATTTAACAGATTTACTTCTACCAAATGTGGCATGAAATCATTGTTGTGAACAATTCAACAGATTTACTACTACCAAATGTGGCATGAAATCATTGTGGTGAACAATTTAACAGATTTACTACTACCAAATGTGGCATGAAATCATCGTGGTGAACAATTCAACAGATTTACTACTACCAAATGTGGCATAAAATCATCGTGGTGAACAATTTAACATATTTACAACTACCAAATGTGGCATGAAATGATTGTGGTGAACAATTTAACAGATTTACTTCTACCAAATGTGGCATGAAATCATCGTGGTGAACAATTCAACAGATTTACTAATACCAAATGTGGCATGAAATCATCGTGATGAACAATTTAACATATTTACAACTACCAAATGTGGCATGAAATGATTGTGGTGAACAATTTAACAGATTTACTTCTACCAAATGTGTTATGAAATCATTGTGGTGAACAATTCAACAGATTTACTACTACCAAATGTGGCATGAAATCATTATGGTGAACAATTGAACAGATTTACTACTACCAAATGTGTCATGAAATCATTGTGGTGAACAATTTAACAGATTTACTACTACCAAATATGGCATGAAATCATTGTGGTGAATAATTTAACAGATTTACTACTACCAAATGTGGCATGAAATCATCGTGATGAACAATTTAACAGATTTACAACTACCAAATATGGCATGAAATCATTGTGGTGAACAATTCAACAGATTTACTACTACCAAATGTGGCATGAAATCATTATGGTGAACAATTGAACAGATTTACTACTACCAAATGTGGCATGAAATCATTGTGGTGAACAATTTAACAGATTTACTACTACCAAATATGGCATGAAATTATTGTGGTGAACAATTTAACAGATTTACTACTACCAAATGTGGCACGAAATCATCGTGGTGAACAATTTAACAGATTTACTACTACCACATAACTTGTTTTAATAAGCTAAAACGGTAATCTGATTAATCTGATGGCTTGATTTGCAATAGTTAAGCAAAAAATCTCCCAATTGATGGAGACATGACCTTGTCGTTGAAAACCACTTTTATATAGCAGTTAGAGAGTGTGAGCTTCTAGAACACGGGGGGGGGGGATAATTCATCATATGCAAAGCAGCTAGTGAATAATACCGACCACTTCTATGGGAGACTTTGTCAACTGACTGGAGAGTGTAAATGGCTTTGACAGAGTTGTAAAAAAGTTCAACCTTCCTCCCCGGGTAGGATTCCCTTAAAAACATTCCTCAAAGTAAAATCAAGTTTTTCTCGTTAGCCGTGTGATTCGTGCAGCATGGGCACATGCATGTGCTTACTGGGAGTATTGAAATTTGAAACATCCTCAAAAACTATATTTAAAGAAGCCTTCCTCACGGGTGGTACCCGTCTCTACCCGCAAATTTTTAGGTTTTGAAAACTTTACTGACGACAGTCAGAATCCTATTAACGCCTGGGAGAATTCAATCAGCTCTACGTTATCAATGCATGGAGTCAAAAACCTGAAACGTCGCAGATCGCAATTGAACACATTCTTGCAACCAAGATCTAAGATGTCGCAAATACTGAGCTGGGAGTTTCTTATCTCTCACTAAGGATCCAATTGGAAAACTTCTCGTCACGATCATTTCTGAAGCTGAAATTTAAATTACATTGTTAAATACGCATTTTCAAAGTTCATTTTTCCCATTGTTTTCATACAAGTAACTCAAGCGTACGTAAGATAGATAATACATTATCTACTGTTAGATGATGAAAAGTCACGTTTATCATATCGTAAAAGCGCGACCTTTGCCCGACATTGGTTAGTGTCTTATCTCGATTAAAAAAGAGCGGGAATTTTTTTTACTATTTTATTTAAACATTCCTTTGCGAAAGTAAGTATTTCGTTTATGTACGTTGTTCTCTGTTTTCTCATGGGTATATAACAAAAAAAACTTATTGACTGAAATCTCGAAAAACAGTGTTTTCCGTTTACACTCGACCGGCATAATTTTCCTCGGCGAACTGGGCTCCTTCTAAAGTAAAAAACAATGCCCGTTCTTCAGATGTTGGTATCTTGGCTTAAATGACACATGCCAATTGGAGTTGTCGGTATTTATTTAGAAACAAAGAAAGAATACTTTGGACAAAAATAGTTATTTGCTCATGTCATATACACATAGTCCTATAGCAACCACTGGTAAAATATCTTAGCACACCAAACTCGAAAGAACAAACTTTAAAAAACAAACAACAAATACCAAGTATGAAAAAAGGTATGATAACATGAAGTCTTGACATAGATAAAATTATATTGTAAAAACTGCGAGCCTCCACCAATGAAACAAAAACAAAACACCAATACAATCTACGTATGCACAACATCCACTAACCGAAATTAGTTTTGATAACGTTTAAACTCACCAAATTCATCAAGAGGAGTTCCTTTAAATATAATCCGATAATTAGTAACAAATACAGCGCCTTCCGCAGGAACATAACAGGACCGCCATAATGCACACCAGTGCCAGTCTCCCGACCATCCGGAATTAAATAACAGCGAAGTCCATCCATTTGCATTTCTTCAAGAGGCAACATGGCGGGTCGGATTATTTTAGCCTATTAATATAGCAAAGGATGAGAAATTACATTTTCTATGATATTTATACATCCTTATCTACATCAAACAAAACCAGACAAGTTTGCCATCGATGCAACGAAATTTTGTGCATTGATTTTGCAAATGTGATTTTACAATATGGATATAACTTGCCGACAATTTTCAACGAGGAACGATATAGATGGGTTTTGTTACGTAAATACTCTAAGATTATTGTTCTTTCACAGTCCTCAAGAATGTTTTGAAAATTACGTATAAATACATTTCTGTATCGTAGTTGTACCTTTCGAATAGGAGCAAGTTGTTTATATTCTCTGTAAACTGGTTCCAGTGATTCTGTGTGCATAGTCACCACACCTGAAATACAATAATAAAATCTACGGCATCACAAGATAGCAGTCCTGTCGTTTATAACCCGTCTTACACTTTTAACGTAATTCAATAATATTAACGGAAAAATTGTAGTAGACATTATAGAAACTATAATATGGGCATAAAAATTCAATACAATGTCATTTTTTTTCGATTTCAGCCCCATAGCAGACTTTGAATCAGTCGATCAAGGTTTCACTTCGAAAGAAGGACTTTGGCTGCTTACTGGGCAGCCTCAAACATAAATTTCAATCAAGGTATCACTTCGAAAGAAAGACCTTGGCTGCTTACTGGACAGCTTCAAACATAAATTTCAATCAAGCTTTCACTTCGAAAGAAAGACTTTGGCTGCTTACTGGACAGCCTCAAACATAAATTTTAATCAAGGTTTCACTTCGAAAGAAAGACCTTGGCTGCTTACTGGGCAGCCTCAAACATAAATTTTAATCAAGGTTTCACTTCGAAAGAAAGACTTTGGCTGCTTACTGGACAGCCTCAAACATAAATTTTAATCAAGGTTTCACTTCGAAAGAAAGACCTTGGCTGCTTACTGGACAGCATCAAACATAAATTTTAATCAAGGTTTCACTTCGAAAGAAAGACCTTGGCTGCTTACTGGACAGCCTCAAACATAAATTTTAATCAAGGTTTCACTTCGAAAGAAAGACCTTGGCTGCTTACTGGACAGCCTTAAACATAAATTTCAATCAAGGTTTCACTTCGAAAGAAAGACCTTGGCTGCTTACTGGACAGCCTTAAACATAAATTTCAATCAAGGTTTCACTTCGAAAGAAAGACCTTGGCTGCATACTGGACAGCCTTAAACATAAATTTCAATCAAGGTTTCACTTCGAAAGAAAGACTTTGGCTGCTTACTGGACAGCCTCAAACATAAATTTTAATCAAGGTTTCACTTCGAAAGAAAGACCTTGGCTGCTTACTGGGCAGCCTCAAACATAAATTTTAATCAAGGTTTCACTTCGAAAGAAAGACTTTGGCTGCTTACTGGACAGCCTCAAACATAAATTTTAATCAAGGTTTCACTTCGAAAGAAAGACCTTGGCTGCTTACTGGACAGCCTCAAACATAAATTTTAATCAAGGTTTCACTTCGAAAGAAAGACCTTGGCTGCTTACTGGACAGCCTCAAACATAAATTTTAATCAAGGTTTCACTTCGAAAGAAAGACCTTGGCTGCTTACTGGACAGCCTTAAACATAAATTTCAATCAAGGTTTCACTTCGAAAGAAAGACCTTGGCTGCATACTGGACAGCCTTAAACATAAATTTCAATCAAGGTTTCACTTCGAAAGAAAGACCTTGGCTGCTTACTGGACAGCCTTAAACATAAATTTCAATCAAGGTTTCACTTCGAAAGAAAGACCTTGGCTGCTTACTGGACAGCCTCAAACATAAATTTTAATCAAGGTTTCACTTCGAAAGAAAGACCTTGGCTGCTTACTGGACAGCCTTAAACATAAATTTCAATCAAGGTTTCACTTCGAAAGAAAGACTTTGGCTGCTTACTGGACAGCCTCAAACATAAATTTCAATCAAGGTTTCACTTCGAAAGAAAGACTTTGGCTGCTTACTGGACAGCCTCAAACATAAATTTCATTCAAGGTTTCACTTCGAAAGAAAGACTTTGGCTGCTTACTGGACAGCCTTAAACATAAATTTCAATCAAGGTTTCACATGCTTCCCGAATTGATCTTGGGATCGTAAAATTTTTTTGGAATACCCAAGTGGAAAATCAAAAAGATGCAGTACTTCGTAAGATAACAAATTTCTATTGTAAATGTGTTCAAAACACACACAAAAAAATATCCCTACTTGGCACCAAGCTGTAAAGAGACTTCAAATGGTCGGTTGAAATTCCTGCAACTGTTCCAACTCTATCCACAAAGCGAATAACAAATCTCGTCACTTCATCAATAATTGTGTCCGTTTCATCATCTTCCCAGTGGTCACCAGCATGGACGTCCCCATACACACTACCCACCCCTAAAACATAAAACAAACATATCCCATGTCAAACTTTGTTTACATTATCCATTCTTTGGGTTGACCACGTACAAATTTCTTGTTTTTAGAATTTAGGTCCTTTCAGATTTTCGGAAAATAATGTGGTAAAACCGTAATTGTGTTGTGTTGAGCTCTTTAGACATGGGAATTTTTTTCGGTAATTATTTTCCCTAAGAATGAATGAAGAAATTTATCAATTAAAATGTGCAAAACGCGTGCTCTGATTGGTCGATGATCGTGTTTGCATTAGGCCATCCAAACATGGAAATTGAAATTGCTGTCGTGAGAATTTTGAACATGCCTGAAAGCAAAGCCGATTTTTTTTTGCCTAAATTGACTTGGAGTTCATTTCTGGCATTTGAAATGTAAACTTAAATCAGCATTGGTGTTTTTTCTAAGCTTTTAAATTCAAAAGCCTCGCTGTAATTCTACGTTTTACTAACCTTTACAGCTTTGCTCGCTAGATATAGTTTAATTTTCGTATTTCCGCTTAAAGTTAACAACACACTACACTAAAGTTATTTTATGTAACAATAATTTAACGCTTTCAAGTGTTTGGATGTCATAATCCAAACATTTTGGAATGTTGCTCGAGTCAAGAAAAACAGTGCAAACACTCGTTTTTAGGACGTGTTTCCCGCGCTTTTCTTTAATATCGCTTAGTTCCCGTATGTTTGGGTCCGGCCATCAAAACACGGAAATTGTTTATTCTTACCCGTGGTGGTATCATTGACATCACTGACAGATCCATTTGTACTTTGAGGAACAATTTTACCGGGATTAGCACGACCATCTGATCCAATACTAGTGTTTGCAATGGATCCATCTACGTTCTCTTTCACCCCTAAAAAATACCAAATTATAATCAATGATATTCGATAACAGTGTAAAAAATAATAAAAGCGCCTTTAAAGTGCTCTAGATCGACTAGTGGATTTTGATTGATTCTATCTGACTGTAATAAGTACAAAAGAAGACAAAACATCCAAAGTCCTGGACCCGAGGAATATACTTTAAACAATAATATATTAATATCAATTTACAGTAGAAAGACGCTCACCAGTATTTTCTAGAATGACATCGTTTTGACGTCTCTTCTTTGGTTTAACCATTTGAGAGACACTGAGGGGTATCATGAGATACACCATACGATTGACGAAGTGGATGGCTTGGCTAAACACGATGCTTTCCTCGTTTGTTACGTATGTCTTTTGTGAATCTTTTGAAAATGTTTCCCACATGCCAAGCTGAATGAAACCAAGAAAACATTAAAACTTGATTTGAAACTTGAGACAAATCGTAATAAAATGGTTTGAACCCGGGAGTATCGTTACATGTTTGTGGATGTAGATCGTCAGGGTTGGTATAGTCCCGAGAAGGACTGTTGGTATTGATGTTGTTGACTGACGTTTCGACAACCTTAGCGGTAGTCATTTTCAGAGTCATCGGTAGTCATCTCAGCGGTAGTCATCTTCATGACTCTGAAGATGACTACTGCTAAGGTTGTCGAAACGTCAGTCAACAACTACAAAAACTGTCCTTCTCAGGACTATACCAACCTGGACGATCTACATTTACAAACATGTAACAAAACATATAGGTATCATTTTGATAACAAGAGGATAAAAAAGTGTGGTTTAAAAAAGAAAAAGGAAAGAACTCTGTATTTGCTAAAAGAAACCGATACGAAAATTGCAAAAAGAAAAAAAAAGAATGAATCATGACAACCGAACTTGTGTCTTAAGGCAAAGCATCAGGAACAAACATGTTCAACAAGACACGCACAATTCTTCATTGCTAACTCACGCAGCACGTTTCATCCAAATGCATTTAGCCTATTTAAGTAAGGCCTCGACAAAATGGTTTCTCTCGCCATTAAGATAAGAAGACAAATAATCTTCATGTAAAGACACATTCGAGTGAAAAAGTAAGCCTCACCTGCTTAGCAGCAATATCTAACGCTTCATCATTCACTATCAAATCAGAATCAGATACATCCTGCGGGTAGATACCAGATTTCGTGATAACAATGAGGTCTTGTTTTGGTACTAATGACGGAGGCGATGCTTGCGTGAGGCTGTTCCGTGAGTTTCGTGGAGTGGATAGGCGTTCAAAAATGCCAGAACTATGGGCTAACACTGCAACAAAAAATGTTCAACTTTTTTTCCCTTATAAGGTCTATAATGCCAGTGTGGAAATGCCTGAACTTGCCATTGACAGGGAAAAGAGTGGGTTGAAATGGGGACACGAAAACACTTATGTTACCTAAGAGTTTTATTCAAAACTTAGCGATTAAACTTTTCATGAAATGAATCTTCACATGATATTGGAACAGTTTTCTACGTAAATCCCATAAGCCACAACAAAAATGTCAACGAAGAGTGAAAAATATGTAATAAGACAAACTGTCGCCAATACTGCTTGCATTCGAAAAACTATTATAACAAAGGACAGACGAAGTACTTTCAATATACCCTGAACACTTTGTGTAGAGGGACTAAGAAATTATATGTTTGTTACAAGCTTAAAACAATGACTCGATGTCAGTTAGTGCACTAATGGGTGTTATAATTTATTAAAAAAAAAACACAACAAAACCCGTGCACTGATTGGTCTATGGATGAGTTTGCATCTGATTGGTCTATGGCTGAGTTTGCCTCTGATTGGTCTATGGCTGAGTTTGCATTAGTCTTTGCAAACAGATATGAGCTCAATCATTCAAATCGATGAAAGAAAATTTGCAAATAAATCACGAATACATGTTGGCGGAAAAATTTCAGTGTTGGTTTGAATTGATCTGTTTCGCATTGTTGTTATTCAATTGATCTCTGCACGAGAGTTAACCTGAGCAAACACGAAAAACATATTATTTCTTAACAGAACTTAATAACGTGGTAATTCATGGACGAGAAGAGTAATTTGCTTACGTTTATCGGTGGATAGCCTCTTTTTAGTGCTTGTTCCATCGTATAAATGCTTTATATCCGTTTGAACATCGCTAAAGAATGTTTCCTCCCAAAATTGTGGATTTTGCCAAATGGGATGTTCTTGTACGCAAGTGTATGCAGATTGCATCAATCCTGGTTTTAGGTTCTGAAACAAAATAACAGTAATTGAACTGATGTGTTTTCTGACAAACTATTCAGACGGTTTTTTATGCCCATTTATTACGTGGGTAGAAATCACAGACCGTGACAATAGGCGATGACTGGCGCAAAATGTCATCCTCGCGCCTTGACGTTTGTTGTTTAGTGTGTGTAAACTGTTTTCCTAGCAGTTATTTGTTAGCGGCTTTACAACCTATACAGAACAACAGTTTTTACATCCTATACAGAACGACAGTTTTTACAACCTATACAGAACGACAGTTTTTACAACCTATACAGAACGACAGTTTTTACACCTATACAGAACGACAGTTTTTACAACCTATACAGAACAACAGTTTTTACAACCTATACAGAACAACAGTTTTTACAACCTATACAGAACGACAGTTTTTACAACCTATACAGAACGACAGTTTTTACAACCTATACAGAACAACAGTTTTTACAACCTATACAGAACAACAGTTTTTACAACCTATACAGAACAACAGTTTTTACAACCTATACAGAACGACAGTTTTTACAACCTATACAGAACGACAGTTTTTACAACCTATACAGAACGACAGTTTTACAACCTATACAGAACGACAGTTTTTACAACCTATACAGAACGACAGTTTTTACAACCTATACAGAACGACAGTTTTTACAACCTATACAGAACGACAGTTTTTACAACCTATACAGAACGACAGTTTTTACAACCTATACAGAACGACAGTTTTTACAACCTATACAGAACGACAGTTTTTACAACCTATACAGAACGACAGTTTTACAACCTATACAGAACAACAGTTTTTACAACCTATACAGAACGACAGTTTTACAACCTATACAGAACAACAGTTTTTACAACCTATACAGAACGACAGTTTTTACAACCTATACAGAACAACAGTTTTTACAACCTATAGCTACAGAACGACAGTTTTTACAACCTATACAGAACAACAGTTTTTACAACCTATACAGAACAACAGTTTTTACAACCTATACAGAACAACAGTTTTTACAACCTATACATAACAACAGTTTTTACAACCTATACAGAACGAAAGTTTTTACAACCTATATAGAACAACAGTTTTTACAACCTATACAGAACAAAAGTTTTTACAACCTATACAGAAGGACAGTTTTTACAACCTATACAGAACGACAGTTTTTACAACCTATACAGAACGACAGTTTAAAACCTATACAGAACGACAGTTTTTACAACCTATAACGAACGGCAGTTTTTACAACCTATACAGAACGACAGTTTACAACCTATACAGAACGACAGTTTTTACAACCTATACAGAACGACAGTTTACAACCTATACAGAACGACATTTTTACAACCTATACAGAACGACAGTTTTTACAACCTATACAGAACGGCAGTTTTTACAACCTATACAGAACGACAGTTTTACAACCTATACAGAACGGCAGTTTTTACAACCTATACAGAACGGCAGTTTTTACAACCTATACAGAACGACAGTTTTACAACCTATACAGAACGACAGTTTTACAACCTATACAGAACGACAGTTTTTACAACCTATACAGAACGACAGTTTTTACAACCTATACAGAACGGCAGTTTTTACAACCTATACAGAACGACAGTTTACAACCTATACAGAACGACAGTTTTTACAACCTATACAGAACGACGGTTTTTACAACCTATACAGAACGACAGTTTACAACCTATATAGAACGGCAGTTTTTACAACCTATACAGAACGACAGTTTAAACATCGTACTACAAGATTAGACGTGTGCAACTTGCTAGCAAACAGTTCGGACAAAGCCATATTTAGCTAAACGTAACAAGTAAGGATCTTCGTGGACTTTAATACATGTTTGTATTGTGAGGAAATGTCTCCACTTGGGTGAGCTCGCGTCACATGATGGCAACTCTTCAAAGGTAACGAACTTACACCTTGAAATCTCTAAATGAGGTGTTCAGTGTGAAAAGGGGACAATATGTGACATGGGACAACATTTCTTGTATGTGAAATATTCAGGCTTAATACCATTTTATTGAAATTGTCAAAATAAAAAGCTTCATTTATGAAAAAGACTCATAATCACAGGTTATAGTAAACAGCTTCTCATATAATCAATATTAGTTTTCTCAAATCTTAAACAATGTGCAGTAAAACTTTCCAATGATTGAATGATCAATGATCATAAACTGAAAAGCCCCAAACTTTAGTTTATAGTATGGTAAATAAGAGCATGGCACCTTATGGCTACAGATTTTTGTCCATTGAAATACATTTGAATGAATGTAAAATTTTGCTGCCATATAACGGTCAATCTGCTTATCATAGGCCACATTGACATAAATCGCATCACATACTTGCATAATTAATACTTTACAGTCATGCATACACTTTATTTATAATTTACTTACGACTTTGGATGTAAATCTCTGTTTAGAAAACTCTAAATAATGATGGCTTGCTTTTGAACATCAATGACTGAAATGTCTCTTGCGAGATCGTCTTTGCCATGCATTTAATTACAATTCAACCATAAATTTTTCACCCTCTTGAAAAAATTTGCAGCCTGGACAGCAGTATTCATGTCAATATATGAATTTGTAAAAGATTTTCCTAAATTTTTATAGTGGCTCTTATTGTAGTTTCTATCATGCTTTAGAAAATTACTATGAAACAATCAAACATTTAATTCAGACAGTGAGCTTGATTATGTTAGTTCAGTTGCTTATCAGTCGAAATCGGTCAAACCAATCACAGTAATACAAAAATTTAAACGAAACAATTACACGATAGCACTTAGACTCCCTTATCGGTCCGGCCACCCCGCTTATCGGTCAAGTTTATCCCCAGATCGTCTACACTGTAAATTTTAAGGTGTTAATTTAACACTAAAAAGTCGTGTTAGATTAAAAGGTACAGAATAACACCATTTCGGGTGTTATTTTCTTACTGGTGTTAAATTAGCACCGAGTTTGGTGCTAAAATAGCGCCTATTCTTGGTGTTATTATAGCACTTGTTAAAGTGCTAATTTAGCCCTTAACGCCCGGTGTCAAAATGACACTTAAATTCGGTGTTATTTTGTAACCCCTTTTCTTATTGTTTTTTGTAAGCCAGTTAAACACGCGGCACAAAAATGCTGAGCATTAAATATATTTAAAAAAATCAAATGATTTATATGCATGTATTCACACATATAAATATATACAAAACATAAAACATACTATAAACAAGTCAATATATGAAACAAGTAAAGTTAAATGTATATATATATAACTAAATATATAAAACATCTTAGAAATACTACTATATTATAATCTCTAAAGCCCCAAACTTTTCACAAACTTTTGAACTGACACCCTTTTCTTTGCATTTGCGGGCTTACCCATCAAAATTACTTCCAAAAGGGCATAAATTTTACAGGCCTTTGGTGATTACTCCATATTAAGTACATAAAATGTAGCTAGAAGTAGTACTATAGACAATGAAATTTCTATATTTTTTTTTGACAGATTTAAAAAAATTTGCCCTTCGGTAGCAATTACAAGGGGGTCCAGACTCCCTAATTCTCCCGATCTAATTAGTCGTGGGTAGGTGGTGTTTGCTATTTCATCATCAAAAGAGTCATCTTCCTAAACAACAGCATAAACATAAACACAATTCGAATTATTAGGTCATTGAAAGTGAGACACAATATTGTCATGTCATGACAGTAATATAATTGTATTTTTATTAAAGCATACATAAAATTTTATCCATGCAGTTTTTATATAGTTTCGGTATCTATTACTTACGCAGCAGATCTTGAAAACTAAGCAATTTGCCGTGGATTTTTCATTCAACACATCCTGAATAATCAATGCTGTAACTGCACTCCTTACATCTGCAAAATATACAACCAACTGATTAATAATTACAGTATACGCATTTTACCATTGTAGATTTAAGTGCTCATGCTTTAAGATGAAACTCTACAGAGGTGGATCGAGCATAGAGTTTTTAGGGGGGGGCTTGGTTTTGTGAGCAACTAAAATCCGAATGCTAGAAACAAATAAATTTGCTAAATATTTTATATATAATAATAATAAATGTTCAGCGTTAATTAAAACTTAAAAGTCATGAAAAATGCCATTTTTTATCCCTCTATGCACCACGCTGTTGACGAGAGCTTAGAGAAGCACCCCTGTGCACCCCTCCCATAAATCCAACGCTGGAACTCCGTAAATGGTCAGACTTAATTGAATACACATACCAGCTTCCTTATTAGGTTTTTGCAAAAGCATGGCCTCCATCTCTGACATCAATATTTTTATGTGTTTGTTGTCACTATTTCCTGCCCATTTCATTACATTTTGAACCATATTATTGTAATGGATAACCATGTTGCTGGCTGCATTTTCGTCTGCCAAAATTCGACCAAATTCTGCTTTTACCTATTCCAGTTGCAAAAATACAAGTTACAAAAAAAAAGCAAGTTTAATGCAATATGTCAACTACAACTGGTAAAATTAGCTGCCCCCATGATTTTGAGGATATTTCTATGCAATAGTTCTGTTCAAAAAATATTTATTCTTACCTCTGAAACAAGCTGAAGAGCTGGATACTCAGTCATTAGCTCATTCAACACTTTTGGTTCATTTATAAATTTTTGGCGCCGGTAGGGGTTTGTTCAACTCCATGAGCTCTTTAATTAGTCTATATTTTTTGTTTGTTTTCGTCATCTCGGTTACCATGGCTTTTTTATGTTCTTCGCACGTTTCTGCAGTCTCACCATTATCCATATCATAAACATCATCAGACACACAAACAGATCTTGTTGTTGAATTTGTCTTCTTTGTACGCATGTTTTTGAATCGATTAGTGATTGCTTTCAACCATGACCCCTGTAACGAAGAAAGTTCATGCTGTACATTATAAGAGATAGCGAGAAAAGCTATAGGATTTCTTCTAAAGATTATCTTATGCATTAAATAATATGAATATGACTTACTGTACCAGCTCCAAGTGAATCGACAAGAAAAGTATATTTTTCTACAATCATGGACGCCACTCTTTGTTTTTCTTCTCTGGATGGAAACTTTGTATGAGCTTTAATAGAAGAACAAATGTCCCTAGTAAACTCATCCCTAAGGTTTCCATTAAGTTTTCCTGCTTGCAGTGCTTCATGCACTCTTGGAGAAAACTGTAAAATACAAAAGATAAATTTTAACATCAGAATGTGACCTATTATGAGGTATATTATTTAACATACAGAAATAGGAAGTTTAATATTTTTTATCCAGTTCTTGTTCGGTTCCCTTTCTTCCACAAGTACAAAGCTTGGTGATCACTCTTTTCAGATGCTATGGTATGTCGAGGTGTACTGGATGTTGTAGGTGACGGTGTGCCTGTTGACAAATGAGCTTCTTCAATTGACGCTGAAGAATTGCTGACATTGTCATTTATGGCAAAGGAATGACTAGTGGATAAAGCGATCTTCTGGGTGGATGGTTCAATGGTGGATGGAACATTTCTTAATAGTAGAAACTTGTCCAAGTTGTTAATCGTTGCCAATGAATTTTTGATTCGTATAATTTGCCCTCCTTTTATGCCACATGCCTTCAACAGCTCATCAGATGTATTGTTTATAATACCAGCTGAATCAAACTATTCAAGTACAAAAAATCAAAATTAAATTAATAAGATATATATATGTTAATGACTGAGCGAGAGGTTCGTACAGGAAGATACTGGTCGAGTTGTTTTTTCGCTTGCACTGACTGAGACTTTGGGGAGAACCATTCAAGCGAAAAAAGAACAGCCATTTGATGTTTGGATTGGGCTTTGACCAATCAGAACGCGCGTGAAATAAATTTTAAAATGTTTTCCAGAGATCCCAAACGGCCAGAGGCCAAAGGCCGTTTTTTATGTCGAGAGGAACTATTTTTCTATTCGGACCGAAATATAAACGGTAAATAACGTATTTATTTTTTGTCAAGCGGTTATGGCAGTTGTGCCATAATGTAATTTTGAATTTCATGCGTAAAACTTTCGTCCCTTTCATCCATGTTTACGTTTTCTGCTATATTTTCGCTAACATTTTCCACGATATTTCCAAGCTCGTCGGCATAGTAAAACTCGCTTTCCGAGTTTCAAACTATCATTCAAATCCATTGTTAAAAACGTTTTCCAAATATCTTTTTTAAATTACTAAAACAGCTTAATTTATTGGCTAAAACATCTTTTACTGGCTAAATATTTTTTAAATTACTAAAACAGCTTAATTTATTAGCATTTGCCAGGATTCCGCGGACCGGAGTAAAAAAAATGAAGTAATTTATTCGAACATCAACTTAGCATGCTGCAATAATAATGATTTGGTATTTTTACTTCATAGTCTAATGTAGTTTGGAACCACAGCAGTTGAACTTTCACTCATAATGCTTGACGTCTTAGATTACTTAGTCATTTTTTATCTTTACATTTTATTTCCCTCAATAATTTCCCCACTAAATTCAAGTATTGTTTTTTCGGTATGGAGTCCATATTTACCAAGCAGTGTTAACAAAAGCAACAAAAAGTCGTCTAGTCACAACGTCAACACGCAAAAATTCATGCACTCGTGCTAAATTTAATTTTATACACATACCTCTTCATCTTCAAGAATAGAAATTACACTGTCCTTTACCCCTGCCTTCTTAAGACTATCAAGCAACGTGGAATCCATCCGACCTTAAACGTATAAAAATTTGTAAAACACAAATACAAAAATTTCTACATGAAATATAAGCACGAGGAGAAGTATGTGTCACAAGAAATTTCATAAGAAAATACATTCAAAAAAGCTTTGTATTTACCTTTTTAAAAGAAGGGAGATCGTCGAAAGCAAATAACTTAAATCCAATGGCTCTTTAAGCCTTGTAATATTGACTTTTACGTTTAGTTCACAATAAAATATAATTTGACAACGCAGCACAAACAGGTGAAATCACGATGAAAATCATGAAATGAAATATGATAAGTGTGACAGTGACAGTTGGCTATAAGCATTTTACCGCGTTTTTGCATATAGTCGCTAATATCACATTTCACACCATATATGGTAACAGAGTTGAGCCGGCACTCTCTTCAGAAGTGAATTGTATTCTTGAAGTGAATTATGTCATGGAGCGTCTATATCGATGTAATATTTGCCTAGAATTCGTTTCAGATTCTCTTCAATTACTAATAACACATTTTGGCCGTGTTCATCGTGATGAACCAAATTTTCATGTTGTTTGTGGCATCGATGGCTGTGCCGGGACGTTTAAGAAATTTTTATCATTGAGAAATCAACTTATTCGAAAACATAACATCGTGCGCAATACGAGGAACAGCGCAGAGTTGAATACTGATAGGGAAAACGACAATGCTAATCAAAATCATGAGATTGATAATACAGACCCTGAACAGGAAGAAGAGTTACTTTTAAGTTTTAATGAACTCACAAAGCCAAGGTTCCCCTTATAAAATCCATGCTTAATCCACCTCTGGTTAATATAACATATGTATTGTCGCTATTTTTTACGAAGTTTTTAAACTGTTTAAATGAACGCATAAGTCAACTGTTCTGTTATCCGTGTCAGAACGAAAACAGCTGCAGTTTGATATAAGTAAAAAAATAAGTTTAAAAAACAGTTAAAATGAGTGTTATTTTGACACCCATGATTTTACAAGGAGAGTGGTGCAGAAATACCGCCCTTTATAAATTATTGTAACTCTTGCTAATGGCGTTAATTTAACACCAACCACTTAACACCAAAAAACAGTGTTACTTTAGCACCTTTGTGGCAGAAGAAGGTGCTAGTTCAGCACCATTCATTGGGTGTTAAAGTGTTGAGGTGTAAATTTAACACGCTACAATATGTTTAAGGTCATATGTTGTTAAATCAACACCAATATTGGTGTTATAATAACACCTTTTATTTAACACCACCGGCGGGTGTCAGTTTAGCACTAAAGAAAGTGCTAGTTCAACACCCCAAAAATAACAGTGTACTAATCTGGCTATTGACCAATGGAATGGCTTAAATAAGCGTTCTTGAACTCCGTTATCGGTCGAACCAGTCGAGCCATCCCGCTTATCAGTCAGCCAGTTAATATAATTCGAAACATGTTAAAATCTACTGATCTGTTTATTAAGGTGGTATTTGTATAATTTTTTATATATAAAACAGAATATTGACGATGAAATAAGAACTAATACAGAACGGGAAATTTTCACGTTTAATGATCACAAAAAATTTAATGATCACAAAAAATTGTAATCATTAAATTTCATAAATAATTTTTGAAATATATAAACAGTAGTCGCGTGACTGATTTCACATACACTGGATCCACCCCTGTTTCGTGTTGTATTTCCTCATGTACACAATTAAAAACTCAATTACTCCCGAAAAAATCATAAAGATGATGAGCGGAAAACTCTGTGCTAATGTATAAACTGCAAAGAAATCCCAGATCTTCTCTCGTTGAATTGAAGTTATTACGTAATCTAACTATCATTGAAGATAGGAAAGTGATGCCTGAGTACATCATTAACAGAGACTTTATCAAAATCTGAAAGAACATACCTCAGTCAGCATAATTATTGCTGTACTTAATTGTTATGTACAATAGTCAATCTTAGTAAACAGTCTCCTAAGAGATACTATAAAATTTTAAAACAAAAACCTATAGCGAGATGCCTGTGCGATATCAGGACATTACTTCGTCCCCCTTTCTGTAAGCCGCTCCAAATATCATAGTCTCAAGCCCGCTTCTAAGCCAAAACATCATGGCATTAAACCTTTACATTTGTTTCTTTATAGTTTGACTTCGTTTTACTTGTTTCATGGTAGCAATAGGGGGCTTACACAGTTTGAAAAGATCGACAATCAATTCCAACAACAACCTGTTTTTCATTTTTTGCCTTTTTAATTGAAAGAGTCACAATGCCTGCAAAATGTTAATTTATTGTTCACAATTATTCCATTTGAAAAATTATTTGAAATCTTCCATAAAGACATTGCTTCTAACATTTTTCTTTATCACAGTTTTTTACCGATTACAATTTAATAATTAAATTATTAATTGTCGCTTTCACTTTACATTTAACTGTGAATTCAAAGTTAATGCCTGCATCGAACAACAAATGAACGATGAAAGAAGCTTTTGGGGAAGCTTTAGGCCTTGCCTTTGCAATATTTTGAAATTTTCGTCTTGTCAATTAAGGCGTTTCTCTACTAACATTTCTTAGACAATAATTCTTTTATTTAGTTTTCTTTCATTCAGTTTCTGAGACATAGACTATGTAGCTCTCTTTCTTGACTTCCTCAACCAGCAACACCTCAGTCATTTGTTTATATCTGACATAGAAAATGATTCTAGCTTCGCTTTCTTAACGTTGAAAAATGCGTTTTAATAACGTTGCACTATCTATTTTCAATCCGCTAGACAATCTCGAAACACTAAACACGCATGTCTTGGTGTAAGAATTGGCTTCAATATATTTGCTTCAATGCATTCCATGCATTTTAGTTCAATGGTTCAAACAAAAGAAAAACTAATGATAAAAATGTCTGCAAGAGTAATCAAAAATTCACAAGTCTTTTGTCAATTTACATTTTTGGAGAAAAGGGCAAATACTGCATGAAAACATTAAAGAAAAACATGTTTTCAGAAAACAACACTAGCTACAAGCGTGGGGGAGGGAGAAGTTGACAATCCTTCATATGCTACTTTCTTTTTTATCATTTGACGCCATTTTATACCTTAATTGATCCATTTACTTTGAAAGATGACCAAGTTTTAGCCATCCTAACCGTAATAAAGTGTGTAAGACTTTATATATAGGTTACTTCAAAAGCAAGACACTAAGTAGCTAAGCCAGTTATGATTGTAACTTTACCAAAGTCAACTTGATGGCAAGAGTTGTTTTTTTGCTTTCTTTAGGAGCTCAACAACATTTATTATTTTGTATGTTATGTAATCGAGGAAAATACGGTAGAAAATAATTGTCTGAATTCAGTGGTGCCGAAGATGAGGCAGTTACCCTTTCGGTAAAACACGGTAAAACCTTGAAATAGCATAAAAGTCACATTTTAGACCATATCTGCGTTTACCCTTCCTGTTAAAACACGGATAAGCTTCGAAATAGCGCAAAAGTCACATTTAAGCCATATCTGCGTTTTATCCATCTGGGTAAAACACGGATGGGCCTCAAAATACATGTTTTGTATGATATTAGTGATTTTAAGATACAACAGCTACGTCAAACGGCTACGTTGGCCGAGAAAAATGCACTGGGTGAGTAATAATGCGTATGTCTGAAATGCTAAATTACACCGCCATTATTCTACGACGGTTAGTTTTGGAGCTGTTGAGCGTAGTAAATACAAAGGTCAAAATCTAGTTGAAAATACTGCATTTCGAAGCGTGTTTTTGACGAAATTGGGGATGGAAATGATATAATGGACAGCTAAGGTTAGCATTCATCAATATTTTTAAGTCATGTCTTCCGAATTGTTGAATTTAATCTACTCGATGTAATGAATCATACAATATGTGGCTGGCTATATATAGTTCTAGTATCTTATGACAAATTTATTTATGATATTGATATGCTTATACTTGAAGTACGATTTCTAGCCAGCAATCCTTCAAAAAATATTGGTAAAAGAAGAGCTACGAAATAAGTAAGAAGAAGAAAATTATTGGCTTGATAACATGCTAACAAGACAAATATTTTTCTTATTGTTTGTCCTTTCAATTTAAAGTTTTAGGCTTCACAGTTTTCTGGGTTTTTTTATAATCACTGAAGTCAATATGTGTACATGTTTCAGTTTTTTGTTTCAGTTTTCTCCAATGTACCCAGGGATCAAAGAAGTGTAAGAGAAAACTTTTCTCGGTTATTGGCAGAGCACTAAAAAAAAGTAGAGAAGAGGAATCAAGTAGTGGTATTGCCCCTGACCCTCCAACAGAAAAGGAGAAATTACTGGAAGAAATAGTAGAGATTATGAAATTACCTTCAATACTTGTGACAAAGAATGAAAAGAAAGAAGAGCAAAAGAGAAAAACGGCTTTGGATTGTAGTGATAAGGCTATGGCAGCATGGGCCAAAGCAAAGAAGAATGAAGACCGTGATACAGACTCAGAGGAGGTAAGTGAGAAGGAAGTTCGAGTAAAAAGGCGAAAGAGAAGAGGTAGCTCTGATGCCCTGACATTTTTGGCAGAAAAGGAGAGAGAGACATAGAGATGCAAAAACAAGAACTTGCTCTGAGAAGGGAAGAAATACATCTTCAAGCTGAACTTCAGAGAGAGCAATTGAAAATGTAAAATGATCAGCTTAAGTTGATGACTGACATTTTGGGGAAATTAGCCAAGTAAATTTTTAACTACCGTTTCCTAAAACATAATACTCACTTCCTTTGTTATTCATGCCAAACATTGATATTGAATGTATTGTTATGTTTAATAAAGAAAGTAAAAATACTTATTTGGAATACCCCATAACCTTTCATTTAAGCTAAATAATTATAAACTGTTGGAGGCTTCACCTTAAACACCTGTGAGGTAATGCCATTCCAGAATGTGCTTAGCAAAATGTCATTAGTGTCAAGTGGCGCGAGGCTCTCGTGTACTGTTTGACGACTTTTTTTCCAGGCAGAACTGGCATGTTTGAAATGCTTTGTGTGTGTGCGGCGTCTTGAAGCAAATTGCTTTTGTGTTTTCATCACAGCGCATGCTCAATAAATCTCATATCAAACCAAAATGGCGGCTTCCTCAAATGAGTTAAATTCTGTGTCATTTTCTGATTCCGAAGAACAAGACGAAATAGCACTTTTATGCCTGTTGCTAATTCGCCGTAGACGCAGGCGTTTACCAGCTTCTTGTC